AATTCCCCGTGAGTTGATATCTTGTTGCCGATCGCTACATTCAATAATGATACTACTTCGTCCTCAGAGCACGAAAGGTAGCTTCCTACACGAAGTTTCTTCTTTCTCCACTGTTTACCATGGACTCAGTAAAATTCATATAGCGTAGTATAGACGAAACCTTGGTTGGGTAAACCAGCTGCCGATCAAGCTCCTTTGTCTTCGTTCTATTTTTGTCCTGCGATTGTGACTTAAACTGGAAGAAATGTAAATTTTTGGAAGGAAACGGCTATTATCTTCACAGTTTCTTTCCGGTCATAATAACCTGAGATATTTGTTCGTCATGGAATAAGCGACATAATTTTTTGAGAAAGGTTCTACTTTCAGGACAGCCAATAAGAGATGAGGAAACTTGTGGAGAAAGCTTCGCTATTGGCTGTGTTTTGATAATGATATTGTTGTACGTTAATCTTTCTGTCTTAAAGTGGTGATATTGTTGTCGATTGAATTCATCAACAGTAGAATAACATATTTAAGCAAATTTTACACTGAGGAAAGCGTTCTATCTCTTTGTTACCGTAAGCAGTTTGCGAGGAAAGAAAGTCATTGAAATATTGGAATCGAATCATGTTTGATGTTCTAGGATTTGGTTTGGCGTCTGCAGTTTTGCTCGTCACATTTGGAAAGTTGATCACAGCCAGCTGGTTCTCCTACCTGATGGTCGCTATGATTCACTTTCAAGTGGCTATGGCTTGGCTTGGCCTGAAAAGACCTCTAACCAGTGAAGATGACGATCGATACCAAGATATCATTGACGCTGAACATTTCAGACATGATACTTCTAACGAAAAAAGGTCAAGGTCATCCAAAAAGAATCCCAAGACAATTGAAATAAACTGCGACTGATTTCAAAAGGATCCCGTCAAGAAACATCTTTTGACTTACTTCAGCTGGATTTGCGATAGTTAATTGTTTATATGGTCATTTCTCTGTTCACACCAACTCACCAAAGCCGATTCCGCTCTATCTTCAGGTCTTTAATATAAATATATATATATAAAACTGGTGCAACGAAAACTTTAAAGTATCCGTGAAACTATTCATCGAAAGCACTCAGGCCCATACGATTAGTTGTTGAATACTGAGACGAGTAGATCAATAAGTCAAGAAACAAAATAGAGTGATTATTAGTACACAGGCTCAGCCGGTTGGCAAAATCCGAGAAGCTGAAGCACGAGATGGAGGTGTGGGAAAAGCTTCAGCGCATTACGTCATACTCCTGTACAGTTGCCATGACAATTCTCTACCAATAAGAAGTCAGAAAAAACTAAATGTCCAAAATTTATGTTGCTGCTGTCACTAAACTAATTATTCAACCATTTTTCTCGTCACCTGCGATTTAGGATGGCCGTCATTTACATTTTGAGCTGTCCAAGACAAACAGCTTATAGTTTCAAATAGATGACATAAATCAGACTTTTACCTGTAGATTCCAAAGCAAAGCAAACTAAAGAACGAAATAATCTTTACATGTGCACTACAACTAAAGAAACTGCAAGAAGAGGAAGCCTGAACAACTCAGCCTCGGCGGCACTTTCTTTCATTGCCGTTCACCTGTGAAGATACTTCGTTATTTCATTAGCTAAGGTTTGGAATAAAGTAAACAGTTTGAGATTTTTAATTTTTGTTCCCACTGGATGGAGGTTTGATGAAAAGCAACTCAAATATGAGACGATGATATTACAAATAAGAGGCGAAGCCGGTTAGATTCAGGTGCTAAAAAAATTAAGGTGCCACGAAGGCTACATGTGTTAATTTGTTAATTCGTTAATTCCTGCTAACAAAATCTTTTTTCTACCTCTGAGAAATAAAATACGTCACTGTCTTCAGTGTAAAAATACAATTTGAGCCGCTAATTTACTTTCTTAACCCCAAGTATCTGAGTACACTGTGTCCCTGATGTGCGCGAACATCCTTTTCGATCTCTTGCATTCGAACAAACGTGAACCTTGCCAATTACATCTCGAGTCTGTTGCAGAGTGAAATGGCAGTGTGCTAATTTTTACAACTGTTTCTAACGCTCTAAGAAAATAAACCTACTCGTCCATGCAGTTTTTTGATACGGGAGTTTATCTACAAAAACAAACAAATCGTGTCACTTTACGAATTCTTTCATCATAAGATACATCGCATATTTGTTCAATATTGTTAATGATAAAATTAAACCGTATCTTATCTAGAAGCATTGATAAGAGCTTCCTCACCTTGGTGTTGGGGAAAGGATTGGAAATGGTATACTAGGATAAGCCATCCCGTCAAAAAAAACATTGTAAGCCAGTTGATAATCTCCTATTTCTTTCGCGGTCTTACTTTGTACGTAGAGTGATTTTTATCTTTTCTTTCTGGGAGAAAATAGTCCATTTAACTCCACAAATGTTTGTATTAAGCTGTTAATGATTATGGCAGATTCTTCTATAGCGAATTTGACATGGAAGCAGATGTTCAGTTTCAACAGTAAATGTAACTTGCGGTGAGATATTTCAATTATCTTGCAGTAAGATATATTTCAATTATGATAATCCGCTTGATGAAGAAGAAAATAATCTGATCTGGTAAAAGTTAGTCTCGTACAGGAATTTCCTGGAAACTCCTCCTTCTTGTATTTTCGATTCTTTTTCATGCTCGTCTTTTAGTTTAAATCAATATTGAACTCCCGATCAGAAAAATAATTCTTAATTTCCAATTTAGCACGTCCAACAACTCTTTCTGTAAGGTGACTAAAGATGTACACAACTTGTTCTTCTCATCTTCCGCACTGAGTTTATAATCAGTTAACTTACATTAACGGCAGGTTGTTCTTTTGGGGGCTGTACCTTGGGTACGCCCTTTCTTCCCCGAATTCTCCGTTTATTCTGTTCTTATGTAACAAACTTCAAGGGCTATTTTTTCTATAGTTTTATTTTTAAGTGCAATTCTGGTTCACGAAATGAGTCCTTTAAGATTTTTCTTTTACCAATCTTGTTTTTGTTTTGCCCGATCTTAATCGTAAAAGTATGATCTAGTAGGTACAAAGCCGTTTTGTCAAGATTTAACAAATCGAAGATGCATACCCAGTATGCGGGAACTGTTTCAATTAATTCAACACTATTCGCTAGCTAAGTGAGAGATAGAAATAGTGACGTTTGTCAAATATTGACAGCTTGATAAGTGTCACCTTTATAAGCTGGAGACCAACACTTTCCGTTGAGAGAGCAGAGCTAGTCCCCGAGCTAGTAAGTTGTATAAAATATATATAAAATCAACTGTACAAGGATTGTTAGAAAATTTTTTTAAGAATATCTACTTTCATGTTATATACTTTGAAACTTCTAATTCAAAGAAATGCAAATGAAGTTGACTAATCGTTTGTCAACTTTCACTAACGCTCGCTTATCTTTCATAAAGTGTTCATTATTTTTGTTCTACAATTCACTCAATGTCACATTCAAAACTCAGTTTCACATAAAAAATTGTTCTTTACGTCTTGCTTCGCTCAGTTTCCACATGTTCTCTCGTTTGACTTCATATAAGCTGTGAAAAGAAATAGCGTGCACATAGAATATCAACAAGAGAAAAAGACTGGACCTAAGATTACTGTGAAGCGTGGTTTCTGTTCCAGGCCAAGTTCTGCAGTATGTCCATGATAGCGCGTCGAATGTGTCTCATCCTCCAGCAGTAAATAACAGGTTTCAGAGATGAATTAAGGTTCAAGATTCTGATTGAAAAAAGTAAAAGTTCCTTCAAAGAGATATTCGGGCCGTTTATCTTGATGGCAGCCAAGCAGATGAAAAGTGGCAAATAACAGACCAAAAACACAAGATACACGTAAAATTTACCAGATAAAGAATTGAAAAGGCGATCAAAATTTAGCGTTGAGCACGTTTTTTCGCCTCGTTCTACCTGCAGAGCCTGAATCTGATTCTTGTGGCGTTGTGCGACGAAAAAATCTTGGTATATATAACTACTGTTAGGAGAAAACCAATAAGTCCACCAGTTATACGAATTAGTCTCTGAGCTTCGTAAATATTTGGCTCTATGTTCTGATGAACGGACATTTCAAAAGATTGACAGCGCAGTAGGATTCTCGTTAAGGAGGCTCCATAGGGTTTTTGCTTAATTTTGGCCAAACATTTCCTCATCTGGCGCTTCCCACTCAGTCAATACGCACGTATTATCACGTAATCTTCGTTGCGTAAACGTAAATGTGACACAATGATGCAGATTTTGATGTACGAATACACTTCGCATGCAATTTGTGAGAAATTCAATTTTGCGTTGTTGCAGGTGTAAAATGATATTACATATTGCATTTGGCATTTATGTTTTCATATTTTTCGTTAGTATGACATTTTGCTGTGTAAAACTCAGGCGGCAACAGGGTCAAAAACGCAAAGCCAAGCATTTCTAAACGCTACGTTTAACATGACTATTCACCGTCTTTTCTGGCAAAGAATCAAACCATCGACGATATCTGATCGATGAAAAGGAAAAAGACAGATTTTTGTTTCCATATGTAAACAGAACGTGCCGCTTGTATTTATCTAAATATGTCTCAAAAAATTCAGATTAAAATCTCTTTGATAGCTTTAGGGTTGAATTTTTTTTTTTCGAAGTCCAAACATAATGCACGAGTTGATAGAGTTGTTAAGTTTCACTGTGAATGTCTTTTGTTTTTCGTTAAGGGCTCTAGGGAACGATTAGTGATCTTAAAAACTGAACATAAATTATTCAAGTTTGGCATTTGTAATGTGTGTCAATCTTCTTCATTTCTGACCATCACTGTTCCTTCTCACGTCAATCTTTCCATTTTAGTCTTTTTCTAAGTGAATTGACATTTTCTGTTTTCCATCATTTCGAAGATAATCTGGATGGTCCCAACCAGGTTTTTAAAATATCGCGATGTGGCGCTTCATACATGAAATAATCGATATCGGAAGCTTTACTTACAAACATCCACAAGGACTGAATGACATCTGCTGAGGTCATTGAGATGCACGATTTTTAGCCCAAGACATGTTTCGTAATAGGTCCATGATAGCACGTCGAATGTGCCTCATCTTCCAGCAGTAAATGACAGGATTCAGAGATGAATTAAGATATAACAAAGTCAACGAAAAGACAAAAAGTTTTTTCATGGAGGTACTGGAATTGTTAGGCCCCAACGTTCCCAGGCAGATTAAGAAGGGTAAACAACAGATTATAAGAAGGACGTATATGTAGAAAACACCGACAGCCGAGTTGATGAGACCAGAAAAATTCGCCATCTCACCTGACTGTAGAACTCGCAAAGACTGAATATGAATCTTGTGGCGTCGTACCACAAAATAAATCCTCATGTAAATCAATGTTGTCAGAAGAATACCAGTAATACCGAACAGGGAAAGAATTAACCTTTGCACATCGTGCAAGTTCCATAATGTCAGTAAAGGCACAGTTGCACTTAGCAGCCATATTATTATCACCACAACAACAACACGCTTGTGGGTCACAAACTCTTGGTACCTGAGATGAAGATGAATAGCTAAGAATCTGTCTACACTCACAGCCACCACACTTAGGAAGGAAGACGTAGCAAAAAGGAAACCAATATTCCTAAAAATCACATAGGCGTAACAGTTTGGATTGTTCTGTTGCAACCAGTTGACTAAAAGTGAGGTGTAAAATGGCTGAACAAAAAAACCAACGCCAATATCGGAAGCAGCGAGACTCAAAAGCAAAGTTTTTGAAGTATTCGGCAATGACGAGGATTTCCTTATCGCTAACATTGTAACAATGTTTGACACAATGGCGGTATGGGTAAGAAAATTGTTTAAAACGCAATTAACGATGTAACTTGAACGAAGATCTTTGAAGTCGGATATAGATGGAATATACTGCAACAACTCTTCACAAGACAATTCGCTCATGATAGTAACTCTCGTATCTTAACTCAAGACATTCAATTTTAAATAAACATGAAAAATCACGATTTAAAGAAACTTCTCTCTTGAGCTTAAAGAGAATCGAACTCTTTCACATGTGACGAAGCCTTCACTTGCCAACCACACGTTTGTACTGAACGATTAACGAAGTCAGGGCACTATACAAAGAGAATTAGAACTGACCCTTTTAAATCAGTTCCGTTTACCGATGAGTTTGATTGATTTGTCAAATTCGGAGTCGCATTAATCAAAGGTAGTAATTGAAAAGGTACACGTAAACGCCGTGCCCGTAAAAATCAGGTACTTGAGTACCACTGGTGAAGTAAACGAGATACTTGTAAAAGCGCACCCACATTAATGTTCATAATGGAAACACTTGTCTTAAACAAGCCAATATCTTACATCCGATGGCAGTGGAAATGGGCTTTCTATCACTGCCTCGTAGAGCGTTCTTTTAATTGCTCATGCTAATACTTCCTTGTGTTAATTAAAAAAAAGTTGCACGATGCCCAAACAGCTTGTAACAATCCGTATTATCACATGACATGTGCGCGCCTTTATAGAATACCTGATAGTAAAAACAAATCCCTGTACGCAGTGGCGCAAGCACCAAACAACCTTGGGAATGCGCAAAGAAAGAAAAGAATAGAGAAAAAAAGAAAAAAGAAAAGGGGCCGTATTGTTAAATAGCTTTTAGCGAGGTTATTAAGTCGGGCCAAAAAGGTACAATATTTTCTCTCGGGCCGTGACGGTAAAATATTTGACACTCGTGCATGACGTACCAAGAGGCAAATATTTTCCCATCCTTCATCACACTCCGTCATTAAGTACATAATACTCCATTAAGTCGGTTTTATAATAAAGGCGCAGTGAAACATCGCTTTAACGTAGTTCGCACGAAAATCTAATGTCAGATTGTTTGTCAAGTTAAGTCACGTCTTCGATCTAAACGGGAAGTTAACCTTCAATGAATGCTTTAACTTTTTGCAACCTTTCAGTTGAGATTCAAAGCATCGAATTCGAGAATACAAACGAAAATTGCTTCTGCGATGGATTAGATAAAACTTTGAACTTTGACAGATGGCATAACAAAGCAAATCAAAGGTCAATGTCAGTATCAACCTCGTTCCCAGGGTCTCTCATCTTCCCGCCCCGTGGAGCAACTGCACACCTACCCCTCCCCTACCCCAACCACAGTCAATTGATAACAAGTCATCACGGGCCAATGTTGGGTTAGGGGAGGGGTAAGTACGCAGTTGCTCAAATGCTGAGATTGATCCTATTAATTACTGTGGAAGAAAAAATACAAAGAAAAAACGAAAAAAAAAATCAAACCTGCTTCTTCTTTCAGATAATGGTAGTCAAGAGAAGAAGATCATATGCTTGTTCATCCTATCCGTGACCCGCGCACACATGTTGGTGTCTGCGCAATAAGTGATCGTTCACACTCTCTGGCACAAGTCGGCTGTTGCAGGAGGAACGAAACAGTATTAAGTTACAAAAAAGTTACGAATTCCTTATTTTCTAAAAAGTTATAAATGTGCTGTTAACAAGACATCTCAGCACATGGCCATTTCCCCGATTCTCTTAAAAACCAAATCCAAATTTACCATTTCGGTTTGTCAAAAGAAAGGTGCAGGAAAAAGCGAATGGAAGAGTCGCGATGTAGTCTTGCATCTAGTGCAAGAGCTGGTGCGACATCTAAATCAATCTCAGAACGTCTGATTGGTTTAGGGCAAGGCGCAAATTTTCTGGACCAATCACAGAACGACTCTCAGTTGAAAAATTACTCTTAACACCTTGCAGTAAATAATCCACCAGTTGCTGCAATTAATTTAAAACCCAATACAATCCTAACATTCAATTAAACTTCGGGACAATATCAGCTGTGAAGTAGCGAGTTAAATCATTGCCCTGCTATAAATATGATAGATTAGTGAGCATCATACCAGAAGGATCTCGTTACAAAGTGTGTGAGCAAGCTTTGATTTGTATGCTCAAGATTGGTGTGGTCTGATGAGGAATAGGGTAACCAAGATGGACGCAACAGCACAGGTTAGTTAGTCTTTGCACTCTCGTCAATTTCCTTCTCAGCGTTTGGGAGTAAGACAATATATTTTGTCCCCGGGTTGTTCCAGCGATTTAATAAATACTGTTACTGAGCTACCAAACCAACAGGCTTGGTTGCACTTGATTGTCTGCGCTAGATCACATCGAATCAAAAGCTGAATACAACTTATTTCAGTGTAGAATTCGGAAAAGTAGAAAGCGTATTCTGTTCTTCAGTCTGCGTGTGAGGCACTCAGTGAGTAAGTAGGTAACACGCGCTAGAGAGCAGAGAAGCGTTTCTCGCCTGCTTGATTTCTCGCCCGGTCTTAGCCCATCACGCTACGTCACAGGAAGCTCTCACACCGATCAAGCATTTTTATTTTAGATTTAATACGTGAGCACTTTAGATTGCAGTTTCGCTTGTGGACGGTCCTCGATCTTTAATTGGCAGAGATAAAGCAGTTCTTAGTGCTCGGCTTGTAATTCACCAACGTTTCTCGCTGATTTTCAGGACATCCCGCGTGGCGGCGTGAGTTAATGCGGCTGTAAACCGATAAAAAGTGTGTTATATTGCTTTATAAAAGAAAAAAAAAGTTATTTAATATATATGAGAAGTCCCAGCTGTTTAGCTGAAATGAAAACCCGCGTTGCTTCGTCACTATACCCACTTGAAACTCAGAGGTGAGTTGTTATGATTGCCATATGTTCCGGTTTCTTCCGGTTCCCAGTTTCTTCTCTTAAGTGATAATACGACTGGAAAAGAAAAAATCAAAATTTTGTTTCGTATTTAGAGGGGCTTCCTTTTTCTTCTTGAATTTAACAAGCAGTGACCTGCCGGCTGCGATTTCAAAGAGATTGTTTACATAACAAACCTGAGAGACAATTTGCCGATAGATATCTGACTCTTTCATGAAAACGCATTCACAGCTTCATTACGGAAAGCCGCACAATTTTTTTAATCATTCAAAAGTTAACCATTCCTCGGTAACACTCAATAAAGCGTTGTATAAAATATTCATAAGGGTCAATACAAGTTTTAACTCTAACAAGTTGAAAGAAAAACTGTTAAATTTAAACTGTGATACTTAGAAAGAGAAAATTAAAAGAAACTAAAGGTTTAAACACCCACTTCTCATAACAGCAGGAAAACCTTGAAGTTTTACCCACAATATCAGTCAAAATATTTGCCTGTCGTCCTAAATATTTCAATTCGAGTTGATTGACGACATTGTTCAACAGACCTCATTAATATTTTACAGGCTCGTGTGGCTCACTTCGACTTCTTTGTTTTTTCACCTTGAAAACGTCTACAGTAATTTGTAAACAAGCCCTTGAGGCAGCGGATTAAACTAATCGTCCGTAAACGGCTTTACAAACAAAAAGCACGGAAGATCACCCTAATTCCGACATGTTTCTTACCAAGTTACTCTTCTTAATAGCTAATTTAAATTAGACAGGTTTCGTCGAGGCATCTTAAGATTTTTACCTAAAAGTCACTCACCCAAGACCATTATTCTCCGTTCGAAACTGAGAACGTCTTCTTTTTTCAACTTCCCATCACTTTCCCGGCTTCTTAAAACTAATCGTCCGTAAACGGCTTTACAAACAAAAAGCACGGAAGATCACCATAATTCCGACATGTTTCTTACCATGTTACTCTTCTTAATAGTTAATTTAAATCAGACAGGTTTCGTTGAGGCATCTTAAGATTTTTACCTAATGAAATCTCGAAAAAGTTAAGATGTAAGTCTCGCTACGAAAAGTAGGTTCGAAACTCTTTGCATTGTCGCATCGAGAAATCTCACGTCCCTTAGTGTCTGTCATTTTCTTTACTTCATTCAAGCAATCCTCGAACATACTACAGATTGTACCTCATCCTGAACACTCTCCGTGGTGACCGATCGATGCCAAGTTGAGTATACGTGCTTTCTGTTCCAGGGCATGTTCCGCATAATGTCCATGATAGTATGTCGAATGTGTCTCAGCTTCCAGCAGTAAATTACAGGGTTCAGAGATGAATTCAGAAATAAAATGGTATACGAGAAAAGGTAGAGGCTCTTGATAGAGTTACTTGTCACAGTTGTGTCAGCTACCACCAAACACACCAAGTAAGGTAAATAACAAGCCACAAATACGAGATACATGTAGAATATGCCGACTGCAGACTTTTGGACGCTGACCATATTTGACATCTCACCAATGTGTTCCACCTGTTGTAAACGTTGCAAGGACTGGATCTGTTTCTTGTGGTGTCTAACAGTCTGATAAATTTTAACGTAGACTGTTGTTGTGACAAGGAAAAACGACAATCCAAAAATGATTAAAAATATCGAGTGTACTAGAAACGGAACCCAGAGGAACAATGATGTAAGAAATACACTTAGCAGCCAGATTAAGATCACCACAGCAATAACACGCCTGTGAGTCACAAGTTCCTTGTATCTGAGATGAAGATGAACAGCTAAGAACCTGTCTACACTTACAGCCACAACACCCAGGAACGAAGCAATAGAAAACAAACCCAACGTGATCCCAAACATATTGTACGTGTGACAGCTAGGGATCTTGTCCAGCAGGTTCTTGATCAAGAGTGAAATGTAAAACGGCTGAACAATACAACCAACTCCAATGTCGGAAACAGCTAGACTTAAAAGCAATGTTTTCAGAGTCCTTGGCAACGAAGACGTTTTTCGAATCGCGTGGATAGTTACAATGTTGAGCATGATCGCGGGATGCGACAATAAACTGTTTAAAATACAGTTTGAGATGTATGTATAACGGAGATGGTCAACTTTAGTAGTGACGGCGTAATGATGCATTAAAACTTCGCACGTCGAATTCTGAGAGTCATTCATAATGTGGAAATAAGCCTCTTGACAAATAACCGACTGATAGTAAGACAGAGTCCTATAAGGTTCCAGAGCAAATGGAAAATGACAAATTAACAGAGGTACTTGCTCTTTGACAAAATGGAATGCGGTGAAGTCAGTTTCCAAAGTGTTAATTTTTTCCGCATGAAAATAGCTCATTTGGTTACGTATATTACTATTCATAGGCTAGACCTTTTTAAGGTTCAATACCTTCAAACCGCTAATAAAAAGGTTACTATATTTAAATGCGAGTGCTTTTTCGATAAATCTTCGTACCGTAAAAACGATAATACGCCTGTGATCCAAATCATAACTTTTCCTCAAAATCATTTCGTTTTGATGGCCGTTAAATACAACTAATGGGAGGAGGAAAATTCTTATCAGATGGTTGGAAAAAATACTTGCAGGCCATGTCCGGAGCGAAGAAAAGCCTAGAAGACTAACTGAGATTTTGATAAGACTTTGCGATAAGCTCCAAAGCTTTTGTGTGTGGACCGAAAGGAACAATTAGATTTATATTTATAAACTTAATGAAGGAAAAATACAAAACAAACTTACCACAACAGCAGTATTAACCAACTAAAATGTCGAGTCGCAATATAAATTCAAATAAACAGCGAGAATTTTAAGTAAAGAGTTCCCAAAAGTTTTGCTTCGTAGATAAAAATGACACACCAGAGCACCTCAAAAGTAAATCGCAATGAAGCTGAAAGAACACTCCAAAATTCAAAGCACAGGTAAATTAAAATGCTATTTAAGAAGAGAGCGTCAATTTCTTGTACCGTGTTTCCTGTTTTGAGTAAGTGGCACTTGAGAACCCATTACTACGATAATATTAGCACGATTCCTTAGGCAATCACGCATAAAACATTAGATAAATAAAACGCTAGCATTCTTCTGTTAAATAAGTGCGAAGGTTCTGAACTCCACGCATCTAAATGAGCAAAAAAAAAAACAAACAAGCAAACAAACAGACAAAGAGCGCGTAAACGGTCGCAATCGCAAAATTTTGATAAGACCGAAATGAAAAGTTTAGATCCTTTTAGCAAACAAATTGAACAGTTCAATATTGGTATCTGTCGCGGTATCCCGGAGTCCCCTAACTTTTTATTACAAAACAAAGGAAATGAAAGTCATAACGACTTCTTTAGCAGCGTCATCGGTTATTCCGGGAGCCGTGTGTTTTTCATATTTGACTGGCTCAAGCGTCCTTAAATAGACAACAATAGGGCTGAAAACTGGAAATATACCGAAAAAAAGAAAATTTGCGTTCAATATCCGACCGGTACCACACTGTGGTTATAGAAATGTCCGGAGAAGGTTCCAGGAGTCGTATATCACTGCAAATATTTACTTTTAAGTCTAATCAGCCTGAAGTTAACATGAGTGCCCATCAGAGACCGACGGAAGGATAAGCGCACGAATAGCTCAAAGTACTAATTAATTTGACGTCAACTTGCAATTGGAGAAATTATAAACTGAGAGTGGAAAGTAATTCCGTATTGCATTGGTCTCTCTTCACTTCGCTCTCTAATTGGTTGACTGAGAAACTCGAACCATCCCTTCAACCAATCAGATGCGAAACTGTAACCAACAGCAGCTTGGTCACCCGCGTTTTCCCGCGTTTCAGGCAGTTTGCTCGTTTATCATTCGAGTTATTAGGCCTTTGTCATTACTTTGGTTTGGGCGTTACGTGACATCCCAATGATCAGCTGCGAAGGACACTAGGTTTCCCTCCGTGTAACCGCCTAAGACCGAGTGTGACCAAGAATGCTTTACAAAAGACGTTGAAATTTTGACATCAACAGAGCTTGCCTATCACTATCATTCAACTTACTGGTATTTTTTGTTCCGCAATATGTCCATGACGTCCATGAGAGCGTATGCTAAGCGTCCCCTTTTCCTCAACAAGTCTCACGAACCAAAGAAAAATTGAGGAATACAAGGATCAATTTTCTCGACCCACATCTCTTAAAGGCGATGCTCTCGCCAATTGATGTGAAGACAATTAACGGCACAATGACGTAAAAACAGATTTAGAATATGAGATACAGGTAAAATGTACCTGCAGCAGATTCCACGACACTTGCAAAATAGGCCAATTCATCAGACTGTTCTACTTGCGATTGCAGAGCGTTGATTTTATTCCTATGGGATCATACGACTGAACAAAGTTTGATGTGGATTAGTTTTACAGGGTGGAAACTACTGAGTCCTTTATATAACGATGAAAATCGATCGAAAATAACAGGCTTGACGAAACCACACTGCCTTGAGAAAATCAAATGCACTGTACCAGCGTATGTCTGCACACACCCATTGGCTGCACGTGATATTTCCTTTGCTCTGATTGGCTGTAATGCAGTTGATAACTTTCGTCTTGGTTTTAGAACACTCGATCAAAAACGGCTCGATTAGACTTTATAACTACGACGCCTGGTTTCTATTTCGAGCTATGTTCTGTAGTAAGTCCATGATAGCGTGTCGAATGTGTCCCATCTTCCAACAAAAAACACCCGGATTCAGAGATGAATTCAGAAATGTGAGGGTCAACGAGTAAAGAAAACATTTCTCAAAAGCAATACCCGGAACAATGACGATGGAGGCCACGGAAAGTAAAAAAGGAGGCAGATATTAGCACAAAAACACGACATGCACACATAATACACAAACTGTAGACTTTATGACGCTAGCAAAGTTCATTACCTCTTCAGTCTGCTGTTGCACTTGGAGGGCTTGAATCTGATTGTTGTGCCGTCGCACAATTACATAAATCTGGAGATAAATTATTGTTGTTTAAAGAGACCAATAAACCCAACGACGAAAGATATTACGCTTTGGATAAAAATAAATCTCGAAAACGCCAGAAAAGAGAAGAACGCACTTTGCATCCAAACTGATATCACCGCCACAACAACACGCCTGTGAGCCACAAGTTCCTGGTATCTCAGATGAAGATGAAGATGAAGAGCTAAGAACCTGTCTACACTTACAACTACCACTCCTAGGAAGGAAGCTTCAGCGAACAAAATACTTGCCAAGTCCAAAAGCCTGTAGATGTAGCAGCTAGGAGGGTTTTGTTGTAACCACTTGATCAGCGTGAGAATGTACAGCGGCTGCTCTAATAAGCCAACACTAACATCAGAAACAGCCAGACTGGGAAGCAATGTTTTCAAAGTTTGCGGTAACGAAGAAACTTTACGTAACGCATAGATTGTCGCGATGTTCATCATTGTGTTTATGATATAAACACATTAAAAACGCAATTAACGATGTAGGTCGAGCGAAGGTTTTCCAATTCGAACATTTGTGGGTAAAAGTCCAGCAAAATGGCACAAGTTGAATTTATCATGATGGAAGGATTCTCACACTGAAAAATCCAGCGGTTGATAAAGAGAATGTCTGACACCGCTAGAGAATTTTTTTTAGACGGGAATATAAATAACTCGGTCTAATTCAGTGCCTTTCATTAATTTTACATCCTGAAGTGGACTCAATAATCCGAAGCTTATGTTTTCAAAACGTTCTGTTTACACAACTTTAATTATTTGTGGTTGGCAGTGAATAATTTGTAAGGCTTGCTATTAAGAGAGGTTTTGAATTTTTTTAATAGTGAAGAGAATTGTACCAGGAGACAAAAATTAAACAGAATTCATTAACCTACAAGCTGCCTTCAATTTGGATACAGAAAACAGCAATCTTTTTGGCATATGAATGATGTGTTTGAAGTATTTGTAGTACTGCATGAATAAAAAGCGTGGTGAATGTTACTAATTAAACACTGTTGAAAGCAAAAAATTGAACTAAATTAGCATTTATACGTACATAATCAGCATGCAAAACAATGAAATTGGGTGAGAATGTAAAATTAGTGTTGTTGTTCACACTGACAATTCACACAGCCAAGTTTTAAATAAACACAGCTTGAGTCATGTCAGGTTTAAAGAAAAGGCTCCAAGCAATTGAGATGAAATGTAAATACTTGTTAAAAGACATATCTTTTAGAAAGGAAAACAAGAGGACATCCAGGAATTTTTTTATTGGGGGGTCCTAACTTTGATTAAATTTTTAATACTTCAAATTGAGTAGTAATGTGTGATCCTGTCACTGTAAAAATTCTAGTGTAAGGCATGTAGTATCAAAACCTACGGGTCTGATGAGAAGGGACTCTGCTTACCTTGATCTTACGGTTGGTTTGCGTAGTGAAACCTCTGTAACGTCTTTCTTGCCTAGTTTTGCTCGGTGAAATCGCCATGTTGACGTAGCTCGTTGTCCTCGGTCAGCTGTACCGTTTCAAAACAGTGATTTGGTGTAAATATCACAGGGCGCTCCATATTTGCAGAACAAAAAACGTCCGCAACGCACAAAAACAAACAACCGAGCAAACGGACCAAAATATACCCTAAATAACTTTCAAAACAAAATAATTTTCATCCTTTCCGATCATTTCTATGTCTGATATCATGGCTATAGTCCGAGAGAATTTAAATGGTAAAAAACCGCTTTTGATTATGTCATTAGAAACTTGGTGTAAACATCCCACATACGCAGAAGTAATTATGAAATGATGGACTTGATTGCTGTAACTAATGATAAGGATTTTTTCCGCTTTGTTCCCAAATTCCCATACCGTAAGTACCATTGTTAACTGCTTTTACAAGCTATTTTTCTTCCATAAGTTTCTTCAACCTAGGAAAAAAGCTTGCTTAGGGCTTTCCCGGGTGACTCTCCCGGAAGGAGACATGAGAACCCAGTGATAGACTATCGGAGATCAAATCCTCAGCATAATAAAGCTGATGTCTCTCAGGAAAAAATTAGGGCGGGAGAAATCTCGATAATAATTAACATCACTACCAAGGCATCGTCTCTTCTTTCCTCAGGAGAGAACAGAAAAAGAAATACCAAAATATGAGTGGCGATTGACATTTCGCACTTTCGGTAACGATTGGGTCTCGTTCTATTTAGTGCTTCCTGTTAACGTCGTGAATGAGTCGTAAAAAAAAAAGTGTCAGTAGTTAAATATCCAACGAATGGGAAAGTACAGAGAATATCATCTATGTTTTACACTTTTTATTGACTAGCACAAGACAACTATTGGACTGTATAAAATTGAAATAGTAGCAGACATGGTCTCAGTCAAACACAAAATAAGTTACATTTGTACAAGTTTGTGCACCATTTCTTCCTTGGTAATGAGATGAGTTGTGCGATTGAGAAGCTGCATCAGAGTGTTGAGGTTGTGAGACCATTCATTAAGAATCTCATTAGATTCCTTGTGCGCACTGAACGTAACGATGCCTGCAGGGCGGTCAATTCTGGCAAAAACTGTTTTGGACACCACTAACTCAGAGAGGAACAATTCAGTCTCCTGAGACAGGATAAAAAAATTGGGTTAGCTGAGGTAATAGTGACACTTAATAGTTCTTTTCACTTCCGTTCCAATTCTTAACACTTAAAAAAACCCCAAAAATTCCATAGATGGATATTGGAGTCTACAGCCTTGATGTAATAGTACATAATTTTGAGATTAGAAGTACTCATTCAGAATTGATTTAACTCATCATGATTCATTTTGTCATAATTATTTCCTCAAACATTACACAGGCTTCGGAGACCTATATCAGTTGCTGTTTCACTGAAGTTAATGAGAGGATGTCTGGAAAAAAGATCGCGTTATGCAGGCATAGGACAAGATTGGATTCAGCTATGAGAGGATTGGGCCTGTTTGCTCCAATTGATGACAAAGCGCAACATTTTATGCTACAGAATAGAACAATTTTGCGTTCATTTTATAACATATACAACTTAAACTTACATCAACAGTTAAGTCCAACAACTGGCTCATTCTTCTTAGTGTTAATCTGGTGTAGTACTTGGCCATGACCCGGATATTCTGTTAAAAAAACGATCAAATACTCACATTTATAAGCTTAAAATTACCTGAAGTCTTTACATTTAACTTCTCCCTTTAATATTCACACATTATCCAGCAAACAGGATATGAGAATATTGAAACCTATCAGGCAAAAGTTGTTATCTTGATCTTACATCAAATTCTCATAACTAATTTCCAGGGAACTGTGAAGTAGCTAGAGGAGAGAATCAACAATCAGATCTTGAGGGTTTTCATATGCACAGTAAAGAGATATTGAGGAGTTTTAAACAGATGTTGGAGAGTTCTTTCAAAACAAACAGTTACATGTACTGACTGTATGGAGAATACAAATTTCTAACGCAGCTTAAAATTTTTTTTAGAGTTAATCCTTCCACCAGTGAGTGTGCATTATGCAATCCAACTAAGTGTAAGCATCAAGTGAAATTCATAACAAAAGAAATACCTTCAAATGAAAACAACAATCAAACTCACATGTTCAACAACCCGTTTTTGTAAGTCTTCCCAGCGCTTTTTGCCTTCATCTGTGTGTTCCTCAAACACACCAGTTGCAGATGGACCTGTTCTTAGTTCAGCTTCATAAACCTCTTTTATGTGAGACCAACGCATAAGTTCAGCTGTGGTGAAGCATTTCAGGAGATCTCTAATAGATAGATCAAACACAAACAAAATTGTAGATTGGTTGTAAAAATACAATTAACTTAATGTAGCAAAGTCTCCTCCCCTCCCCTCCCTCCCTCACTTCCCACATTGAAGATTGGCAATATCTTGATGAATGTCAAAAGGACTAGTTAATAATAATGACAATAAACTGACAGACTTGAAGATCAGGGTTCTTATCATTTGAGAGGGGTCCCTGATATGTTCCTGTTTGACATTTCATGCCTCAGTTAATCAGCCTTTACCTACATTTGCAGCCCTGTCCCTACATCTACACAGTTTGGAAAGCTGCAAAACTCTAGAACAAAAATTCATCTTTTATATTAGCTCTCTTAATCCCCATGGCATCTACAAATGCTTTTCATTCACCTAATTTATTATTGAGTTTTTTATGTTATCATATTCCCACCAATAGCACAGCTCCATCCTTCTTTACATAAACTACACACAACCCACATTCCTCTAATTTCTCTGACAAGGGGTCAATGCTTGAAAAGTCAACTTTGGAAACTCTTTGTGGTGGCCAATTTACATATTACTAACACAGTGGATAAAACCAAATTAGCAAATATCTCACATTTTTTCTACCAAATGATTGTCTGCTCAAAAACACCAATTCAATGTTATTCAAATGACCACATGATTGAGAAAATAACATGAATAACTGACTTATGACTTAAGATATTTTGCATGTGTTTATAGATTAGAAATGTGGATTTAACAACTAATACTCAGATAGTTTGACCCTGTCAGATCTCATTTAGCATGATATACCTGTAAAGCGATATTTCCTCCAGAGTTTTCTCTTCCCCAACACGGTGAATGAGATCTGATTGTTCATTATCATATGGTGAAAGAACAAGGAACAGCACCACATTTCTTAACACCTGTATAACAAACAAAAAAAAAATTCACTTTTTTCACATTGTGGTGGTTGCTGTTTCACAATCTGTATTTTCAAAAACGTTAGTACTCCTTGTGTCTTGGTGTTTGTCCTTCTTATCACTGTAGCCTTGAAGCTATGTTTATTTTTTCATCACAATGAGAAAAAAGCCACCCTCTTAAATTTTCCCCTACTCACCTCATGCTTTTTCTCTTTGTCCTCTAAGACAGACTGTGTATCAAACATGGCTCTGTAGTATTTACAGATATCTAAGTAGCTTCCCTCATGTCGTGCCACCTCAATCATTAGCTGGTAGAACTTCAGCTTTAGATCCTGCTCCTGATTATTTTCAAAAAACTTTGGGCTGATCTTCTTACTGATGATCTGTGTTCTAATGTAATCCTTCTTAGCCAAACATAATCTCATTTGCTCCAAGATGAATTCCACTTTTTCCCGCTTTTCCATAGACCCATATGTCTCCACCTGCAAGTTTAAAACATATATCAAAATCACTTAAACAAAGATCTTTCCATCAAAGTGTTAGTCTGACAAGATTCCTGAACAGTCTTCATTCAGAAAAGACCCTTGTTTGCCAATCTATCAAAATGCACAATTGGAATTCTGGAAATTTTTATTATTTGCAAGTGTGTATTTATTCAATTTTTCCAAATAATAGGCCATTCAATAAAACTGGTTTAACTTATTTAAAAACATTTTATCTATATCTATTTGATTTTGATTTGTTGTCTAAAATGTCTGACAGCCTACATACAATGGTGATTGAAATCACTAGAGTGCAATTTGGTCTGAAAATTAAAAGTACAGGGTTGTCATTAGAAGCGATGAGGCGGCAGAAACCCACCAGCTGTCAAACCATTTTGGTGCTCAAAGAGAGATATAAGTATTTTTTAACTGATTATTCTAGCATCAATGTCGGGATAACAAAAGTTACTCAAATATGTTCCAGAGTGTTAGAAATCATATCTCAGAGAGTTTCAAATTTCAAATTTTTCTGGAGGAGTATGCCTTTGTACCCCTCTGCTTCATCATTGGTTTTCAAAATGTATAATTTTGTTTCCATTATCATACCTGCAGCTCTTGTAGGATGTTGGCTGCCTCTACACATTAAAAGGAAATAAAATGAGACAGTTATTTATGGCAATGGTAACTCTTTATTTGAAGTAAGACTTAAATAAGAAGACTTTTTTATCAATTCATCTACACCAGTTCAACTCTAAAAAAAGATACCTAAATAAATGAAGTTTAAACCAATGCATTAAAGTCATTACATACAGGTGCATACTTGTTTCAGTCCATTAAAGGTACTTATCACTACAGATTATTATTAATACTGGAAAAAACAGAGAAAAGAGAAAAACAAAAGCACAGGTGCACATGGCAATTGATATCCTTTCTTACATAGGGTTTGAAAGGGAATGGGGTAAAACAAAAATTACCTGCAATATCTCCCTGGTCTTCCTTTATTTTAGCAAGCATCCTTGTCAGACGAGCCCTCTCAATCTCAACATATATCTAAAATGAAGTAAATGTTGCTATTAAAATTACTGTCAAAAATTTTATAAGCTTATTGGCTCATGATTGCCAAAACTTCGTCCTAGTTTTTCCTAACAAAAGCCAAATTGTCAGTATTGCTACCTCTCCTCGATGGATGCTAAGCCACCTTGTATTACCCCTCTTGTCTGTCTACATTATCTGGCGAACAGGTGATGAGAATACTCAAACTTATCAGTTAGGAGTTGTTATCTAGATCTAACACCAAACCAATTTGACAAGGAGAATGCGTACCAGCTAAGAAGGACAATTAACAATCAGATCTTGGAGGTTAAAGGGTTAAAGTAACAATACATCAAAGAGCCCTGAACTTTCACCAGGAAAGGTTAATACATCATAGATGATCAGGTTCTTTTGGCAAATTTTATTAGGAATAGGAAAAAAATTATTTCAAAATGAATTCCTACAGTGAACCAGACTTACTTTGAAAGCACTTCATGGAAATGGGAAGAATTTATACATTCTTTAACACTGTTTACCCAGATAATAAAGTTACTAAAGGGTTAAAAATTCACAATGCTAGCAGCGTAAGCTAATTTTACCTTTCCTGCAGTGACTGTTCTGAGAGTGTCTATTAATTTCAATTTAGTTTCTAGATCAGGAGTTTGTTCCACATAGGTAAAAGCTTCCTGGATCATTTTGGTTACAGCCTGAAAAGAATGACATAAAAATCTGTAAACATATCTTATAAGGTGAACAACAAGATACAGTTGAATTTGTTAAGCTGTACCATATTGAGCAGTCACCCTGTATTCTGCAGCTGGTTGTCAAAGTCCTGAAATTCGTTTCCCCTTAACCACTGTTATTTTCACCTCTATTAACCCTTTAACTCCCATGAATGACCAAGACAGAATTTCTCCTTACAATATCAATACAATATCAAGCAGACAAGTGATGAGAATAAAGAAAAATATCAATTTGGGTATAATTAGTTGATCCAATACTAAATTCTCTGAACTACATTATAAGAAATGTATGGCTGATAGTAAGGAGAATTACAAATTTGAACTGGGAGTTAAAAGGTTAAGTTGTCATGGTCACCAATGAGTGAGTCCTTATGGCCTGTTTGTACTGTCCTCAACTTGTATTGAACCATCACTTATTACAGAACCGCTCAAATAAAACTATGAATGATCTCTCAAATAAAGTTTAATCATGTTAATAAGTAATATTTTTGAGCAAATTTTTGAGCAAATTTTTGTACCTTACATAGTTAACTAGGGCATAAAATGGTGTTTTCCATTGTTTTTTATCACACCGCTATTCTGTGGAGCCTGTATAAGGCAGTCAACCTGTATTAACCCATTAACTCCCATAAATGACTAAGACAGAATTTCTCCTCACAATATCAACCAGATAAGTGATGAGAATAAAGAAAAACATCAATTTGGGGATAATTAGTTGATCCAATACTCAATTCTCTGAACTAACATTATAAGAATTGTATGGTTGATAGTCTGGAGAATTACAAATTTGGTCTGGGAGTTAAAGGGTTAACCAGTTACCCAGCCATTCCCCATGGGTGACCACCTAATACAGGTTTGATTTTAAGTTCATGTACCCATCCATAAAATACACAACCAAATATCTACTCTTCTCTCAAACATCTGATCAAAATGTCTCCCCCTCTCTAAGTCAAGTAGAACACTGTATAAAACTTTGGAAATACAATTTAAGTACTGAAAAATCTCTACCTGTTTAAGCTGACTCCTTCTTTTTGTTAGGATCACAATATGTTCATTCAGTGCATTCCAGTCTTTGCTCTTGAAACAGAGTTGGACTATGCAGACTAAAACACGACTCGTGGAATGCATGTCTGCAGCCTACAGACAAAGAGGAACTAATGCGTATTGTAAACTAAAAACATATGCAGCAAGCTACACATGTGGATAGAATTCAAAACTTTTCTACAATAGAAACTTGATTTCAACCCTTTTTCAACTATGTAGGTATTAAATTTTTACTGTTACATTTATCTCATGAATTCTGACCATAATCAATGTAAATGAGGCTCTTGAAATTAAATAATTTTCATGACAGATTAGATTTTGACACTTGCTTAAATTGCATTTAAACATCTGCAACAAAACCTGGCCTCTGAAATTTGGTTCCCACTTATCAAGTAAACATACAGCTACCAATTCATGACAAAATGAACCCTATGAAGATTTCGATCGTCTATTATTGCGCTGATAACTTAACCCCAAGATGAGGAATATTAATATGATTGACAACGGACATTAACTCAAAGGAAAACTCATTTTACATACCGTCCGAGTTTGCTTCTCGAGGGCCAAAAGAATCTCTAGGGCTTCATTGAGTTTTCCATCCTGATGAAAGGATATATAAAGAGACTTTTCGTGAACCAAATAATATGTCTAAGTGTGAATAGTTTTCGCCCAACACGTGCAGAATGCAGTTGTTACATAGGACATATAATGACAAAAAATTGGTTAGAAAAGGTAACTACTTACGGATGCTAATGCTTCACACTCTGGTATTCTCTTATCTACAGTTTCACTGTAGTCAATCTCCATTTTAACAACATTTCCTTTCATATCCGTAGTAGTCGCCATTTTGAAAATTTAGTTGTCTGACAGTCAGCATTCCTGAAAAGGATCATGGGTAGGGTTAGTCAGCACTCGTGACAGTCCTTTACATAGCCGAAGTTCGCATAAGGGCAATCGCTATGAAATTGTCGAACTCACGGTAAACGTGCTCGAAAGTTTTCTTCAACCACGGTTACAATAAAATATCCAGTAAATGAAAAGTCTAACTATGTGACTAGTTGGATAATCGTTATGCAATAGTGTGTAGGTGAAGGTCAATGAATTTGGGTCATTATGAGACTGGGGAGAGAGAGGAGGGAAACCATTTGCACCTTCCTTAACCATTTCACTCCTAGATCAAATTTGGCATTCTCCTCACTGTCAACCATACAATTCTTACAAAGTTAGTTCAGAGAATCTAGAATTGGATCAACTAATTATCTCCAAATTGATATTTTTCTTTATTCTTTTCACTTATCTGGTTGATATTGTGTTGATATTGTAAGGAGAAATTCTGTCTTGGTCACTCATGGGAGTTAAAGGGTCAAGTGCCTTACTTTCAGCAGGGGAACTTTCAGAATTTACTCTCAACATCTAGAGTGATTTTGGGGGATCTTTTTATTGGATCAGTTCCCCGTAGAAATACAGATACTGGAAGTGAAAGTCTCCTATCTTGGGATTTAAAAAGATTCAAATCAAGTATGGGTGTGTGCTTAATGAATTTATTTGTTCATGGTGGGGCCCAACCCTCACTCATTGAACACTTTCCTTGTGTTTGCAGGAAAATTGCAAAGTCGTTTTGGGAGCTTGAACATAAAATTGAAGAAAATGGTTCTCCATATTTCTTAGTTCCTGTAGCAATATTTGGCTTTGGAAAATAATGTCATAAATTTTACTGCCACCTTTGGCAGTGAAACAAGGAAGAATGAAAATGTCTTTTTCTTAAAAAAATTAGATTGATCCAGGAGGCAGTAGCCTTAGTAGTTTTTTAGTGATTGGAAACAACAAGAAGTTCAATTTTTTTCAACAGCAGTCAAATCAATCAATAAATAACCAAATAAATAAATAAAAAACAAGCTTGCAAGCTTCTTCGAAACCAATTATTCAGTCACATTTCCTTTGTTAAATTATTGACCACAAAGAATTTAGAATGAATGAGATATTAAATAACCCACACATCTACAGTTTTGTACAGAGTTTTAATACACCTTCTAAACTCTACCAATTATACATAGTCTGTCTAATTTAAAATACCGTGTATTTATTAATATGTAATCAATATAATATTATAGCTCTTTCCAAAATTTATACAGTCTTAAGTTGATATTATTTTAGGATTTTTTCCACACTGTAGCAGTAGGTTACCAATCCAGTGTAGCAACTGAAACAGAACTGTTCAGTAGTTCACAAAAATTTAGAAGCACTTCCGGTGCACAATAGATGGACCAGATTCGTCATATTCCTGTTTGGAGATCCACATCTGTTGGAAGGTTGATAAGGAAGCCAGGATGGAGCCTCCAATCCAAACAGAGTACTTGCGCTCAGGAGGAGCAATGATCTTGATCTTCATGGTTGGTGGGGCAAGAGCAGCAATTTCTTTCTGCATTCGGTCAGAAATACCAGGGTACATAGTTGAACCACCAGAGAGGACAGTGTTGGCATAGAGATCTTTACGGATGTCAACGTCACACTTCATGATTGAGTTGTAGGTTGTCTCATGGATACCAGCATTTTCCATGCCAAGGAAAGAGGGCTGGAAAAATGCTTCTGGGCAGCGGAATCGCTCGTTTCCAATAGTGATCACCTGTCCATCAGGGAGCTCATAGCTTTTCTCAAGGCTGGAGCTTGAGGCAGCGGTCTGCATCTCCTGTTCAAAGTCCAAGGCAACATAGCACAGCTTTTCTTTGATGTCACGGACAATTTCACGCTCAGCAGTGGTTGTGAAAGAGTACCCTCTCTCTGTAAGGATCTTCATGAGGTAGTCAGTCAGATCTCTGCCTGCTAAGTCAAGACGAAGGATAGCATGGGGAAGTGCATATCCTTCATAAATTGGTACTGTGTGGCTCACACCATCACCACTGTCCATAACAATACCAGTGGTACGACCAGAGGCATACAAAGACAAAACAGCCTGGATAGCTACATACATAGCTGGTGTGTTGAAAGTCTCAAACATGATCTGCAAAACAACAAATCAAGATTGACATCAATTGTCACCGAAATCCAAAATTTGAAGAGGATCTTTATATAAGTTGAATGAAAATATCTATTTCATCCCCAGATTTAGCATGGTTGTTATAGGGAGTCCGGAAGCCTCTCACTGGAATTTGGGTTGGTTGGATGATAAGTAATTTCCCTCCACAAAGAGAAGATCGCAGGATGCCAAGTAGACCCACACCCCTTAGTTACATCGTTGATCACTGACCGAACTCAAAATGAAAAAGGAAGAGTAGCTGGTATTTGAAGTAAAAAAAGACAACATCAATTTAGTTTACAATCAAACACGGTCAAATGATCTAGCGTTCTGAACAAGTAAACATATATTGCGGAAACAATTGAGGCGATGACGGAAACAATCCTCTGATGACCGGTTCACCCAAACTTACGAAACAATAGAAAATAAATTCATAAGTCAGGGCGAGGACGACTTGATCATACTATTTTCATATGCTATTTGTCCGATCGCGCTCGTTTCATTACAGAATATACACCCGTGGATCATGAACGAAAAAAGGGGGTGGAGTGTCATTCTTAAGTCCAATTGGGGGCGGGATACAATTTTTCTTTACAGTTTTAGTAACATACCTGGGTCATCTTTTCTCTGTTTGCTTTAGGGTTCAGAGGAGCTTCTGTCAGGAGAACAGGGTGTTCTTCAGGAGCAACTCGAAGTTCGTTATAGAACGTGTGATGCCAGATCTGCAAAACAATACAAAGTAATTTTTAGGATCGAGATTGCGGAGAAGATTTTAAATTAATTTCCTTGTTAGCGCATTTCGTTGTTTACCTTTTCCATATCGTCCCAGTTGGTGACGATTCCGTGTTCTATGGGATATTTCAGTGTTAAAATTCCTCTCTTGCTTTGCGCCTCATCGCCGACGTACGAGTCCTTCTGGCCCATACCAACCATCACTCCTTGGTGGCGAGGACGGCCGACGATCGAAGGAAAAACAGCCCTTGGAGCATCATCTCCAGCAAAGCCAGCTTTGCACATACCAGAGCCATTGTCTACGACCAAAGCAGCAACGTCTTCGTCGGCCATTTCGTTTGGAAGGTTTATTGATCGAGACACTGAGATATCAACCACGAACACTGAATGATGTCGGAGGTAATAGGACGTACAAGTGTTATGGTACCGCTATATATACGAGTGTCACACAACAGTAAAGTAGCATGTTGTGACCAAATTTGGTAAAAATTTGAAACTGTTCCAGGATCAGTCGGAACATGACAGGGTGACGCAAGTCGGAAAAGGGTGAAAAAATTTCCTTATGCGGAAACGTGTAATTTTAGCACTTGATCATCATACGAGCCAGTTTCGATCTTGCATTTCAAGGCTATTTTCTCGTCAACTTTTAGCTTAAAAATTCGAGTAAATCGGAAAAAAAGAAAAGAAACTAATAATCGGTAAGTAATACAGCAATTCCAATCCAAGATCTTTCAACTAAGCGGGTTGCCGAACACTGAACATTGGGTTGTATCCCGCGCCGCAAACCATTTAAGGCTGAAGAAAAAAATGAATAACTAAATGAAATCTCGTGTAACCTCGATGACTTTTCATCGAAATTGTTTCCTATAATGACTACGAGTCACTACTTGAGAAAATTTCAAAGCACAGTTCCCTTCCGTTCGTTACTCCTTGTGGGGGAGTGTATGTTAATTCTTTCTCGGCACATTACAAAAACAAGCAATGAATGTTTTAACGAGCGTGTTGACAGCTTGTCAAAATAAACTGGATTTACATTGACCTCTAACAATTTTGAGCTCAGATCAATTGCGTAATGAAATAAATCACACAAAAAAAGCGATCTTCCACCATCTATTACAGCCATTAAATATGATAATATTTTAGACCAAAAAATAAGTCAGTTTTCTTTATCCTACATCTTTTTCATATAATTATTTTCGGCTTTTGTTTGGGAGTCGAATTCTATCCAGAGTCTTATTTTTTCATATTTCCGAGGTTCTTATGACTATTCCTGTATGAGTAACGTATGAAAAATGCTTTTTTTTTTTTTTCCTTTCTGAACGTAAAGCACATTAAAAATGTTGCACGCCTATGACTATCCGCTCCTCCCCGCTAAGAAATCAGGAAGGGGACGGGTGACCGCAGATAAACGGACAGGCTCGGCATATGAGTAAATACTTAGAGGTTGGTTAAAGCGTCATAATAATCGATAAGAGCTTTCAGGTCATTGGATGTAAATCGAAACCAGTTAGTGTAGTAACAAAGTACACAGGAAATATATCCTAATTCTCATCCGGCTCAGGCCGACCGAAATAAAATGTGGGGACCAAAATATTTTAACAGAGGGTTTTATACTAAAGTCTTCCAGGAGAAGGGACTCTTGCATCTTACTAGTATTAGGGCAGCGTTACAAGTAATGTATCGAAAGTGATTTATTGTGGGTGATGTGTTGTAAAATAGTTGATGTATTTTAAGTAATATATGTCGTAAATAAAGATTTGTATATATAAATAAACCCCTTGAATTATGTTTTTTTTTTGTTGATAAGGAATGGGGTCGGTCCCATCCAGCGATGATCACAACCCACCCCATACCCTCTTCAAACGGTCGCGAGTGTCTCAAATTACAAAAGGGAGTGAACTCAACAAATGGGGTTTCAGTAAGGTTTTTTTGATGCTACCCGTAATCAACACAAATCTCAACAGATCTTGGAGAACCAAAATACGAGTGGCAAAGACAGTGAATAAACTACAACATTTAAAAGAAGCAATAAACACGATTTTATCACTTAGATAAAAAAAAAAAATGAAAAGCGAACAGGTTTGAGCAAATGCTCAATTTTACTTTACCGAACTCTCGTTTGTGAAATGAAGTTTCAGTTTGATGTATACTTCTGGGAACACGCTGTAAAACGCACCGCACATGAGTGCAAATTTGAGCATCGGTCAATTACGCATTTCCGGTTAAGTATTAAAATCCAATGTAAACAAGATAAAATCCCGTACCGCGAAGTTTGAAAACAAAAAGTAAGAGTTAGCATAAGAAAGTAGGGGAAAAGTTTGTCTCGTTGAAAAGTTTGTTTTTTCATTTGAGTTTCAAGCGCTTGCACCGAGGGGTTTGGTGTTTGCACCAACAACAAAATATGAAAGAATTTCGGGCGCGTTCGTGCTCGACAAGAGCAATTTTTTCCACGTAGTTGTTTTTGTTGCGCTGGTTCGGTCGTGTGGTTCCTTCGCAGAAAAGTGTGGGGAAGCCAACAAAAGCAGCCGCAAATGTGCCGGCCGAAAGTATTTTCTGTATGAAGATTTAACTGATTAATCTGAACAACCGAACAACACATAAAGAGCGCACACAACTGTAAATGCCCGAAGTTGACGCATGCCTATACGTTTTGCCGTTAGGTGCAAATGCCAAATGAACCCAGTCCTAATCGCGTACTTAGATCCTATCATAGCTACCGTGGAAGGTCTGGGTACGAGATTAATCCAGTTCGTTCTCCAAATGGAAGCCATTGAAATTGTTATGAACAGTTATCAATCAAAATTATCTGTTGAATTCATTACCATATTAAGTCAAGGAAATTACCATATAAGGTAATAAACTGACCTAATTAATCTGACCTCCCTCTTAGTACCCCCATTTGCTCTCTGTTACGTATGTTCATTAGGCCAATTAAAAGAGTAGATTGAAAGAAATCCTTACTTTTTAGGCTGCTAGTGAAAGAGAAAACCTTAAAATGGCTGATGATGATATTGCTGCGTTGGTTGTAGACAATGGCTCTGGTATGTGCAAAGCTGGCTTTGCCGGGGACGATGCACCCAGAGCTGTCTTTCCGTCGATTGTTGGCCGTCCTCGCCACCAAGGAGTGATGGTTGGTATGGGCCAGAAAGACTCGTACGTCGGCGATGAGGCGCAAAGCAAGCGAGGAATTTTGACGCTGAAATATCCTATTGAACATGGAATCGTCACGAACTGGGACGACATGGAGAAGGTAAGTTTTGAAACTAAGAAGATCTGCCCACATATCGAAGCGCGTCACTTGAATCTCTGGAAGTTCAAACACGAGGCGTTTTCCTCACGTGTCTTTTTTCGTTACAGATCTGGCATCACACGTTTTACAATGAACTCCGAGTTGCCCCTGAGGAACACCCTGTTCTCCTTACAGAGGCCCCTTTGAATCCGAAGGCAAACCGAGAAAAAATGACGCAGGTAAATTCAAGAAAATTTATCAGAGGGCTTAATGTGGGTGTTTTCTTTTTAATGTCTTTGGTTTTGCGCACTAAGCATTTTGAAAGGATTGAAATGGCTCAGTGTCTAACATAAAACTTCCGTTTCAAATATTACTTTTCATCTAACATGGAACGGCTAAGGAACATTTTAGATTTAGGTTATTTTTCGGCGTGCCCACTTAAAATGTTGTAACGAAAAGCAACAAGATGTTCGGGGATGAAATTGCTTTCCTCATAGTTCAAGCTTAGGAAACTTCACTTTCACTTAAATGTTAAGACGAAAAAAATGGCGGTATGAATATAGCAGACAACTCAATTTTAGAGGTTTAAAACTCATCTCATTCGTATTTTCAGATCATGTTTGAAACATTCAACTGTCCAGCTATGTATGTAGCTATCCAGGCCGTGTTGTCTCTGTATGCCTCTGGTCGTACCACTGGTATTGTTCTGGACAGTGGTGATGGTGTGAGCCACACCGTGCCTATTTACGAGGGCTATGCCCTGCCCCATGCAATCCTACGTCTAGACTTAGCTGGGAGAGATCTGACAGATTACCTCATGAAGATTCTAACAGAACGTGGTTACTCCTTTACGACCACTGCTGAGCGTGAAATTGTCCGTGACATCAAAGAAAAGCTGTGCTACGTGGCATTGGACTTTGACCAGGAGCTGCAAACTGCTGCTTCAAGCTCCAGTCTTGAGAAGAGCTACGAGCTTCCTGATGGTCAAGTCATAACCATAGGAAATGAGAGGTTCAGGTGCCCCGAAGCATTGTTCCAACCATCTTTCCTTGGCATGGAAGCTTCTGGTATCCACGAGACAACCTACAACTCAATCATGAAGTGTGACGTTGACATCCGTAAAGACCTCTATGCCAACACTGTCCTCTCTGGTGGTACAACCATGTACCCTGGTATTGCTGACCGAATGCAGAAGGAAATCACAGCCTTGGCGCCCTCCACCATGAAGATCAAGATCATTGCTCCCCCTGAGCGCAAGTACTCTGTTTGGATTGGAGGCTCCATCCTGGCTTCCTTATCAACTTTCCAACAGATGTGGATCTCCAAACAGGAGTATGATGAATCTGGTCCAGCCATTGTGCACCGCAAGTGCTTCTAAACCTTACCACCCTTGTTGATTCTCAACATTATTTATCCTTCCCAAAAATTTCAAACTTCAGCTATTACAGGAAATATTTCAAAATGAACATCAAGATGCCTTATCCAGTTGGTGATATTATTTACCTTTGTTTCTTAAAACAATTACAAGTTACTCTTTGCAATGTTTAATAAACTCACACTCAGAACCCTGACAGTTTAAATCTTTGATATCTCACCATGTACATTGCTGGTTTCTGATCGTTTCAGTAAAGACGTTTTATCTTGTTCATTTTGTGTCCGCTCCTTTTTTTTTATTGATACCCTGCCTCTAGATAAGCCATTACCACATCCCAGCTTATCCATACCTTTCTTTATGGAAAGAAATCTTTTGGGCACCTAAAATGATAGTCCTTGCACCTAGAAGCTTCCTTTTACTCTGCTGGGTTTCACACACAAAAAAGTGTGGGTACTATTCCCTTGGGAAAAACGGCAAGGACATGTCCCCTTTAGATTCCAATGGCATCAACATCAAAATTTGAAAATGAGTGTTTACAAACAGTGTTTCTAATTGAGTAAGGAATGTCAAATGATTGTTGGTGTTAAAACTAAAGGAGTATTGTCTTATTTGACAAGTGTTATTGTCTAAGAAACAACAAGAAAAACAGGTTGGCTTTCAATTTTTATTTCTCAGCATAAAAAATGTAAAGAATTGAGCAAAAAATTCTTTGAGGGCATCTTTCTTTTACTAAACAAAACAAAACCTTTCACGGTGCCTTTTGAATACATATTCACTAAGTTGGTGAAATACGTAAACCACATTTTTTGTTTCGTGTAGTATACTATTCGGTACACTCTATTTCTCTAAGATTCCTGCCTAATAGTCTTATTTATAAATCTGAAGAATAATTAATGTCCCAAATATAAGAGAGAAGCTTGCCAGTTCAGTGGAAGGCCGCCTATGAGAACCAATGCTAAAAGTAAAGGCTAGAAATTGTGAAACATGCCCTTCAAAGGTACTGCAATGAGCAAATAGTCTACTCTGATTGTCAAGATATGTTTACTGAACCAAAGGGCAAATCCAACAAAAAAGTGTTGGAGTGCTGGGTAACTTTCTCTATGAAAGTTGAAATTGATAACCAATCGACAACCTAAGTAGCTCCATTCTCTGAAAACACACACAAAAAAAAAACCATTGAACATTTCAAGTTTCAAAAACTTTTCCTGCTAACATAAGCTAAGGGAAGAGCTATTAAATAAAATGAGTTTCATTTGCAGTTTCATATCAAAGATCTTTCCCTAATCCTCATTTTGGACCAGAAGCTCCCGTCATTTTGGGAATGACCCTATCAATATTGAAACTACAGATTCTGACAGGAAGCTTTTCCTTGCAATAAAACTCCATTTGTGGGACTGTATTCAATTATTTTCCCTCCCTTTTTGGGAAATACTATTTTGCACATATTTTGCATGTCTATTAAACTAACTACTCTATGTAAATTAAACTCTCCATCCATATATATTTACTAGTTGTACCTGTTTGTCAATCAATCAGTCATACTTGTGACCAAATTTTACAGTCACCTTCTTTTTCCACAGCATGTTTTCTAAATCAACACCCATACTATTGCTTTTAAGAGTCAGCAGTAAAAGTTCCAGTGTGTTCCTGAGTGATTGCTCTTAGGACAACAATTTCTGACAAATAAAGGGATCAACATGTAATTCATCCAGAAAAGGGTAAGAACCAAGGTAATGAAACAATAGACCACATGCAATGAGTGAATAACATGTTTCCCTTTATGAGATGATTAAAAAAATGTATGGAAATCTCTGGTAATGGGGAAATTGTTGACTGAATCATGTATTATGACTGAATCATATTTTTGTTATTATTTGCTCTGCAAATAATAAAAAAGCTGGATTTCTATTGCATTATAATCCACTTACATGCCAGAGCTTCACAACTGTACAGCATTTGCAAAAAATATGGCAAACATTTGTTTCTTAAATACAAAAGTACAAAAAGCCATAACTTAAACTTCCAAAATAAACAAAGTTTTGTGTATATATAAAAAAAACAAACCAAAAAGCAATAACAATCTGGGTGTATCCAGCTAAGACTGCTTTTTATAATAAATGTTTGACCACAAGCAAAAGAGGAAACTTAAAAAAAGTCATATCAAAAAAGCCAATATGATGAATAGGATGGCATCAAATATAAGTTACGTTATAAATTGTAAGAATTTTCTTGAACTATACCATTTAACTAGTGAAAAGTGAAATATAAACCTAGATCATCATTAGAAGGCATCAATAGGTCAAGGTCAATACATTTGGGCAGTTAGGCACAATAATGTTGAACTGTATGTACACTTCAAGACACATTTCACAGAAGATATACAGCTGACAAGGAATCAAGATAATCAACATAATTATCAAAAAGAACCCTTAGTTCAATGCTGCTTGAGTGACTTTCTTTTTCCTGGCTTGAAGCATGTCGTAGAATGGATCAATGATCATACTAGCCCTGAGAAAAAAAAAAAAGGAAAAAAATAATTCATCATCTGTGATCAAATGCAGTTGAATATACTCAGTCTTGTAATATCTCCTCAGGGTAAGGGGGGGTATGTGTGTATGTGGGGGAGGGGGGAAAAAAACAATCCTGGGTTTAAAGTGCTTGGGTTAACTTTGGAAGGAAACATATTAACAGTCAGAAAATATCCCTGAGAAGGAAAGAGAGGCAACAAATGTAACCCCCTAATGGAAACCATTCATCTATCCTCAAACCTTAATTTTTCTCAAACATCATTGGCACATCAGTGGAGTTATAAATATTTCTGTAAATATCATTTTTTAGGAAACAATTCTGATTGATCAAGATTAGGATCAATGATACCAAGAGTTTACTCAACTCAAAATTAGAGAGAACAAGTTTTCTCACATTTCCACCAGATTGAAATTAAAAGATGTTTCCCTGATACAAAATTTTTGCTCACTTCCTGTCAACTTACATCAACTACCCTATATCTCAAACTTTTTTCATTTTCCTTCACAGTTTTAGTTATTAAGGTGTTAAAGTTCATAAAAGCTATGAAAAAAACATGTTTAACTCACTTGATACAACCAATCCAGATTTCCCTTTCTTCCTCAGAGAATGCACAGATACGGTATACATCATGATGTCCTGCAGTATTTTAGCAATGAGTTACAAGTGTAGTACATATCAGGTACACAAAACATGAGGTCTACCAGGACTGAAAGGGGACTTCAGCAGGAATCAGAATTTTAAATTCCTGTATTAATAGTAATTATTATAATAGTAGTAATTATTAAGAACAATATTAGTTATCAATATTATTATTTTTGCAGTACATCGTCATAGTTGTCTCAGTCAATGCACACAACAATTGGAGTCAATTTTTTTCCATTAATAGAAACCTTCTGACCTTCTACAACTTTTCCTTCAGAGTCTGTTTTACAAGCTTTTATAAGCCCTGAGGAATTATCAGCTGAATATATTTCGAAGCAATACTGAAAGAAAAACAAAAAAATCCTATGTAGAGCAAGTCCTCTTAGGTCAATTCTGTATCAATATATAACTAAAACAAGCCTTACTACTAATTTCTACAAGCTTACGTTATTATTAAAAGTTACCTTTCTCCGTGCATCTTGCACTTCTCTAACTTGTAAATTTTCCAAAGGAATAATGCCACGTGGTTCTCTGTCCTATAAAAACATTGCAATTTTTCCAAGCCTTAACAACACCACTGGAAAATGATAACTTCCAATTCACTAAAAAAACAGGACCTGCTATTAATACTGAATGCCTTGGTCACTGAAAAATAGCAAAGTACTTGAGTGCACTTGTCACTTCTCCTTTCCACCTAACATGTATTTTCTTCTGAATAAGTAAGGAGAACTTGGTGTTTTATCAAGGTAACACCTAGTTGGTGACTTTGTCTTTTCTATCCACATGTTTGCTGCATAATGTACCAATATTGCAAGAAGAATTTACACAATTATCAATCATTTCTGATAGTTCATTGAAAGGGTTATAATACACCAAAGTAATGTTTTGGGAGGTAGACAGAAAACTTACCCCTATATTCTTGAAATAATAGAGGCAATTATCTTTAAGGATGAAGTACCGTTTCCTCCAACTTTTGTGCAATCCACCTTGACAAATATGAAAATATGTTTGTGAGATTTTGCAAATTTTGTGGTTAAGTAAAAAAAAAAAACTCATAAAAACACAAAAGCCATTACCTTCCTTTATAAGCCAGCCTTCCCTATCAGGATTGAAAAATGTTCTTGTTATATCATTTCCATCGTCTTCTGGGATCTTGAACTGTTCATTTTTTATGCTCTCATATAAACTCTAGAATTATAGCAAAAGAAAGTAACAAATGTAACTATACACATGCAGCTCTATACATTTAGTGCCTAGTACAAAACAACTCCTCTTCCTCCCCCCCCTCCCACCCTTTCAAGGCTAATCACAGTGTGGTAATTTTCCAATATACACTATTGATTATTTGAATAACTTTTTCTCAAATGAGAACCACTTAGGCATGACAGTTGTCTTATCCTATGTAAACACTCTCACTGATGTACTCGACAGAACTCAAAGCACACTTCAATCTAAAAACATTAGGTTTGAAGGCAAAATTTAAGTGACCAGAGTCTATGGACCCTTCCAACAGGGACAGAAATACACAGACATGTACCCAGAGAATATAATTTCTTATCTGTCTGCTCTTCAAGTTTATTCAAGAAGTGGAGATTTTATTTTGATCTAAACAACATGTTAACAATTTTCCAATAAAAAGTACTGAGAGAACAGACTAGCATTTCTTACATGTAAATCTCTACTGGATTTAAAATAATTCACCAACCGCTAGGGTGTCCGAAGGTATATCTTCTCCACAGTTGATTCCTCTGTTCATTTGAATAAATTTCTCCAACGTAGGCTACAAAACATAATAAGCTGATTAATGATGTTACCTGCACAATTTTAATCACACTGTTTCTTCATAGTTGTCAGAATATAGATAATAATAATAACAATAATACTTTTCTGGAAATGTTGTGGCCTAATGTATAGGACCCTAAACTCTGGAGTAAAAACTTGAGCACTTGCTAGAATTTTATTACACTAACCTTATCCTTGACACTTGGGTTGTGAAGACTGGTGTTCAATAAGATGATTGAGAAGCTCAAAACATAGCAAGTATCTGTAGATTGAAACCAAATGTTTTTTTTTTAGATGCAATGATTATAACTTACTTATCTTTTGTATTCAACTCACCAGTTGATGTAAACATTTCTGGGTTCTGATCACAATATCTCTTAGCAAATGCTTCCATCATTCTGTCAATCTTCTGGGCTTCACCAGGTAGACGGAAGCTCCACAGGAACTCTCTACAGGGATAAAAACAACCACTGGTTGATGATGAAGATGTTAACAGAAGATATTGTATTAAATGAGTAGCCAACACAAAGCATTGCCAACAATTTTGTAGACCCTAATTGTGTGAGTTACACATTTGTCTCAGTTGTACTTCTGTGCATATATGGTTACTACAGTTATACTAAACTTTATGGCATAAAATCCATTTCAAAAGACTACAGCTTGATAATTTTGTGAGACCACTGAAGGCCTCAAAACAGAAGCTCTCACTGACAGTGATGTTTTGCATTTAACACATTTGATGAGTCTGCTGAGACAGATTGGTTGCTAGGTTTCTATTTTCTGAATCAAGGTGTGTTTCTTTTTTAAGTTCTGCCATCCATTAACATGGCTCTGCTGCCTTCACTTTTGTCAATCACCCTCAAAACCATCTGCTATGCAAACTATGCTCCTGATCACCTCAAATTTCTGAGCAGAAGTAAGTAAAACATTGTAGTTGTCAAGCTGACTCACCTCAGGGCGTCTACCAACAATCTTCGTTCAAAATTGTGAAGCTCAACAAAGATTCTGAATACTTCTAGGTTAAACTCTTTGCTGTGTAATGATATTGATTCAATAATCAAAGTAAGCACTATTTTGCTGACAGGGGAAGTTTTGAAAATGATCACACCATGTCTGAATAATACACACTATTATCATGGAGATCTCAGATATGTTATTGGAGGAGAAGGGTTGATGAATGAGAGAAATTAACCCTTTACACCCTAACATCAGTATGCATATTCTCCATACTGCCTCTATACATTTTCTGAAGTGCTGACAAAGAGAATTTGTCTAAAAATCAAGAGCTTTACAGGTTGGTGATCACTTCCTTAATTCTCGTGACCTTATTGTTTGATTCAGGGGTGATAGTGTAAGGAGAAATTAGAAACTGGTCACTGTTAGGGGTTAAAGGGTTAATAAAAGAATTATTTAGCAATTATTGCCAACAATAACCTTTAAGGAAAAATTAAACATGGCTTACATCCATGCATCCCAAATTCTGGTTGTATACTACCAAGTGGCATGGATGCTATTAAACAGTATCTTTCATAATTACTGTTATGCAAGACTTTGCTGTTCTAGAAGCATGGGGCCAAATGCCTTTGGCATCAACTCTGTCTTTACATTTGAATAATCTCTTAGGCAAACTCTAACTATGTGTCTGAGTAAATAACTTACTTTTCTCCAAGATAGTTTCCAATCATTGTTTTATTAAGTCCTTCTTCATTGAAAAGGAAGTGAGCAATGTCTTCGGGTGTGTAATTGAGCAGAGTGTTGGTTACCAGATATTCTATTCCCTGCAAGCATTTGTATAAAAGAAAAAACAGTTTGATTCCTTTCTCCATAGAAAAGTAATAGGAAGAGTTGGAAATAAAGTTCCCATTATCTTCTCAGTTGATATCATTTTTATCAACAGCTGATCAAAAAAAAGTCACAATGGTGCTAAAGTGATGCAACTGGAGTGAACAGTTCTTGTCTTTCCAGCATAAATAACATGGAGTGCTTGCCATAGTACATACCTTCTCTGGATCAATGTTAAACTTTTTCTTTCCAGTTAATAATTGTTTGGCTCGAGGATCATCCTTAGTACTGTTCATAACAGAAATTAATAATAAAATGAGAAGATCATGTCCTGCAGAGTCTGAATTATAATTGAATGATTGCTATAAAGTTTGTCAGCCTGCACAAGATTACGCAAGGATGAAACAAAGCCTTTTCATCAAAGGGGATGATACCTTTGTTGCAGTTGGTTCACCTCCTTCACCTCATCACTTCCATGAGAGACCAAAAATGAATTCTGCTTACAATGTTAAGACATTCTCAAGGAATAAAGCAATAAGAAGAAAGAAGAATATCCCAACTGCAAAATATTGTTTGATTTGGTGATAAGCTCCCAGAGCAGAAAATATAAGAATTGCTAACAAAAGTTGCGTTAACCTACATAGGTCAAAGCCAGTAGTCCTTTCCCAAGGAAATTAGAATTGGTATTTTTTTTTAGTTGAAATAGCTGCTTGAAGAAGGTGGCTTCTCTATGCAGAAAGCTTTCACTTTATTATCATTATAATTGAGGTGTATCGTAATCCCAACTTGTGTCTATAAACCTATGATATCTATATTAAATTATAGTAAGTGACATCAAATTGTTCATCTCACAAGCTGTACAATGTTAACATGTATATATTTAAGTCATTTATTGCTGTACAACCTTTACAGAAACCATCTGCTCAAAACACATTGAAATATTTTATTTTCAATTACCTATTGTCGCGTTGTTCAATAGTTTCCATTTCTGATGAAACTTCAGCTATTTCATCTTTCAGTCGCTAAAATCAGAAAAAGAAACTTTAAAAACAAGAATATTCTTGACATTAACATCTTGTAAGTTACAAAGTAAAATCAAGGTCAACGTCTAACTCAAGGTACAAGAATCTTCTCAACTCTCTAATAAAGATAATTTGATCAAAATATTGTTAAATCAGTCATACACCTACACTACTTATGCAATCCTATCAAAGCTAAACAGCTGTAAAATCTCAATTACTACAACCAAGTTCAAGGCAAAAAATAGCAAATTGAGCAATAAGAATATTTTGCTGTATAAATACTGTAATGTCAACTAACTTGTGAACTGATGGTTTGATGAGTACCCCTTCATTTGTGGGTAAACAGTATTTCAAATACACAAAAACCTCAGATCAGTAAAAATTTTAGCAAAATAATTGTGTGAGGAGAGACTTTTTCTGCAAATATCTGTGCTAAAAATCTTTAAATGACGTGACATGTAATTATGTAATTTAAGACATTTTATTTAATATAGCACTGACTGGGTCAAAGCTCAGCTTTGAAATTGACAGTGTAAAAATATTTGTATCATAAACAGAAGACTAAATTAAATGGACATTTAAATTAAATCTGGCTCCAAAAATTAATAAGAAGTTATTTGATCTACAAAAAAAATTTTTTTATGATGAAAGAAACAAGAGATAAATGGTAAAAGAGGAAATGGATACAACTCATTTTTTTCACCCTAAAAAGTTATTTTTCATTATTCACGAGTTTAAGCTATCTAGATTTTTTTTTATCCTTCAGCATCCTCAGTCTTGTTTTCCACTCTGGTATTTTTATACCTGTTGAAGGACACTTTAATCTTGACTGCCACACAAGTAAAGTTTGTACTTAATAAAATTAATATCAGGTATTCAGCATAATGTAAAAAGGCATCTCATCTGTATTGTACCTGAATTGCAATCAACAACTCTGATTTTCTTTTTCTTATGCCAGAGAGGAGAGCTATCTCCTTGGGTGTTAAACCTAAAATCAAATGAAACAAGCATCTACATTAATACAGGAAAGCCATGAAAAATAATTTCAAAATAAAAAAATTGAAAATTTGGCCAAATGGTACAATAAAACATACAACATTTCAGGCACCAGGTACTGTATTTTTTTATTATGTACCAATTAAATGTAAGGTTACTCAACATATTTACCACTGCTTAAGAATCAAAATGAACTTTTATTAAGCTTCATACAGAAGCACTAACCTCACTTTGTTACTCTAACCTAATACAAAATTTCTTCATATAAATAGAGAAATTAAGCAGACAGCTTTTTTATTGTAAACATAAATTTTTGAATTGATATGGAACAGAACTGGCTCATAATGCCTTTTTCTCTATCTGTCCTCCAACTCAGTAACAACAATAAAAAAATGATATGTATTAATAATATTAATATCCACATCAAAGCCAATAAAACACAAAAAAAAATACAGAGTAGACAGAAGGTAAAAAAAGGTTAATGAAATGCTCAAAGCAACTTCAATCCATTTCCAAAAGTCCTTTTTTTCATTTTTGGTCTCTTTTTAATTGATCACCCCTCCCACACTTCCCGCAAGAAAATGAATTTGAAGTTACAGTAAAATCATTCACATTCCAAACCCTTAACATCACAGCTTCCTGCTGCGTTTAAGAAGCATCAATCAGCTAGTTTTACCAACAGCTACAGATGCTCTTTTGCAAAACTCTTGAAGTAACCAAATCACAGTTTCTACCCCAAGCAATTCAACGTTAACACAAATAAAATATGCGGTATCCAAATACAGACATGAAACGAGAGATCATAATTTACGGTTCTTTAAAAATAACAATTAACCAGTAGCATTATCAGGTTCACGTCTACATAAACATGTCTCACGAAAAAAAATAAATTAAGTACCTTAAGTAAATGCAAATATTTATTCACAAGAAGCAAAAATTTTGAAAAGAAGAATCTGTTCATTAAAGATTTAGAACATCGAAGAAAACGAAAAAAAATATGAAAGAACCGAGAAGAAAGTACGCACCGCCCAGAGTAATGAAGGCATGAGGTAGACGGACTTAAACGTTGCCCCAGTACTTATAGACTACAAACTACATCAAACTTTATTGATACTCAATTGATTTCTGACTGAAGTACTGTTTGCTTAATGGTACATGGCATGAAAAAGCGTTACATTGATCGACATCTTGATATAAGGAACCATGTTCACTCAAATTTTCTTCCGACACTTTATCGTCCACCGACTCAAGATAGTTAACTTGGAAAGCTAAGACGAATATGCAGTGCCGAAAGAAGATGAAAGCCAACGGCACAACTGCTTTAAATAGACTCAGCCCGGCCCTAAAGCTACAGCTCACATCCCCCCACAGTCGCTGTCTTACCGTTCATGTTCTTCTCTGAATTACTCCTGTCTTGCATTGGAAGGGTGGACATTTTGCTCTCCTCTTTAAGTATCACGCTTTTCAAAGTTAAAATGTTTCTCTAACCACTGCAGATGAGTGAATTTGCAGTCTATTTGAAGAACTTCCGACTAGCAACCTACGCCATCTTGTTTACATTCTTAGACGTCGCCGACTAGAACCCAGGCCTTCACAGAGTTGACGCCCAAGGACAAGGTCCCCCTCACCTTTAGGTGTCCCTGTTGAATTTCAGATCAGTGTGGAACACATACAGTGATTCTCGCTGTGTTATGGGTCTTGACAGGCACAGCTGAAGTCAAAGTCCCAATTTAATTTAAAATGATTAGTGTGTAATTTATCCTCAAATGAAGCGCTGTGAGGAAAATGTTAATCACGAAACTTAAAAAAAATGTTTGGTTTGTCAAGTTCACAATAAAGCCTTGGGTATTACTATGTCATGGTAAGAAGTGAAAAACCCAAGAAATCGCCAATTTTTGAAAAAAATGTCCGGTAAAAGGCAGGAGAGCCCATTGTGGTAGTCTAAACTCAGACAAAGAGCAGCTATATACATGTATTTCAGTTTTATCTACTTTTTTAATCTCTCTCTAGTCACAACAAGTTATACATATGGCAAGCCAGATCTTTTGTTGTTTTCTAGATTTATTGTTCATAAGGTAAGGCTTCATATATTTAAAAAACTCAACAGAGTATTTTATGTTTTTTTTGGTGCACAGTAAAAAAAAAAGGTCGCCAAAAAAAGACAGATTAACAAGAAAAAAAAGAAGTTTTTTCCTCAAAGGATGCAAACCAGATACACATTGTTTAACTCTATTTGAAACAAAATCATCAAGCTTTCAATTAATTTCATCTTGTCATTAATTATCTCTCCTATCTTTCGTCTATTTTAAAATAAATTACGATACTCTGTGACATATTTCCAAGCATAGGTACAAAAAAAGAGTATAATAAATACAACTCTACAAATATCTAACTTTGTCCACGCCCCTATTTTCTTGTTCAAACTTTTTGTACATAACTTAAACGTGAAAAATTCAATGTACACTTTGGAGGTCAAGGTAACCACCCAAGACATATTCAGTTTTGGCAATCACTCAGCCATAAATTTAAACCTTATCTCTAATAGCGATAGTGCCTTTGAAGTTTCCTGGGATATGTATTTCAAATCATCCTAACAAGATAGGTAGCTTCCAGCTAAGTAAACTAAAGAATACTATCAGTGATAACACAAAGATCCTATACAGTGGCTTTTTTGAGTGAGATTCACTTAGATAATTTCACACTAGTTAACTAAACTTCTTTAGAAAATCCTGATGCACAACAACACATACACATTCAGTATTGACAATATTCTGATCATACGAAAATATATTTAGTAAATTACTTCCTTCAATGGCTCTGCAGTTCTACTTCATTTTTCCCAGCGTGACTAAAGTTTGAAGCAAAGACACCATTTCCATTTTATGATGAAATTTCATCCTTGATACAAATTAAAATGTTTCCAAAACACAGACATCACAAATCAGTGTCACTGGTTTTCTTCACTTGTGAGGGAAGGTGGACCTTGAAGATCCAATCAAGTTCATTACAAAGATGTCGTTTCACCCCAGGTGGTATGGGTAAAGCCTTTAGAGCTTCAAGATTTGGTAGATGTTTGCCAATCACTGCACAACAAAGATACTGCAGAGAAAAGGATGATGATGAACTACGTTGCAACCTCATTTTTGTTCTTGCTGCAGTTGAAGACACCACAGGATAAAGTGGTTTCCCATTAAGTCCATTAGCTGCCACACCCAATGGCTCATTGTCTTTAAAGAAAGAAAGCTTCCCATGCCATGTATCCAAATGAACTCCAATAACTGAGCCATGATCAAATCTTGAGGAGAATTTCTGGGCTTTCCCTTGATGATAAAAATTACCAGTGTAAGAAAGCCCCCAGCTATTACTGTCCTTGCCAATAAGACTGCAGAATGAGGTTTTGTATTGAGTAATATCCAGGTCACTGTTGCACACTCCTAGCATCTGAGAGTTGAAAATACACATAACTTGATGAGTCTTACAATAAGTGCCACATCTAGCGTACTTACTCTTCAGCAATCAGTAACACAAAAGAATGAAGAAGGACAATGATCACTGCATTGTCATTTAGCATCATGTTGTTACTTAGAACTACAAAAAAATCCTATCCTTTTCTTCCTGCCAAAGTTTAGAGATTTAACTCTTTCACACAGAGCAAAAATACTTACAAATGCAACCCCTTAAATAGTCAATTTCAAAAATCAATATTTTAAAACCCAATACTCTTTGAAACTATGTTAAAATAAAAATTTTTTTTTAAGGCATTTTTCAAGTAAAAGGTCTAGTCAAAGCAAATTTCCATTTTGCTTGTTCAATTTACATCTAGCAGGTCCTTCAGAGTCACATAAACTGTGGCGACAATCTACAGCCTTCAGAAAAGTAGTTTTTGGTGAACATAGGTGGTGCTCAGATTTCAAGCAATATGATGATCTGACCAAAAAAATGTGATCACCAAGGGAGTGATTTGCTTTCGTTATTTGAAATTTAAATTTTTTTAAGTAACCAAATTTTCTTGTCATTAATACTCTCATTTTTCATTCAATTCACCACTAGTGGTACATAATACCATGACTTCCAAACAGAAAATGCATGTCAAAATGCATGGATTGCATAAATAACATATTGCAATAAGAAAAAATACCATTTTGCAACCTTTAAAATATACTATGGTCAAAAGGATACAAAAAGTCATCAGTCATTGGTGATCTTGTATTGTTGGTCTGTATTTGCAGTCATTCCACTGTTTAATAGCTGTATTTGTTTCACTCCATGTAAGTCATTGTATTGTATGTCATGTATGTACGCACTGACTTGGTCTGTTGTGTTAGTAAGTCACTCTGTTCAGTGGTTGCACTATGCAATTCAACGGTGACACAACATTTTTAAGTTTATCCATTTGATGGTATCTGAAGTGGAACTCTAACCAAACATTCAATGTTTTTTTAAACATGCAGTTTGTAAGTTTCTGCACAGTCTTGTCCAGTCAATTTGTTGTTTCCTTGTTTAGAAGAACTGGTATGAAAATGCTGCTAAGATATTTTGCACCAGTAGAGTGTGTCAAGTCTTCAACTTCCCCATTAACACGTTGTCACGTTTGTAGCTCTGTCTCCGTTATGTCAGTCCACAACAGAGGAGAACATGACCTACCATGTCAGTACCATAGACTGCACTGGTCATCTTGATTTCCCAGTAGTATTCTCCCCCCTGACAAAGGGGCTGGGAGCCTTTTGCTGCTGCAGTTCCACAGCTGTAATCAGGGTGGAACAGCACCTCCTTATTACCTCGAGTGAGGGACACTGAAGATGATAGTGTCATTGGATCCCATTCCCACTCAAAATCTGATAAGCAATGTGCAAAAAGACATTAAAGATAAAAAATATTTGACTAAGATTGCAATCTTGTTACACTTTAAGAAAACAACCATTTAAGTATGAATTAAATGCAAGTTATATGTTATGTTTCATGTTAGAGACTGAGATAATAATAATAGTTAAATCCAATATTAGGGTCATTGCTTGGAATATCATCAATGGATGTATCTGGATTTTTAAATACTTCATATATCTTAGTCAATGATAACATCTCTAACACTTCCACTGGTCAAAAATCTTATGTCCTTAAGATACACATTACAAAACCAACAACAAATGGAAAAAAAGTTTTAAATAGGACATGATAACACAACTATGATATTAAAGTCAGATTAAATCTATATTAAGTGTAAGCTCTATCTTCCTTTTTTATCAAGACTAATGTGAAGTCTCAACTGGGGAAGGAAGTCAACCACATTTTACGATTATATTATCATACTATTATTTTCTTGCATCTTCAGACAGGCTGCAATACTCACATTTACCACAATACAACTGGAAACCATGAAATTGACACAACACAGTACAGCAATCACTGAGGTACTCTTTGCAATACATTGCAACCAAATTAAAGACAGTTTGCAATGAACCATGATTACTCAATGTCATATCAAGAGAGTTACATAGCATTAAAAAAAAACATTGTTAACATTCAGCAGACTTGATGTCATCAAGTAAAAACAAAGAACTGACTTTAGTGCAAAAATACTGAGTAAAAATAACACTTAATCAAAATGAATGAAAGTATTGAAACGTGTAAACACACAGATTTAACTACCATCCATATGAAACTTCAAAAGACCATTTTTAAAACTTTCATTTTTTTCCAACTAAGTTAAGTTTTGTCAAGTAATTAAACATTCTAACATCTGTACTTGATAATGATGTTATCTGAACATCACATAGCATGATTGTTTAAATGTTTTTGACTCCCTTTTATGATTTTCAGTAGTACTTCACAGCAATATCTTGTAGCCAAATATTTGAATAAATCACTGGCAACTCATAACCTTAAAAAAACCAATAAACAGCTTTTTCCACAAGAAATGAATAATAATAAAGTTCTAATTAAAACTTAATGAGCATTGCAAAAACAAAATCATGCTTTTGGAAACATCACTCACAGAGACAGTGATAACAAAAACCACAACAAAAACCACAACCATGCCACCAACATTCACAACACAGCCACCAACATTCACAATCATGACACTGACATTACACTGAAGTCAGTATGGGAATTTCACTTTACCTTAAGACCTCAAAAACACTTCCTTTTTCATCAAGACATTGTGTCTTGACATGGTGAAGGAAGGCAACCATTAGTGGAACGACCAACAAGTGCTTTTAGCTGTACCAGCTCTCATCCTGCAGCTGAAATGTAATAAATATCGACTAGACTGAAAGTTTTTCTGTTGTTAATTCATCATGTAGACACAGGAATATGAATCACACTGTTCCCAAATGGCAAAATAATCATCCCCATGATTGGAGATTACCTCCAGGACCAAACTTATTGGGGGAAATCATGCGGTAAACTCAATAAAACTTTTTACCGAAGGAAGGGAGGGTGGTTATCGTAAAACCATACTAATATTTTAATGGTTACCCTTAAGCTGTGAGCTGGTTTTGTACTATAAGAGAAATCTCACCTTTCCTTTAAAACCCTTTAACTCCCATGAGTGACCAAGACAGAATTTCTCCTTACAATATCAATACAATATTAACCAGATAAGTGATATGAATAAAGAAAAATATCAATCTGGAGATAATTAGTTGATCCAATACTAAATTCTCTGAACTAAAATTATAAGAACTGTATGATTGACAGTAAGGAGAGTTACAAATTTGATCTGGGAGCTAAAGGGTTAACAGTCTTCTAGACAAGTTTTATGCTCTCAAAAATTTAAGTTAGTTGTTTGCATAAACAGTTAAAGACATGGCAAAAGTTGTGGGATCTTTAATTAACCCATAAACTCCCATGGATGACCGAGTCATAATTTCTCTTTACTGTAATGATATAATACAAGACATGCAAGTTGTAGAAAATCTCTTTCATTTTCAAATTTCAAGTTACAATTTTTCTCTTCCTCTCCCCTTCTGTATTCTTTTTGTATTCATGCACAACGCACAACATTTCACAAATTAGCCAATCATGTCAAAGAACTCTAACCTCGACATTGGAAAACTAACGTAGACATTTTTTGTATAATTTTAGTTTATTTTTGTGGAGTTTTAGTCAGTAGTTTTTCAGTTTTCGTTTGCACAAATTTGTTACCCCTTTGGTTGGAAATTTAAGAAGTGTTAGAGTTCTTATTTTAGATAAATGTTGTGGTTCATTTAACAAGTTTAAAACATATTTTCTACAGAGTTTGAACTCTAGCCTCTTTTTTTGTAGATGGATTTTTTCACGCAAGTGATGAGATAAAAAACAAATTCTCCATACTAACATCATAAAAATTTTATGGCACACAGTAAGGATATTACTAAATTAATTCCCAAAGACCGTTTAAATAAAACAGCTCACTTCTTACACAAACGTGTGAATGTTTCAAAATTTCTCTCGGAAATGAAGTTACATTAAGCCTTAAAGAAACAAGCCATGGAAAATCGCAATCACTGTGCAAAGTGATGTTATGTCAGAGGGGTGTAGAAAACAAAGGATTTAAGTTTGACTCTTTTTTAAATAATTAAAATAATTATAAGAGCGCTCTTGATCAGAGGCCAGTGAAAGTGCTGCCACAGCTGAAAATGAAATTCTGGCACCACACTTTTGTCTTTTACAACTGGAAAATGAAACTAACGTCAAAGAATTCAGTGCTTCACGTGAATTACAGCATGCAAAGAAAAGACCGTGTGTGACTGTCATGCTGATGCCGAAAAACTGAAAAACTAGTTTAGACATCTTTCAAATAATTCAAAAAGCGTACTTGTTTTGGGAGATGCGAAGAAAAATGTCGACAATTTTCAAGGCCAACAAGCTCTGCTCTGTACAACTAGTACAGATCTGACCTTATTTCACGAGGCAATCGATCTTTAACGAACGAAAGGAATCATTTCGCTATTTGAGCATAATCATCCGTATATGAACATACAAGACAACTTCAGAGATAATTTTTCACACCATAAATCAATTTATTCAACTGCGATGGCGACAGCTGTTTTGGTGTAGCTGAGAGAAATTTACATTTTGCATCAAGGCGTACAAAGTTCACTTCTTGTTATTCCCTTCAAGCATGAAAAGAAACAAAAAAACACGTTTGAAAACACGAAAGTACATGCTTGTGAAAATAAAACTTTCAAAATTGCTTCTGCTATGAAAGAAAAATATGCTATGATGAAAAAGCGCTCGTCAGCTATTCCTCAAATGGCGAACAAATTCGTTGTTTACATACTCAGTACAAAAACCTTCCACAGCTTTTAGACACAAAACGCCCTCTTTTTTCCCATGTGGAGTACGGTATGCTTAAGAAAGAATAAATAGAAAGACTTTACCTTCATTAAATTCCTCCATTTCATGATCAGAGCCAGAATCACTGGAGTTTTCTTCGAAATCCATACCGCGGACATGTTCGCTGGCTTCCTGACGGCCGAAAATGCGCGCGAGAAGTTCGCGCTGTGAAAGCCTGGAAGTCTCCAAAGGATTGGCGTAAAAACTTGTGTGAACCAATGCCATAATTCACAAAAAAATTCTCAATTAACTAGGGTATAAATACTTTCACTCTAACGACTTCTCTTCGCGTAATTATTCACCAATAACCTCTTCAGATGAGGTTCATCGAATTCTGTTTGTTGTCGTTGACAAACAATATTTCTTTAAGGCGTAACCTGCTGTGCGAAAATCTTCTTCGCGGGCTCACGTAAGCACATCTCTCTTCTAATCTAAAATCACGAAATTATTACTTGTTTTCAAATACTGAAGTGTTTACGTTTTTTACGTTGCATATCCTTACAACTAATCTTTGAAGAATCGATTTTGATAAATTTTTAGATCGAATGCAACCAAAATTTATCGTCCAAATTCACGGAGATAAGGGACGATGGACGCGAAAATAGGAGTGTATTTGTTTACTTCTGTTACGTCACTAGGTGATGCAAGCTCGCACGATAAGAGTCGCACGATGATATTCCGGAGGTATTTCAAGACAACGGGAATCTGGTGGAACACAACAAGATAGCTATGAGAGGACTGCTCACTAGACGTGTTCTTCTCACTGGAGTACCTTAGGTGTTTTTCGGAGAAAAACACATGCCAAAAATCTGCCGGTGACTTTCACTCGCGAAAAAATAATAGTTACGTATTTCCTAAACGAATAGGTTTCTAATCACGAAACATCTGATGTTTTTTTTTCCCCATCGGAAATCATTTATTTTTTGTTGTTGTTGGTTTGAGAGATGGGGTTATGTTTCTTTCTGCATTCGTTCTGCTCTGCACGCTTTCTAATATCAAGGAACCGCTATGACGTCACTAGCTATATAAGGCGAGAAACTCGTTTTCCGCAAATTTTTAATGACCCATTGCAGAAAAATGTCAAAAGAGTTGGAAAGTTTTGTAAGAGCAATGAATGCAGAAGAACAAGATCCTTTCACAGGTGCTTTCGGGTTTTTTTTTCGAACTTTGCGTGACATCCCAAAATACATAGAAGAAGAGAGCTGCTCCTGGCTGCGAGGCTGACCGCAGAAAGCAACTGGGACATAAACTTTATCACATATCTTTTGAGATAGTTCGATGGTATTAATCTGCAGAAAAATCTAAAGCTGTAAATAAATCTATTAAGGGCTCACGATTTTACGAAAAAGAGATTTCAACTCCTGTCCATCCCAGCCAAACGAATTGTCACGTCCGTTTTGTTTATTTTTTCTCCTTGTTACTCAGAATCAAGCCATTCCGGTTTTGCCGGGTTTGACATAGCCAATCACAAGCGTTCACTGGAGGTCACGAGAACATTTCAGGTTGTTCACTGGGTTTGAAAGTTGTTTATGTACAGAAGGAAGACCCGCAGCACATCGCGTACAGGTTATAAGTTGACTCTACATTGACCGTCTAAGCGTATCTTGAAAATTTAATTGTACCTCTGTAGGGAAAAATCAGCAGAAAAACTTTCTTAGAAAGTTTGCCCTAATACTCGTCAGTCTCAGGAACGGTCCCGAAACTTGTTGGATTACCCCTGAGCAGTCACGTACGTTGAAAACAACATCTGAGTTTGCAAATTACTACGAGATCTTGTGAAAGTTTTCGTGGAATTACCACAAAATGGGTAAGGGATTTAACTCTATCAGTACTTATTACTAAGAAGTGAAAAAGTGCCAGAGGCAGAATTTTTCTAGATAATTCTCAGAATTGAACTAACTTTATACGCATTTTTGTGTTGTGTTTACATCAGCGAAACAGCAATCGTAGTAGATTTGGTCGGTAACCTTCCGAAACTGAAAACCGAAAGGTACTTCGACATTTCTTTCCAATTGAAAACTTTTATATGCATACAATAGCCATATACATTCAGTGGTTAACGTTGGCGTCGAAATTGGTAGATTTCTCTGAAAACGAGAGTAATTTGTGATCGGTGTGACAAAAAAAGAAACACAAGACATTACTAATATTTTAAATTTAAACTCCTGACAATTTGTTTGTAAATAATGCTTACCGAAGCATTGTGAGATTTCTTGTATGCTGAAGTAAGCGTTTGAAGCAAGCTTTTTGTATTTATTTGCAAAAATTGCTCTATTTATCTTTTACGCTCTGCACAATTTTAAATCGCAATCAGGTTGAAAGGTTTGATTTTTTTCTTTCACCACTGAACACAATATTTTTGTTATTTGCTGCCTGTGCGAACAAAATCAGTGATAACATCCCAAAGCGGCAATATGTTGAATCATTAAAAACCATCAGCTGGGATTTGTTCCTTAAAAGAGAAGATGAAGCACACTGATGATCAACTCAATCATGTCTCAAATTGCTTGTTTTTCGATTTTTTGACCCTTTATTTTCACACACAATTGATGTACGAGTACATTTCGACCATAGTTTTTTCAAGGCTCTTTGTTGGTAGAGGTTACAAACATTCCCACGAAATCAATGCAGGACAATCCAAATCATTGTGCAATCCAAAGAAAAAGTGACAACGTATTCCACTGTTAAATGGGGGTGGATCCTCACAAGGATTACCTAGTCATTTACAAGAAGACAGTGAACATTTGTCACAAGTTTCTGAGGTTCCTCAGGGTGATTTTAGCCTCAGTTAGTTCTTATCTCATGATGAAATGTGTGACTAACTGAATTGTGCATAACTTGTGGGTAGTCCCAGTCATAAATACTATTTATGCAAGTCATAAATTTTTCAAAACTTTTGTTCTTTTTACAGGAAAATTATCTAGTCAACCAATTGAAGATTCAGAATCCTTCCATCCTTGGTCAGATACCTTCCATGAGCAGTGGGTGTGGAGTAGTGAGGATAAATCCCCTTCTGTATACCTCTGCCTAAACAATAAGGTGGCTTGTTTCTACATTGACCCAGTCATTGAGAGCACGGGAACAGCAGGTGTCCGTGGCACCAAGGCCTTCTCACATGGGCAGCATTATTGGGAGGTAAAGTTGAGTTCTGTGTTTGGCACATCAATGATGATTGGTGTTGGCACAAAAGAGGCCTTGCTTCAAACAGCAGACTTTGAGTTTGTAGATTTGATTGGAAGGGATGATCAGAGTTGGGGGTTATCATATAAAGGCAAGGTTTGGCACAATGGTCAATATAGAAGTTACTGTGAGCCATTTTATGACTCAACAGTGATCGGTGTTCTTCTTGATATGGATGCAGGAACTCTTTCTTACTTCAAAAATGGAAGGTCTTTAGGACTTGCTTTCACAGGCTTGTGTAACAAAGCATCAGAGCTCTACCCAATTATTTCATCTACATCAACACTCTCCGAGATAGAACTGTGTGACAGTACATGTAGATATGTCTCACTGCAGGATCAGTGCAGAATGACCATAACAAAGCTTGTTGGTAAAGACCAAATAGATTATCTTCCACTGCCTAGAGGAATCTGCCAGTCTCTAAAAGGCATCTAAGTCACTAGAAGAAGTTTTTTTTCATCTCTATGTATATATATATACAGTATTTAAATTTTTTTGACTTGAACTCAGTTTAGTACCGTCACTTTGGTAACTATCTTGAATAACGGTTAGAGAAAAACCCCCTTTTAATAAAAGCTTCTGACTGGCCACAACAATTGTAAGGTCACAATGTTGACGATGATTTGTAACTTAGAAGTCTTCATTTTTTGATCAAAATCATCATTGAATGTCAAGATGACATGTGGACATAAATTTTATCTCCACACGATTTTTACAAATTTATGAACAGTGAAAACTTCTCAAAACTATGTGTCCATCATCAAAGTAATTTTGATTGTCATTAAAAAAACTCTTATGTGCAGCATAAAGAAAACATCAGTAATGGCCTTATAGGTAATTATTGCTCAAAAAGAGACAAAATCTTGGAGTTTAGCTACTAAACAACAATCCCTGTTCCCATGTTTTGTAAAGAAAAATTAGTTGTAATTGCACATCCATCTTTCTGCCTTTATTTGGCTGAGAGAGATCACACCTCCATTGAGAGTTTGTAAATAGAAGATTTAGAATTAACAATTTTGTACATCATCAGTACAATTTGTAATTATAAAAGGATAAATATTTAATTTTGTATTTGAAATGGCATTCAAGCATCAGCCAGAAATTAAAATGTTGAAAAGATATGTATTATCTGTCATCTCCTGTAAGCTTAAGATTGGAAAAGAGTATCTGAATTTCTTTCTTTCAGTACCACAGTACCCTTTCCACATCAACACATAAAGTCAAGCCAGCTGTTTTTTAATTCCTCAGATAAACAAACCATAAAAATCAAGTTTCAATACATAAAGATCACAACACTTCCATTATTTATTTTCACTCATACCATGGCAACAGCCATGGTGCATCTGTATGTTACTTAACCAAAATAACATACAGACGCACTACAACAGTCCTATACTTTATTGGTTATTTGTCTGTTATTTTGTTTGTCATCAAGTAACAAAATATTAATTACAAAATTCTGGAGAGTGTCTTTGGGGTTAGCGCCTGAGGATTCTTTGCTTACAGCCATCATGTGAATCACCTTGAGCTACAACCACAACATGATTTGCTCTGGCTTAACCAGGCAACACCACATGATGAAAGACTTTGTATCATGATGCCTAATGCACATATAACCAACAACAGAAGTTTCATTTGACAGTCATAAGTAATACCATACTGAGTAAAGAAAGCCTTCAGTAAGAATGGAAAGAAAATGTAATTCTTTGAGGGGTAACTGGTAACCAAGAGAGGCTAGTGTTCATATCAATAGATTACATGATTATTTATACCTTGATTTTACATGATGGTTAGAGAGATCCTTTGGACTTGGCTGCCTGACAGAGATGTGTTGTTGCCACTAATAAGTTACAGGTACTAATTGCTGAGAGCTAATTTTTTTTCAATTCTGTATGACAACAATTTTAATAATTTGACCATGACTTCATAGTGCTATGCAAGATAATACTTTCACATAAAACTTCCAGGAATTACATTTACTTTGTAATTTAAAACTATCACAGAAGTTTTTGACTCTTTTAACATAGTACTAATTGACAAAAGTTTAAAGTTCTAATTTTTTTACTCCACTTCAGTATCAAAGCAGAGTGCAAGATCCAGGGCACATAAACTCTGATTGTTTTTTGACGGCACTTGGTGCTTTTTTGACAGCTTCTGATACTTTCTGGGCATCCTTTCCAACAGCAGTCACCTCCCTTACAACATCAGGATCATTCAGTCCTGAATATGAAAAGATGTGTTTGAAATTCTAACTAAACAGGCCTATTGTAATTAATTAACTATTGCATTTCTACACCTATCCACCCTTTAACTCTCAGAAGTGATTAACATGCAACTTCTCCCTGTAATACCCATATTTTATCCAGCAAACAGGTAGTGAGAATACTTAAACATATCAGGTAGAAGTTGTAATCTTGATCTAATGCTTCATTCTCATAACTTATCTTCAAGGAAATGTGTAACAGCTAAGGGGGGAGAATTAACAATCACATCTCGAGTGTTAAGGTGTTAAAGGACAATTTTGTGGATCATTTTCCTCATGGTGAAAATCATCCTCATTCCTAAATCTCTCTCAAATTAACCAGATAGAGATGGCATAGTGGCGAGAACAATTCCCTTCACCCCTGTGGCTTGGGTTCCATTCCTAACCCTGGCATCACATAACGACTGAATTGTTGTTGCTTCTTGTCCTTGCTTGAAAGGTTTTTCTCCAGATCATCTGATCTTTTCACTCCCAGAAAAAAACACAATCCCGCAAATACAGATTTGACAAACAAGAAATGGACAAAGAGCTACTGTACATGTACCTTATTAATGTATTTGCCTTTAACTTTGATAAACTTTAGTCTAAATTTTATCTTCAAAAAAGAATACACTTCATAACCATACTAACCTGCCTCTCTTCTTTCTTTCTCTATCTCATTGTCTTCTTCAGCGTACCTGCCAAGAGATCAAATAAATTTTACTTAACCCTTTCACTCCCAAGATCTCATTATTAATTCTCCTTACTGTCTGCCATAAAATTCATGTAATGTTGTTCAAGAGAATTTGGTATTGGATCAACTAACAATCTCATTGATTGTTTTTCTTTGTTCTCATCACCTGCCTTCTTGATATTGTATTGACGTTGTAAAGAGAAATTCTGTTTTGGTCACTAATGAGTGTTAAAGGGTTAACTGTTGTTGATCAAGCTATATTTCCTGGAAAAGTACAACTTAACATAGTGCCTTCTACCTTTAAAACATACTTATAACAAAATTTACAAGACAATATTATTACTGACATTGATTTTAATGTTGTTAGCACTCTAGCACTTTACCTCTTCTTGGCATTCTCTACTTCAGATATCAGTTGTTCCCTTTTCTCAACCACCTCAAGCATCTCTTGTAGTAATTCATTTTCTTTAGACTTGTCATACTCTGTCTTTATATTCTCTAAATTAATCATTTACAAAAATAACAGTTAAGATATCAGAAATGACAATCTTTGCTTTTGTTGTAAAGGACATCAACAACAATTACATTTATCAATAATAGACAATAACATTAATCATGACAATAAAAATTACAATAACAGCATCTTGTCACAAATTTCAACAACCTCATACCATCTTTTTCTGTTAATCCTCTCAGCTTTTTCTCCAATCGAGAGTACTTTTCTGCCAGCTCCAGCTCTCTGACCCTAGATAATGAGAGGGCACAAATCTTTAAAATTGTGATAAATATTATATAAATGTTTATTTCACCCTTCCACTCCAAAGATCTGATTGTTAATTCTCCTCTCTTACTACTACACATTTTCTTGTAAATTAGTTGCCAAAATATGGTGTAAGATCAAGATAACAACTTGTACCTGATATATTTGAGTATTCTCATTACATGTTTGCTAGATAATGTGTGGATATTTTAGGGAGAAGTTACATCATAATCACTTCTGAGAGTTTCAGGGTTTAAAGCATGAGATATATTTTAAAGCAATAAATGCAATCAGGGTGAGTCCAAGCAAAAAAGTATTTTTCAATACTCACTTGAATGAGAGCTCTGCTTCCCTCCTGACTGTACTGTTTTTATCCTGTACAGCACTAAACCACTCAACCCATAGTGTTTGTTTCTCAGAATCGGAACCTTAACAAAAAAAAAATTATAATTCATCGCATCACAAGTACCTTAAGGGTTTTTTGTGCTCTCCTTTAAATGGAGGCTATTCATTAATACATAATTATATCAGATAGAATATACGCTTCTTTTCCTTTAAGGGGCACTCTAACCAATACACCATCCCTGGTCACAGTTGCTCAAAAGGATTGATAGTGCTATTAACTACACTCTCTCATAATTATACTTATTCACTACAAAGCCACCTAACCACAGGATATGTTATCGAACTTTTGAGGGACCATGCCAGGAAAAGGTACAAGTATGTAACCACTGAGGAGCAATAAACAACCCTATGCAATATTCCTGTGAACCATATAGTGTCTCAAAAATTGAATACAAATTTAAAAACATGGAATTTTGATCAATCAAGCAGACTAACCAATTTACTACAGATGTATCACAAAGACTCAAAGATATGAACTATTGACATGATCAAGTTATCTCTTATTCTCTCTCTCAGTTTATAACTGAGTTCAACAAAAATTCAAGTGAAAATGAACATGTATATTTGTTCATCACCTTTAAACTCGCCAAGGTTAGCCTTCAGTTTCCTCTCTTTCTTTATCAGCTTCTTTCCTCTTTTGCTAAGTAGTGATATTTTTTCTTTCATGATTCTGATTGAGTTCTGCACCTTGTCCACTCCTTTGGTGTCCTTGCTACCATCTATAGCATCTGACCCCAAACAAACAATTTAAATGAAGTTGTTAGTTTGACCTTTGTGCACATGGAAAGTAAATTCTTGTTTAAAGTATTTAGTGCTGTTCTCATTTAATTTCCTACCAATCTACTTGTGATATGGCAGATTACCTTCAAACAGATAATTGATTGTGATTTGTCAGAAATGCTGGGAGGCATTATAAAATATGTACTTAACACACCTGGTGTAAATTTAAACTGCTGTTGTACTCCTGGTCCTATACCCATTGCATGACGGATATCTTCTCCTAATCCAAAACTGGCATTCTCAATATCCTGATAGTGTTGAATGCAGTAGAACTTGTCATGGTCAGGAACAAAGCAGTAGTTAAAGTGGTTTAGCCATGAGTTGCATATTGCACAAACAAAGCAGCTTTTGTGAAACACATGATTTTCCACTGCCACACGTTCAAGAATGTCTACAGGTCTGCCACATTTTGGTTGGTCACACCTGTTTGTCTGAATTACAGAGCTGTTGGTGGTACTGGCATTTTGATGGCTACCCTGCAAAACAAGCAATATCACCAAATTAAAACAAGAAGTATAAACATTATTGTTTAAATTATCATCTACCCAGTAGGAATACTAAATAAAATGCAAAAACATGTCAAAAAGTCTATTGAACAAATTCTGATTCATGTTTAAAACTAACATTTCCTAGTAGGTCAACCCCATGATCAAAAGTTTTTTTATGTCACGCTGGTTCAATTTTTCCTGGTCTCAACTCTATAAATGTACTCTATGACAAAGAAAAACTTACACAACTTAAACTGGATAAAAATCTTAAAACAAAGGAAAATATAATTCACAACTTCTGCATCCAAAAGAATGGTGCATACATAAACAACACAAAATAGTGTATTGATTGTTTTAAATCCCAAAGATGACTTAAGGCTTTCTTCCAATTAAAGTCAAGTTTTTCAGACAAGTTGGTCAAATTTGGGCAGTTTAAAGAAGTGTTACCTCACTTAGAGATATTCCTCCTAAACCCAGGATACTGCTGTTATCATCCCTAACGTTGGCTACCTTGGTGCAATATAAAAACAAACAATTCAAATTTTGTGATCTCATGAAAACAATTTTAAATAAGTAAGACTTGTATTACAGCTGCCACTGCCAGCAGAACCCACCATGGTTGCAACATTATATATAAAAAATGACGTTTATCTTTTGTTTGCTCATACCAGTTGGAGCTATTAAAGCTAATTTGCAAATTAAATGTACTCTATAACCAAAGCTCTAGGAAACATCCATAACCACCTGGTGTTAGGAATGAACTAACAAACTTTTTTGTGTATGCCTGTGCATACATGAAAAAGGTTTTCTAGTGATTACCACTTACTGGAAGTTCCATTCTAACAGTTTAAATCTAAATCTTTGAATCTACTTTTTCCCTGCCTTGCAATTACTTATGAACCTTAAGCATGATTCAATTCAGCAGCTTTCTCTTTTCAGATCAAACTCTTGTTACATTTTCTAGTGACAAATCTGAGAGCATGAATCTAGTTCAATTTGTGAAGGAAAATCAAATTTCCTCCAGCTTTTTTATAGCCACACTTACATTGGCAAGCTTCTCTTTGTTCCGTCTTGCTGTCTTCACATACTGTTTGTAGTGCCATCTAAGCTCTTTTACAAGTTCCCCCCTGTCATCTGCTGATTTCAATGAACTTGCACTAGATTTTCGATTAAAAACTGAAAAATAAAAGTTGGAAAAGGTGAAATGCAAATTTCATCAAAATGAAAATGAAAACTGTCTACAAAGACAGTATTGTAGACGGACATCTTATATTGACACCCACTGAATCAAATCCCTTTCAAACTTTCACACAAACATGGTGTTTTCACATTACGGATGTGGACATTATTGTGAGGCAACCTGGTCACTTTTAGTAGTTTTTATCAAGCAGTTTGTAGGAGGCAGTGGCCTGGTAGTTTATGTGCTGAATTCAGCATTGAAACACGCATGTTAAAGACCTGACAAGGTCAGGTGTTCTTTTCTTTCTTCATCATTTTGCAATCATACCTGGCGTTGATGGCAAAGAATGTACAAATGTTGTCCTCTCATCTTGGTTTCCAATCAACTGCTCCTGTTTTGGTGCTGCTAAACTTTGCTCAAGTAAAGGTTTTGGTTCCACATTTTCCTTTTCAGCTTCAGCTTGCAACTTTTTTTCAAACTCAATCGTATCCAGCCCTGTCAATGAACGCGATCTTTTGTGCACATGTCTGATAAATTGTGCCTGCACTTCAGGTGGCAAATCATGAGGTTTACCACCACCTTCCAATGATCCTCCATTTCCATGCAGTGCTAATTCCTCAGGAGGGATGTTAGGTAGTTTCTTCTTGGATCTGCGAGTTGTAGAGTCACTGACAGATGTCATGATCAAATCTCTCTTATGATGCTTGTTCAGTTGTGGTTCAATGAGTAAAATATTTCAGAATCCTACAATGCAGTGTCAGCTTTCACTAACAGAAAAAAGAACAACCAAAAGATTAATGACCCCATGTAAAAATGGGTAATCTACAGATAAAACTGTAAGACGAACTAGGGAAACCAAACTGAAAATAATTTTCCTTAACAGACAAAACACTTTTGATGAAATCCCAATTATTAACAATGACAAAAAAAACTAAAGTTGTTTGTGCAAATTACATTTGAATTCATACAAAAAAAAGGAAAAGAAATTTAGAAACAAGCATACAACCATCTTGTCACAAGCATGGGACAAAGGAAGAATTCTGAGTCCCACAAGGAATCAAACCTCAGACCTTTGGATTCCACTCTCTGATGCTCTACTACTGAGCCACAGAGGCTCTATTGTGAACAAGGCCCCTTATGAGTTTCATATATGACACGCCTCATGCATACTGTTAGGATCATCAATTTTGTTAGTGTCACATTTTGTATATGAAATTTGTAACAGCCCTTGCTCTCCATAGAGCCTCTGTGGCTCAGTGGTACAGCATCGAAATGCTTAGAATTTTTCTTTGTCCTACACTCACAACAAGACAAACAAACATCTTTTTCCATTTCTTTGCCAAGCTCAAAACTAACCATCTTTCTCATTCTAATTACAAGAACACCAATGTTACTGAGTACATATTCATTTTAAACACTACATTAAATATTTTGTCATTAATTTTTGTCCAAATTCAAACAAATTGAAAGATAACATTTTATCAGTCTAACACAGGTATACCAGAAAAAAGGAAATCACCCAGAAAAACCTCTACCTTAATTTTTGGTCTAATCTTTGGAACCTCTATGTAATATCATAGCTGTGACAATATTGGTCAATATTCATAATGTTGAAACTTGTGACATATTAGCCTTGTTTTCAGGAATTAAAATTACTCTGTTGTTATTGAACCACCATCTTTAAGTGCTCAAGTTATTTTGAGTTCTCATCAGATGACTTGCCTTCCCCAGATTTATTCAAAATAGCATGATGATTCAATAAAATGACAAATTTTAGGAAGATATTAACTCTAATAAAGCTAGGGTGGCTTTAATACCATCTGGCAAAATCATCCCACATGGTATCTCCTGTTAGTCTCATGTCTTTTGTTTTTGATAATTTTTGGCATAAAAAGGCACCACAATGATTCTTCAGACCAATATTTTGAACCAAACATGAAAGTAAAACTGTGATTAACAATAAGTAGGATCAGTGGAAGAGAACTTGATGTTTATTATTATAGTTAGGAACAATATAATTGCAGTTTCTACAGGAACTTTAAAAGGTATCTGGTAATTGATCACTTCTTAGATTGGGATTCAAAATACCTTACTGTATGGTCTACTTGTCCCAACCATTGTTTCATTTTCATTTGGCAAAGATGATTGCATAAAGTTGGGTACATACCTACTTCAAATCCTATTGAGAACCCTGATCTATTACATCACCCTTAATCAGAATTAAGAAGGAAAACTGCCACTGAAAATGCCTACCGTGAAGGTCACGCCAAAATATAAAATGTATAACAACTTGGTAAAAGAACCACACAACACCTTAGATTGATCCTTGAACAAAATTAAGTAAAGCGTGTTTTAGAAAGTATCTTGTTTTAAATTTTAGTTGTCCAAGCAAAACTATCATAGGCAAATTATTCCTCAAAATTTTTAAGGTAAAATATAGTGTGGAGCACTCACCATGTAAACAACCTACACGTCAAGAGTGAGATTCGTAAATGAAGGTGAATGCGACAGCTAATCAACGATTTAGCATCGAAGACGTTCGGTCGCTGAGGCTCGTTGCTTTTCTAAGAAGGATAATCACGCTGTAATCCGGTAAAGTTTCCTCACAGAGCGGCAAAACCACAGTCTGAATAATAATTCATCTAAAGGAGAACTGGACGTTTAGGTGAGCTAACATGACAAATGAGCATTTTATAACTCTACATCCGACCGGATACACCTTTTCTACGCAGTCCTTGAATAAATGACCCACCAAATGCTGTCATCGGTAAACAACTGAGCTCACATTTTTCCTTGGAAGTTCTGTCTCTCGTGGAAACCAAAATGTATTTGTTCATAGCAGGGTCAATCTGCACGAAGTAGGCTATTGATATGGGCTTTACACGAGTGAAAAACGTTGCTTGCAAGACGTTTATAGACAGCTGTTGATACCAAGCAAGAAAGGCGCCGCAAAGGCGCCGCGAATAACAGTGATTTTTCAAACTAAGCATCGTCCACGACACTTCGACAGACATTTTACAACTCCTCGCCAAATAGTAGTCAGGCGCATCTGGTGTAGCGCAGTGCATGATGGGATTAATACAAAACGCGCGGGAAAACGAAGGCCTTCGTCTTAACAGTTGCCCTTCAAAAGACCGTAATTCTGACTACACTCAGGCGAGATATTCAATGTGAAAGCTTATTTAGGAGTCAGCCAGTCTTGTAGTTATCCTACTACAATTTAATGTACCAAATAACACTGAAAATGAAGGTTAGTTAAAAATTCTGTGCTACCCATTGTAAACCACTAAAAACCTCTTTTTTTTCTGAAAATTACAAACGTATTCAAATGACAGGCTATACCCCGTTTAAAAGAGTAACTAAAATAAACCTAGTTAAACTAATCACACATTCAATGAAAGGAAGATATTTTAAAGGCTATCTATAAAGCAAAATTACATTAAATAAAAAATAAATAAATAAAAGAAAATGGCCCAACCTAAGACGCATTCGTAGAATGGTTCTTTCCCTTAAACGATTAAATTGGAAACACCGTGATGATGAACCTCTTCATCATTCAAAATATTTTTTTCCGTATATTTTCCTATGTCTCTCAAACGTCAGAAATCACATTTTTATGCACAAAATGCACACCTCTAACTTATCTCTTATTTTTCCAAATAACAGTGACCTCTGTGAGTTAAAATTCATTAGAACCATTGTACCGTCAAACCCCTCTTTTTCTTGATTGCAGTTTATCAAATGACTGGCTCAGCGTTTAAAAAGAGGTGAATTGCAATAAAGTAAGCTATATGGGAATTTAAAAGGCTATCTGCATCCATTTGGTAGCAATGAATGTATCAGAGTGGTCAAATTAACGATATCTATGGGGGTGGATTCCGGGAATTTGATGACAGGCCACCTACTACGAAAGCTGCTTGGGGTTTGAATATATTTTGGTCTAAAGACAATCCTTCTATTAGTGATGATTTTACTCTGAAATTGATAGTTACTCTATATCGTGGCACAAATAATCAAAGGTTCTTTTAAGAATACTTACAACGAGCGACCACATAACCACGATGAACAAATCTACCTTTACAAGAGGCGACAGCACCTCTTTTGATCTTTTACAACAGTTATTTTAAAATCGTCCTTCCAAATTCGTTCACATACAAATGTTATCAAACAGGACGGATGGTTTCATTACAATTCTTTTCCAAAATTTTTTTCATTTATGAGCCAGTTGTCTAATATCCCTTTCTCTCCCCCTCCCTCCCCCCTAGGTTTCATGATTTAAAGTGTATTCATGTATTTGTAGCCCATGCCCACAGAAAAAAAAAAAAAAAAATTTTCTATTGGAGTAAACCATTTTTAATTCAAATAACGCTACAGTGATTAGTTTGCTAGGTATAAAGTTAGTCATGTATCTCAAAGTCTCCTCTGACCATTCATTTTAGTTAAGAATTTGTTATTACTACAACTTTACATCTATTTTTTCTCATTATGTATAATGATCAGAAATTATTTCTTATTTACAAAGTATAACTTCTGACGCATGAGTGACATGGGAACGAGTTAGTCAGAAATTGATATTCTGATGGCCCGTAAAAGAGGTTTGCGGGGGGAGATAAACCGAGGTTCTACCAAAGTCTAATTAATCCATAATATAGCAGCCTTTTATATCATTTTTAGCCTTAAATATTCTCCACAGTCACCCTTTTCACTAACTGGAGGACCCAGCCCCAGCCTCCTCTTACGGATGGCCTTCATTATTATCACTCAATGAAAAACTACAATTTTCGATTCAAAGTAACTCAGGCTGGTCACGGGCCCATCAGAATTTCTAGCCGCCAAAATTATGACTTGATGGCTTCCATGCAAAGAAGATCCGTTGATGAATAAATTAGTTGTAGTTGCGACTAATTTTGGGCAGGAAAACAAGAACAAAAAATCAACTTTATATTCCATGACCTCGAGAAGCTGAATGCTATTGATACTCAATGTTCACAATTTGTCTTTCTAGGACCATTTTGCTGGGCATTTCAATTTGGATTCTTCGATTTCTCGTGAGTCCTTTTTTGTGAGAAAATCAAGTTGTATGTTTAATTTATTTAAATGTAGTTTCATTACCGAAGGCAAAGACTGTTAACAAAATCACATATTTATTTCTCTATCCGGTGTTTGATAAATCAAGTGCACAGCTATAGCACCTGTTCTTTCGCTACGTAAACAGTTTATTAACAATGTAAATTCTATTAAGATCTTTAAAGTCTTACATTAAAATCATAAATTCATGGTCTATTTGTGATCACAAGTTATGGCATCCTTGCGATAAGTCATTAATAACCAATGCATTGTCATTACATATGACGTTTTGCTCAGTCAAAATGTCAGTCACACATCTTTTTATATCTACATTTATCGTAAGAGATTTTGGCAAATTTACAATCAAATAAACTGGTCTACCAGAATTGAACGAGTCTACTTTTCTAAGTTCTAGTTTCTTCTGGAAAAATTATCATTTAACGACGAAAAAGACTAAAATTTATACTGCAAGTATCTCTATAGATGCATGAATTTCTTTAAGGAACTAGTTTGTATTTTCTGGTCCAGTTCAACAGATTGAAAAAAAGTCACTCATAAAGATACCAGACAAGCTAAAACTAGAATATTATTTCCAGAGTTAAAGTTGTTTTTAGTCCTATCCGGAAAAATTGAAAACTGTCACCTAAAGATACAAGAAAAGCTAAAACTACAATATTCTCTCCGGAGTAAAATATTGACAAAGGAACCTGGGACCAAGGGAGATCGATATCCACCAATGAGAATCCAATACACTCGGTGGAGAGGATAGCGTTCTCAACTGATACATGCACTCCTGGAAATTGAGCTACGGAAGGAGGTGGAAGGTCACGTTAGTCCGCTTTTTAATACATACATCCCAGGCAACTGTAAGATCTCTAAGCAAATCATACTCAAGGAAAAAAAAAATCAGTATAAACTATTTGATTACCGGTGTAATGATAAAAGTGATGACTTTCTCACCAGTGTAATGATAAAATTGATGACTTTCTTACCATTCCCACATTATTATTCCTTTTTGCAAAACACATTCGAGCGTCTATTTCAAGATATAAATTTTTTTGTCTTCATAATCACTAACCAAAAAACGACCATCTGGTGTTGTTGCTATGGCTATCGGTTCTATTAGCCTAGTAACAGTTTTGCCAATAAAACGACCGTCCATTGTAAACTGCTGAATGCGTTTATTATTTGCGTCACACACCAAAAGATACTGATGATGGCCATATTTCTGAACACACAAACCACATGGAGAAAAAAATTGTCCATCAGCTTCGCCTTCTTCTCCAATCTTGTATAAGAACTTCCCTGATTCGTCAAACACTTTCAAACAATCGTTTCCACGGTCAGATATAATGAACTTGTTTTGGTGATAAATGCATCCATGAAGTGCGACTTCACCAGGGTCGTCGTCTCCAAATTTGAACATGAATTTACCATCTTTGTCCAAGACCTGGATTCTGATGTTATCGTAATCCGCTACAATGACATGTCCTTCATTATTTACGAAAATTCCTAGGGGTGACCAAAATTTGCCGTCTTCAGTCCCTTTCTTTCTAAAGCTCTTCACAAAGTTCCCTGTCTGTACATTGAATTGTTGAATTCGGCCATAATTGTCATCTATCACCAGAAGCTCGTCATCATTCAGGAATGCCACTCCAGCTGGATCATTCAGCTGCTCAGGCCCTTCTCCATAAGAGCCAAATTTTCGCACAAAATTCCCATCCTTATCCAACATTAGGATGCAGTGTTTTTCATCGTCACTAACAGCGATCGTTCCTTTGCAGTTGACAGCAATCCCTCTTGAACTTATAGAAATTCCTCTTTTTAGAACTAACTCGCCCACAACATGAATCCGTCGTTCCTTCACGTGGACCCTGAAAGGACTGCTAACAAGTTTGTCGCCATTTATCTTGACTGTCATGTTGTAAGTGCCAGGTACTTTAGGAACAAACTTCACGTGGAAATCATCATTTTCATTTTTAAAAGTTGTTAAACTTGCAACATCTTCAGCGGGTTCTATGAGCACCCTAGCGTCAAATTCGCGCAGGCATTTACTTGTAAGCTCTTCTTCACTCTTTCTCTTTGAACATATGAGAAGCTTTGCCTCCAGACCAGCTTGGAGATTTTCAGTAAGAGTTTCCATTGATGACAACCGTACATCTGTTTCATTGGTTATCACTGACCCCAGGTTTACGTTGTCAAGTTCATTAGTCGAGAAAAACTTTACGAATGAGCTAACCGGAAGCGAAGGGACTGTGGCCTTGTCGAGATCTCCAAATCGCTGCTCTAAACTCTTCTTACTTTTCATAACATCTGAACTTGAGCTTCTCTCGACCAGATTTTCGCAAACTGAACTGCTTGATCGAGCTGTTTGATCAATGACTTTACTTGCTCGTTTAGAGAGTTTATTTTCTCCATTCTAGACACGCGTGTATTCTCGAGGATTTTTGTGGCTTCCCGCTCATGTTCTCGAACCTTCGCGATCATTTCCTCGGCTGTTTGAGAAACCTCTCGTTTAGCAATGGTGATATTTCGTTCCAGCTCAACAACAACTCGTTGAAAAGTTTTAATCGCATCGCCACAGACTTTCTTCTTTCGTTCTATCGACTCGACTGCCGCCATGATGTTTGTTTTCTCGGCATCCGCTGCTTTCTCAAGCGGATCAACATTATGATTCTTGTGATCAGTGTTTATGCAAACTTGACAAACACAAATCTGGCATTCAAGGCAGAAAAACCTGGTTACCTCTCTTTCGTGGTAAGGCTGAGGGCAAAAGGAGTGACGCTTTAACAAGGCCTCGTAATCTACGGCTTGAAACTGTTTCACTGCCGTCACTTTGTGTCCTTGAAAGGCAATCTCTCGAAACAAGTCGTGGGCATTAGCACAATCACGGCACAGTAATTTTTCGCAAGCGAAGCAATAGCTGATCTCGGCTCTCTTTTTCTTACAGATACCACAGCTAATCTGACTTCCATCGCTACTTTGTCGTACAGCGAGAAGACTCAACAAACTATTCTGCAGAAAACCAGTCAACAAATTTTCGAAACAATTTCCTTCTGGGATGTTCACTTCCGCCTGACAATCGGGACATTGAAATTGTCCTTGTCTTTGGGTTTTCAAAGCGTGTTCCTCTAAACATTTCAAGCAGAAGGTATGAAGACAAGCTATGGTCTTTGGCTTGGTGTAAGTATCCAGACAAATGGAACAGGTGACATGTTTTTCGAGATTCTTCAAGAGAGACTCCATCGCGAAGGCAGATTTCGATATCAGAGCGAAAGGAAACACACCCGTGTGTTGTTTGTGATTCCGAGAAACATTAGCCAGAATAAATATGTTAGCCAAACCAAGCTGATCGAACCTTGTGATCTTTTATTTTTTTGGAGTCGAAGTTAGACAACGAACAATATGCTCTCTAACAATAGGCTCTTGTTCCATTCCTTTCTGTAACTGATGGCAGATGAAATTTATTTTTGCAGTGAATATTCCCTATGTTAAATGAAGGTTATTCCTCAGCAGTGGTCAGGTGTGTGGGCTTCACCAAAGTTTAGTTTGAGAATTAGTAAGATTTGAAACAAAAATGGCTTAATAAGGCCTAATTAATCCACTCGTTATGCAGCATGCTTCGTTCCTTTTCATTTCAGATAAGAGCCCTGACCTTGATTAATGTCATCCAATGCCGTAAAAACTACTATTTTCTATTCAAAGCAACTCAGGTGTCACTGACCCACCACGAGATTTATCGGAATTTTTAGCCACAAAAATTATGACCTGATGGCTTCCATGCAAAGAACATCCGTTGATGAAGAAACTAGTTGTAGTTGCAATTATTTGGGGCAGAAAAAAAGGAACAAAAAATTAGCTTTATATTCCAGGATCTCGAGCAGCTGAATGACAGAGATAGTCAATGTGTTTAAGGTCTGTTCACGATGTACCTTTCTAGCACCATTTAGCTGGTTATTTTGAGTTCAATTCTTCGACTTCTCTTTAGCCTTTTTTTTAAATCAATTTGTACATTTAATAAAAGACTGTAAAGAAGATCACAGATTTACATCTCCATCCAGTCTTTGATAAATCAAATGCACAGCTATACCACTTTCTTTTTTGCTACATGAACAGTTTATAAGATCTTTAGAATATTACATAAAAATCATCAATTCACAGTCCACTTGTAATCACAATAAAAGGTATACTTCCGATATACTCGGTGGCGGCCCCCCAAGATGGCGTCACAAACCGTGAAAAGGTCTATTTCTAGTGTAGTTTAACCTTATCGAAAATTAAGCATGCTTTTTAGTTCAGTCCTAAGATTCGAGCAGCTTTTTCCTGCTCTACGCCTGTATATCAAAGGTAAATTTTTAGTAATTGACCTACGCGTCGAAAATTGAAATAAAATAAAAGGAAACGACGCCGGGAGAAGCTATTGTAATCATTAATCTAAAAGCAGAAAGAAAGTTTACATGAATTCCTAATCAAATTTAACCTGAGCTCACTGTTTGGAAATTGCTTCGGTGAGGTCAAAGTACACGACAGTCTAATTTATTTTTTGTTATCTAAACTAAATGATTCCTTTTTCTAATATTATCAAGGCGTTTTTTTTACTCTTCAGACAGCGATCTCCTCTAAAAGATTCCAGTTTGAACACAGCTTAAGCCCCATAATTTAAACATTTTAATTTTTCTCATCACAACTTTGCCAGATGAGCCTCTTAGTGTTGTATTCAAGTATTTAAGTCTTAAAGAGATGAAAAACGAGCTAAGGCTGCGTATGCAGAAGATGGAGACGTGTCTCTGAAAGAAACATGTTGTGAAGCACCGTCTGCCTTGATGAATGGGGCATCTCTTATCTAAACGAAGAGCATTTAGAGACAATCATGAAGCACACAATGGGTTTCAGATATTTCTCAGTAGCTTATATTGAAGTAAAGCAAAATCCATTCAGGGAGCCACGAGCTAAAGTTTATGCTATTTTTAACGATCTTTTTTCGTCTCATGGACTTAAATATGTAAATCTATCTAGCCAGTCGATATCTCATCTTTCTTTCTTACAAGGCACACGCCAGTTGGAGTATTTGACCGTAAGCGATTGCTTTGCATCAAAGGACATATCCCCAATTTCTTTTTGTAAAAATTGAACCTTCCTTTCGCATAACGGGATAATTGTTTCTGAGCAGTGAGCTCTTGTAGTGTCAAACCAAATCTGTTTTCCTCGGTGAAAAGGGAGACAAGCTATTTTTAGAATCACTTGGAAACATCTGCAAAACACCTTGCAACCTTTCGTGTCCCAGCATAGACCTTACTATTGAAGATCGATCAGAATTTTCATCCTTAGCAAGAGAATTTGATATTACTGTCAACAATGCTTCATTAAATGGCCCAGACAGTTAAGAAGCATTTTTCAGATATCGATTAAGTAAACGTTAAGTTGTGTCGAGTTTTTAATATCATAACTATTAAAAATCCATAGAGAACTAAGTAGAACATTGAAAACAATAAATTGCACTTTCAATTTGACGACTTAGCAGTAAATTATTTTCTTTGTTTTTCGGTTTTTCCCAAGTTTCTTCCAATGATCAGAATGTTGTACCCTACTTTGATTTCGGGTACATCGTTAGTCGTAAAGTCTATCCAAGAACTCTTCACTTCTTCAGTCCGATGAAAAAAATTAAAAACCATTTTAGCTCGTCTCCTTCACACTCGCCAAGATTGTGGTTAAGGGAAAAGATGAACATTCGAAGAAGCTCGTGTTCCCGCCCTCGTGGTTAGAAACCTTGCTATTAAGAATTTCCACGCAAAACCAAGAGATGTCTGACAAAAATATGAACTTACCTAGAGCAATCATAAGTACCACTATATTTTGTGGCAAACAGAACATCTCTCTTTGAAGCCATCGAGATGTCAGCACAAGCACGGTATCCGTGAAGAAAGGCAACTTCCATGCCATTCTTATGCCATTAAGCAACTTATGATAAAGATTTAAAAAAACACTTACTAACTGGTTGGAGAAATGCCAGAAGTCTCTCTAAAACTGTACAAGAAGTTATTCGTATCACTGGGGAATATATTCGGTCGAAAGTTACACAGCCGATTCAAAAGGAAAACGCCTTTTTCTAAATCATCGGCGATGAGGTGACAGATAAAGACGCAAATCAAGAAGTATTATTATGTCATCGGAAGCACGTGGTTTGCGCGGGAAAAAAGAGAATAGCACCAACGGCATTGTGCACTTATTGCAACAGTCACTTTTTAAATCTCAGAGTTGCAGCCGCGCACAGGTTAACTCCAGTCACTGAAACATGATTAGAACCTTACGTGAAACCTTTTCTGTCTTTAAAATTCGCGTAAAAGACAGCGATTTCCAGAACGAGTTTTAGGGAAGTGTGGTTCTATTTCAAGAAAGGAGAAGTTGAAAGACTTGGGCAAAACCAAGTGGGCGGAAAGGCATGGATACTATATAATTGGGTGTACGCTCTCAGAAAGTTCTGCCGCAGCCGAGCGTTTTTTCTCTGAGTGTTAGAGGCTCATCTGGCAAAGTTGTGATGAGAAAAATGAAAATGTTTAAATTATGGGGCTTAAGCTGTGTTGAAACTGGAATCTTTTAGAGGAGATCGCTGTCTGAAGAAAAAAAAAACGCCTTGATAATATTAGAAAAAGGAATTATTTAGTTTAGATAACAAAAAACTAAATAAAAATAGAAGACACGACGCCGTAAGAAACTATTATAATCATTAATCTGAAAGCCTTCAGAAAGAAAGTTTACAGCAATACTTAATGAGGGGAGCATTGGGATTTTCGGTTTTGCGGTTTTGGTTATTTTTTTGGGTCAGTTTTTCGGTTTTTGTGCCAAAAAACTTCGGTTTTCAGCTTTGGTGTTAATTGCGGTTGGCGGATTTTGCGTTTTTTAGCATTTGGTTTTCGGTTTTCGCGAAAAATACTGACGGGTTTTCGGATTTGATATCCGATGTAGTTTTCGGTTTTTCCTATTTTACCTACTTGGGTTCCGGTTTCTCTTCGATCTGAGCGGCAATTGGGCGCCTCCATGCTCCACTGATCTCGAATAGCCGCCAAACGCAAATGTTAACGAGAGGAATGCGTGACAAACCAATTAAAATATCGCAGGGGTCCCACCCGCCCCCCTCCCCCAAGGTGGGGGGGAGGGAAGGGTACGGCTACACATAAGGTACGGCTTCTTTATCAACGCCACCTCGAAGTTGGTGACCAAGTTACAGGCCACATGTGACTGATTGATTTAGCATTTCAATAGAATCTCCAAACTTTCAGGTCCTAGTTCGCAAATGGAAATGTTAGATTAGGGATTTTCGACGAAACTTTCCAGAGCTATAGCTTTTTGTGACTGCAAAATTGCAATCCTATTGAGGACTTTTGTGCGAATTTCCTCAATTTCACTAGGCTCCATTACAAGCTGCTGAGTCCGCAGAGGCCACGCTCGAGGTCCTCGAGAGAGCAGCTGTTAATTTTGGCAGATACTAGAAGATACGAATGCCAACTCCATGCCAGTCTAATTTATCTTTTGTTATTTAGGCTAAATGATTCCTTTTTCTAATTTTCTCAAAGCGTTCTTTTAATCTTCCGACAGCGGTCTCCCCTCAAAAATTTCCAGTTTCAACACAGCTTAAGCTCCGTAATTCAAACATTTTAATTTTTCTCATCACAACTTTGCTAGATGAGCCTCTTTATGTATTATTCAAGTATTTAAGTCTTAAAGAGATTAAAAACAAGCTAAGGCTCGTATGCAGAAGATGGAGACGTCTCTGAAAGTGACATGTTGTGAAGCACCGTCTGCCTTGATGAATGGGGCATCTCTTATCCAAGTGACGATCATTTAGAGACAATCACGAAGCACTTTCATTTTTTTCGCCTAAAAGAGAGCGATTTCTAGAACAAGTTTTACGGAAGTGTAGTTCTATTTCTAGAGGCAAAACCAGATAGGTGGAAAGGTATGAATGCTATATAATTGGGTCTACGCTCCCAATAAGTTCTGCAGAAGCTGAGCGTCCATTCTCTGGCTTGCGAAGAATCAAGTCCTACCTTAGAAATAGGATGTCAGAAAAGCGGTTCTCAGGACTTGCACGAGGGGCTAAGAAAATTGTTGTTAAATTGGATATAATGTGTAACGGCGGGAGGGGGGAATTGGGTCGGGGTTTGTTGAATGACGGAGTTGCGGGGAGAGGCAATTTGCCCAAGAAACTTTCTGTAGTGTTTTCTGAAAAATTTGGACTATTAAAATTTCCCGGATCCGCCCCTGTAAGTCACTAATAATTAATACATTGACATTACATATGAAATTTTGCTCAGTCAAAATATCAGTCACCCATCTTTTTATATCTACATTTATCGTAAGAAATATGAAGCAAATTTACAATCAAAAAAGCGGTTGTCAAGACTTGCAATGAGTCTACTTTTCTAATGTTCTAGTTTCTTCTGGAAAAATTATCATTCAACGACGATAAATAAGTTGCATGAACATCTTAAAGGAACTAATTTGCAGTTTGTAGTCCAGTTCGGCAGATTGAAAAAATCCACTGAAAAGATACCAGACAAACTAAAACTAGAATATTATTTCCAAAGTAACAGTTGTTTTTTAGTCCTAGCCAGCAAAATTGAAAACTGTCACCTAAAGATACATGACATGCTAAAACTACAATATTCTTTCCAAAGTAAAATATTGACAAAGTAACCTGGGACCGAGAGAGCTCGATATCCACCAATGAGAGTTTCAATACACACGGCGGAGAGGATCGCGGTATCAACTGATACATGCACTCCTGGAAATTGAGCTATGGGAGGAGGTGGAAGTTCGCGTTAGTCCGCTTTTTAATACATACATCCCAAGCACCTGAAAGATCTCTAAACAAGTCAAGGGAAAAATATATATATAAATTATTTGATTGCCGGGTTAGTGATTAAAGTGCTAACTTTGTTACCAATCCCACATCGTTATTCCTTTTTGCAAAACACGTTTGAGCGTCTATTTCAAGACATAAATGCTTTTGTCTTTACTGTCACAAACCAAAATACGACCATCTGGTGTTGTCGCTATTGCGTTCGGATCTCCTAGCCTAAGAAAAGTTTTGCCAATAAAACGACCTTCCATTGTAAACTGTTGAATGCGTCCATTATCACTGTCACACACCAAGAGACTCTGATGATCGCCATATTTCTCAACACACAAACCCCATGGATATGAAAATTGTCCATCAGCTTCGCCTTCTTCTCCAATCTTGCATAAGAACTCCCCTGCTTTTCCGAACACTTTCAAACAATGGTTTCCACTGTCAGATACAATGAACTTGTTTTTATGATAAATGCATCCACTAGGTACGCATAGCTCACCAGGACCATTGTCTCCAAATTTGGACATGAATTTACCATCTTCGTCAAAGACCTGGATTCTGTTGTTCAAGCAATCCGCCACAATAACATGTCCTTCATCGCTAATGAAAATTCCTTGAGGTGCTGTAAATTCGCCATCTCCAGTCCCTCTCTTCCCAAAGCTCTTCACAAAGTTCCCTGTCTGTACATTGAATTGTTGAATTTGGCCATCATCGTCATCCCCCACCAGAACCTCGTTATCATTCAGGAATGTAATTCCAGCTGGATTAGCCAGCTGCCCAGGCCCTTCTCCATAGCAGCCAAATTCTCGCACAAAATTTCCATTTTTATCAAATATTAGGATGCAGTGTTCTTCATTGTCACTCACAGCGATCGTTCCTTTGCTGTTGACAGCAATCCAATCGGGCCTCTCGGGAATTTCTCCTTTGAGAACTAACTCCCCCATAACATCAATCCTTCGTTCCTTCACTTGAACCCTAAGAGGACTGGTAACAAGTTTGTCGCCATTTATCATAACTGTAATGTTGAAGGTGCCAGGTACTTTAGGAACAAACTTCACGTGGATATCATCATTTTCGTTTTTAAAAGTTCTTAAACTTGTTACATCTTCAGCTGGTACTATGAGCACTCTAACATCAAATTCACGCTGGCATTTACTTGTAAGCTCTCCTTCACTCTTTCGCTTTGGACAAATCAGAAGCTCTGCTTCCAGACCAGCTTGGAGGTTTTCAGTAAGAACTTCCATTGATGACAACCGTACATCTATTTCATTGGTTTCCACCGACCCCAGGTTTAGGTTGTCAAGTGCATTAGTCGAGAAAAACTTTACGAATGAGCTAACCGGAAGCGAGGGACTGTGGCCTTGTCGAGATCTCCAAATCGCTGCTCCAAACTCTTCTTACTTTTCATAACATCTGAACTGGAGCTTCTCTCAACCAGGTCTTTTGCAAACTGAACAGCTTGGTCAAGTTGTTTCATCAGTGAATTAACTTGTTCGTTAAGAGAGTTTATTTTCTCTATTCTAGACACGCGTGTATTCTCGAGGACTTTTGTAGCTTCCCGCTCGTGATCTCGAATCTTCGCGATCATTTGTTTGGCTGTTTGGGAAACCTCTCGTTTAGCAGCGGTAACATTTTGTTCCAGCTCTTCAAAAACCTGTTGAAAAGTTTTAATGGTATTGCTACAGACTTTCTTCTTTCGTTCTATCGACTCGACTGCCGCCATAATGTTTGCTTTCTCGGCATCCGCTGCTTTCTCAAGCGGATCAACATTATGATTCTTGTGATCAGTGTTTATGCAAACTTGACAAACACAAATCTGGCATTCAAGGCAAAAAAACCTGGTTACCTCTCTCTCGTGGTAAGGCTGAGGGCAATAGGACTGACGCTTTAACAAGGCCTCGTAATCTACGGCTTGAAACTGTTTCACTGCCGTCACTCTGTGTCCACGAAAGGCCCTCTCTTGAAACAATTCGTGTGCATTAACACAGTCACGGCACAATAATTCTTCGCAAGCGAAACAATAGCTGATCTCGGCGCTCTTTTTCTTACAGATACCACAACTGATCTGACTTCCATCGCCACTTTGCCGTACAGCGAGAAGACTCAACAAACTGTTTTGCAGAAAACCAGTCGGCAAATTACCGAAACAACTTCCTTCTACGATGTTCACTTCCGCCTGACAATCGGGACATCGAAATTGTCCTTGTCTTTGGGTTCTCAAAGCGTGTTCCTCTAAACATTTCAAGCAGAAGGTATGAAGACAAGCTATGGTCTTAGGTTTAGTGTAAGTATCCAGACAGATGGAACAAGTAACATGTTTTTCGAGATTTTTCAAGAGAGACTCCATCACGTAGGCAGATTGCGAAATTAGAGCGAAACGAAACACACGTGACTATTGTTTGTGCACAGGCAGACCACACGTAGTGTTCTTGGTTAATAACAAGTGTTTACTTGAGCCGGACTAAATCTCTGTGGGTTACGAATAAAGAAAATAAAGCTCTGAAAATTGCATATCTAAAGTACCTCCCGGTCTGAATATTTCAATAAAGATAAATGAAATGTTAATCGACGCATTTGTGATATTTTTTAGCCTTCATAGACCGTTTGAAGCGTCTTTTTTCAAAATTACTTTTGGCCAGAGGCCGTTAAGACTGAGAAGAAAGGGAACGAAGAGATAGAGCAACATCTCATCGATCAACGACCGTTGTTAGTTAGGAGAGATTTTCAGTATTTTGGCGTTAATTCCAGTTTGAAGCGGAGGAGGTCGTGGCTGGCGGCCATCAAGATGCAAGCCTTGTCTCCCTTTCACGTCTTAACGGCCTCCGGCCAGAAGTAATTTCGTAAAAAGACGCTTCAAATGACCCACGAAGCCAAAAAAATATCAGCCAGATTACAGCCTACGTGTAGCCTTACCCTCCCCTCCCCTCCCCTCCGCCAAGGTGAATGGGGAGGATATGGCTACACCTAGGCTAGCCAGATTAAAATCTAATATGATAGCTTTTTATGTTCGCCTACCAAGCAGATTAAACCTCGTGACCGTTTTATTTTTGGGACGGATGTAAGTAACACAGTAAGTTGTACGTTTATTTAAGAATGGCTCTTGTTCTGTAACTGATAGCAGATAAAAAGGAGCTTTTTACCGTAAATAGTATTTGATGTCACAAGGAAGAATCTCTAGTTATAAAACAGTAAAAGTCATTTTTATCTGGGCTAGAAATAAAAGGACGAATTAACTACATCGGAAGTGCTTAGCCTTCCAAACAAATAGGACAAGTAACATGTTTTTTGAGATTCTTTCCTTACGAGACTCCATCGCGAAAGCAGATAACGAAATCAGAGCGAAATGAAACACACTGTGTATTGTTTGTGATTCCGAGAAACAGCCAGATTAAAATTTAGTATGATAGCTCTTTATGTCCGCCAGCAGATCGAACCTTGTGACCTTTTATTTTTGGAGCCGAAGTTAAGTCACACAACAAGTAGAATGCTCTTTAACAATAGGCTCGTGCTCCATTGTTTTCTGTTACTGAGAGCAGATGAAAATATGTTTTTGCAATGAATATTCCCCATGTAAAATAAAAGGTATTCCTCAACAGTGATTAGATACGTGGGCTTCACAAAAGTTTAGCTCGGGAATTTGTAAGATTTGAAACAAAAATCACTAGATAAGGCTTGATGAATTCGCTCGTTATGCAGCATGCCTCGTTAATTTCATTTCAGATTAGAGCCCTGATGAAAAGCGGATCATATACAAATACATGAATTTCATACAAAAGAACGCGAGGTGTAGAACTCTGCCTGTAAACAAAGGTATAAGTTATTGACGTACAATCCTGAAAGAACTCGAACTACTAATAAAAAGGGGGGCATGGGGAATAAAACCGTGGTTTTACCGATAGTTCACTGATTAATAAATAATGTAACAGCCTTTTACATCTTTTTCTTCAATATTCTCGACGGTCATACTTATCACTAGTAGATAGGACCTGACCGCAGCCTCCTCTCAGCTGACCTTGATTAATGTTATCCAATGAAAAACTATAAAATTTTCTATTCAAAGTGACTTATGCCAATCTCGAGCCCAGGGTCATTTTGGCTCCTTGTCAGCGATATGGTGACAAGGAGCTGCTAATAAAAAGGGGGGCGGAGTGGAATTAAAACATTATGACACTATTTGGCGACCATACTGCTGACAAGAAGCCCAAACGACCATGGGCTCGAGATTGGGCCGGTCACGGATCCATCACAAGATTTATCAGAATTTTTAGAAGCCGAAATTATGACCTGATGGCTTCCATGCAAAGAACATCCGTTGATGAATAAATTAGTTGTAATTGCAACTAGTTTTTGGTTAGAAAAAAAAACAACAACAAATCAACTTTATATTCCAGGACCTCGAGTAGCTGAATGCCATAGATACTCAATGTGTTTAAGATCTGTTCACAATTTACCTTTCCAGGACCATTTTCCCGGGCATTTTAATTTAGATTCTTCCATTTCTCGTGAGTCTTATTTTTTTTAAAATTCAATTTGTATACTTAATCAGTTAAAATATAATTTCATTACTGAAGGCAAAGACTGTTAACAAAATCACAAATTTATTTTTGGATCCAGTCTTTGATAAATGAAGTGCACAGCTATACCACTTTTCTTTCGTTACATAAACAGTTCATTTACAATGCAAACTCTCCTAAGATCTCTAAAATATTATACCACAATCATAAATTCACGGTCTCTTCATAATCAGAAGTAATGGCATGCTTGCGATGCATTGTCATTACATATGAAGTTTTGCTCAGTCAAAATATCAGTCACACATCTTTACATATCTACATTTATCGTAAGAGATATTTGGCAAATTTACAACCCAATAAACTGGATACCAAAATTGAACGAGTCTACTTTTCTAATGTTCCAGTTTCTTCTAGAAAAATTATCATTAAACGACGAAAAAGAAAAAATTTATAGTGCCAGCATCTCAATAGTTGCATGAATATCTTAAAGTAACTAATTTGTATATTCTAGTCCAGTTCTGCAGATTGAAAGAAATTCACTCATAAGGATACCAGACAAGCTAAAACTAGAATATTATTTCCAGAGTAACAGTTGTTTTTTAGTCCTATCCTGCAAAATTGAAACTACATGACAATCTAAAACTACAATGTTCTTTCCGGTGCTTAATATTGACAAAGGAACCTGGGACCGAGGGAGCTCGATGTTTCAATACACACGGCGGAGAGGATCGCGGTCTCAACTGATACATGCACTCCTGGAAATTGAGCTATGGGAGGAGGTGGAAGGTCGCGTTAGTCCGCTTTTCAATACATACATCCCAAGCACCTGAAAGATCTCTAAACAAATCATATTTAAGGGTAAAAAAATAAATATAAAAATTATTTGATTGCTGGTGTAATGATAAAAGTTCTAACTTTGTTCCTAATCCCTCATTATTATTATTATTATTACTCCTTTTGCCAAAAACATTTGAGTGTCTATTTCAAGATATAAATGGTTTTGTCTTCATAATCACAAACCAAAATACGATCATCTGGTGTTGTAGCTATTGTTTTCGGATCTTTTAGCTTAATAACAGTTTTACCAATAAAACGACCTTCCATTGTAAACTGTTGAATGCGTTCATTATCTCTGTCACACACCAAAAGATTCAGATGATCGCCATATTTCTCAAAACACAAATCCCGTGGACATGAAAACTGGCCATCAGCTTCGCCTTCTTCTCCAATCTTGTACAAGAACTTCCCTGATTTGTCAAACACTTTCAAACAATGGTTTTTACTGTCAGATACAATGAACTTGTTTTTGTGATAAATGCATCCACTAGGTTCGTTTAGCTCACCAGGGCCGTGGTCTCCAAATGTGAACATAAATTTACCATCTTTGTCCAAGACCTGGATTCTGTTGTTACAGCAATCCGTTACAATTATATGTCCTTCATCATTTATGAAAATTCCTTCGGGTGCCAGAAATTTGCCGTCTCCAGTCCCTTTCTCTCCAAACCTCTTCACAAACTTTCCTGTCTGTACATTGAATTGATTAATTCGACTATTCAATGCATCCACCACGAGAAGCTGGTCATCATTCAGGAATGTCACTCCAGCTGGATTAGCCAGCTGCCAAGGCCATTTTCCATAGCAGCCAAATTTTCGCGCAAAATTTCCATCCTTATCAAACAGTAAGATACAGTGTCTTTCATCGTCAACTACAGCGATTGTTCCTTTGCTGTTGACAGCGATCCAATTCGGACTTACGGGAATTCCTCTTTTTAGAACTAACTCGCCCACAACTTGAATTCGTCGTTCCTTAACGTGAATCCTGAAAGGACTGGTAACAAGTTTGAAGCCATTTATGAAGACGGTCATGTTGTAGGTGCTAGGTATTTTAGGAACAAACTTCACGTGGAAATCATCATTTTCGTTCTCAACAACTTTTAAACTTGCTACATCTTCAGCGGGTTCTATGAGCACTCTAACGTAAAATTCACGCTGGCATTTCCTTGTAAGCTCTTCTTCACTCTTTCGCTTTGGACGGCAAATCACAAGCTCTGCTTCCAGACCAGCTTGGAGGTTTTCAGTAAGAGCCTCCACTGATGACAACCGTACATCTGCTTCATTGGTTATCACTGGCCCCAGGTTTAAGTTGTCAAGTGCATTAGCCGAGAAAAACTTCACGAATGAGCTTACCGGAAGCGAAGGGACTGTGGCCTTGTCGAGATCTCCAAATCGCTGCTCTAAGGTCTTCTTACTTTTCATAACATCTGAACTGGAGCTCCTCTCAACCAGGTTTTTTGCAAACTGAACAGCTTGATCAAGTTGTTTCATCAATGACTTTACTTGCTCGTTAAGAGAGTTTATTTTCTCTATTCTAGACACGCGTGCATTTTCGATAATTTTTGTAGCTTCCCGCTCTTGTTCTCGAATCTTCTCAATCATTTGTTTGGCTGTTTGGGAAACCTCTCGTTTAGCAGCGGTAACATTTCGTTCCAGCTCTTCAACAACTTGTTGAAAAGTTATAATCGCATCGCTACAGACTTTCTTCTTTTGTTCTATCGACTCGACTGCCGCCATGATGTTTGTTTTCTCGGTATCCGCTGCTTTCTCAAGCGGATCAACATTATGATTCTTGTGATCAGTGTTTATGCAAACTTGACAAACACAAATCTGGCATTCACGGCAAAAAAACCTGTTTACCTCTCTCTCGTGGTAAGGCTGAGGGCAAAAGGACTGACGCTTTAACAAGGCCTCGTAATCTATGGCTTGAAACTGTTTCACTGCCGTCACTTTGTGTCCTTGAAAGGCACTCTCTTGAAACAATTCGTGTGCATTGACACAATCACGGCACAGTAATTTTTCGCAAGCAAAGCAATAGCTGATCTCGGCGCTCTTTTTCTTACAGATACCACAACTGATCTGACTTCCATCGCCACTTTGTCGTACAGCGAGAAGACTCAACAAACTGTTTTGCAGAAAACCAGTCGGTAAATTATCGAAACAATTTCCTTCTGGGATGTTCACTTCCGCCTGACAATCGGGACATCGAAATTGTCCATGTCTTTGGGTTTTCAAAGCGTGCTCCTCTAAACATTTCAAGCAGAAGGTATGAAGACAAGCTATGGTCTTTGGCTTGGTGTAAGTATCCAGGCAAATGGAACAAGTAACATGTTTTTCGAGATTCTTCAAGAGAGACTCCATTGCGAAGGCAGATTACGAAATCAGAGCGAAACGAAATACACCCGTGTATTGTTTGTGATTCAGAGAAACATCAGTCCGATTAAATATGATAGCTTCTTATGTCAGCCAACCAAGCAGAATTGGTGACCTTTTATTTTTGGAGCGGATGTAAGTAACACAAGAAGTAGCATGGTTATTTAACAATGGCTCTTGTTCCGTTCCTTTCTGTGACTGATAGTAGATGAAAAGGAGATTTTACAGTAAATAGTATTTGATATCATAAGATGGCATTTCCAGATATTAAATAATAAAAGCGATTTTTATCCGGGCGAGAAATAAAAGGTTGAATTTACAACTTCGGAAGTACGTTAATTAGATAATTGGCCGGACGGCCCTTTCGCGTGAGTGGAAGGCAAGTGCTACATGTAATTTGGGCGTCAAGGAGTGTTGACAATATTTCCCTCCATCATTGCAAAAACTAGATATTATTCATAAGGCATCTTAACATAACTTAATTATTATATAAAACAAAATCGACTGCCTTCAATTCTCACTTTAAATAAACTACTTTCATTTCTTTCTTGTATTTATGTCTTTAGGCATCTTTGATGCATTCTACTGTTGTTATAACGTCTTTGTCAAATAAAAGTTTTATCCCTGATAAATCATTTTCAGTGACAAAATTATTTTACTCGTAAATTGATTTTCTTGCTTCCATCTCATCTTGGACAAAACTAAACGCATCTGCTTTACCGGATTTTCCAACAAAACTAAACTCAGTTCTTTGACTCGACTGTTTTGGAAGTCTTAAAGGGATTGTTGACGGGCCACACATAACAGGCGGTTGAACAACTGGATGGGAGTTATTAGGGAAATTGTATAATTTTGTATTGCGGTTGTGTTCTTTGTGGTCCGCTGGCATATAACGTGACATTTGGTTATGTAGTTTTGTTGTGTGACAATTCATCCACATTCCCGAAAATTTGTGAACCCCTTTTAAGGTTTACTGAGACAGAGCCGGCGCTATTTACATTCAAAACGTTCGTTGGACGTAAATTGCCGTCGTAAGGTGATATTAAACTGTTGCCGTAGCTTACAAGTTGGGTATCCTTTAGAACGTTTGTCTTTGAATTCGAAAAGTAATTCTCCCTTGCTTCAGTAATTGAAGCCAAATTGGATTGCGTGACATGATTTCCAACAGCATTCTGAAGTCATTGTCTGTTAGCAGTGGATCAAAGAGATCTGTCACGCTGTCCTTAGCGGCTTCTTGGGCGTTAGCCTTTTTTTTACGGGGCTTGATCGTGTGATATCCTCTTTAACGGAAAACAAATCATCTAAGTCAGATTTAGCACCCTTATCTCTTTGATTTGTAGTATTGTTTTCTTCTAAAGGTGTCACTCCCACTTGAAAGATCAAGTCCTTAGAACACATCCATTACTCCCCTAGAAGATTTCATCTTGAACAGTAGTGTCGGAATCAAACAGTGCTGATACTGTGGTGGAGTCTGTTTGCTGTACATGGGAAAAAAAAAAGAAAGTAACTACCTTCAGTTTATAAGCTTCTAGTTGCTAATTGACCGAGTATTTTTGGTCTTACCGAATGCAAACTCATACCAGAAAATAGAGCAAGACTTCGATCTGCTGTTGACTAAAGTGAGTAGTCTACAGTGTCTCCAACCTGCAAGATACAAAGAGACAAAGATTACCAACTTAACAGTCAGAATCGAAGGATGGATTCAACTCTAATTCATCATGGCGAAAGAGAAGATTGCTAAATGGATGCATTGTCCTGAGGCAAAATTGTACTGTTAGCCTAGCTAGTAATTTGTAGATCCTCTTAAAGATTTGTCTTTAAATTTTTTTTTGCTTTAATTAAAGTCACATATGATTGCGTGACACGATCTCCAAGGGAATTAGTATATGGCTGCTTGACTATAAACTTAGAATTCAGTCATGTCAAAAAAAAAAAAAAAAACAAATACGAAGAAAAAATAAAAATAATAATAAAAATAAAATAAATAGTAAGAAAAAAGAGATCATCAGAGGTATAAACCTAACATGGTCAGTCTAGAGTCTATAAAACTTACCACTGGGACATCTCTTTCTTCAACTGAGACTTGGACATCTGCAAGGAAACATAATCAAGCTTTATAGAGTTCAATGTTAAAGTTAGTTCAACCTCAAATGATCAAATGCCTCTACACTGTATGTGTTCCACATGAGTATAGTGAAGCTTCATGATCTTTAACTCTTGGACCCATCTGTTGTGTATTCATTTAGAGGAGACACTCACTCTTTAATTACCTTCTATATTCTGCCTTTATTCATCAATCAACTATCTAATAAGCTGGTGCAATCATGTTACTTGATTTAAGTCCTTTCACATCATTCAGTAATCCCATAGATATTACTAACATTGGTACAAGTACTTTTACTCTGTTCTAAGCACAGTTGCACCATCCTAGAGAGAGTTAACCCAACTACTTGGCATAATAAGCCATTTCCTCTGAATAAAAAGATACATCAAAAGGGGGGGGTATTATTGTTAGAATAACCCTGCCGCTAAGGTGACCTTACCTGGCATATCTGTAGGATTAGGGTGGGGTTATCCCATGGAAAGACTTCCAAAAATAGCTCTGGGTACTGATAGCCTGGAAAAGATCACAGATGGAAGCATCTAGTACTTATTTCTCCATTCGTGTCTTTTTCTGTCATCCATCTCTAGCAAATACTGATTACTGCTAGTTTATTCCCTCTGAAGGTTGTCACAATGATTTAGGCCAAAATCTATGATCAATATTATATGCATCATGCATACCTTCCTCAGCTCTCTCTTTTTCTCTTTTTGCACTCAGTAAATACAAGATCTGAGTAAAAAAATATATTGTTTCTGTCACTATGTGTATGATGCATATTTACACACATGATATTTCACAAAACAAATCATTCCTCATTAGGTAAATTAATCTGATTGACTCACCTTTGTAGCCTTGGATAAAACATTACCACATTACCACTTTCTGATCAAACAGATAATTGATTGTGATTTGTAAGAAATGCTGGGAGGCATTATAAAATATGTACTTAACACACCTCGTGTAAATTTAAATTGCTGTTGTACTCCTGGTCCTATACTCATTGCATGAGGGATATCTTCTCCTAATCCAAAACTGGCATTCTCAATATCCTGGTAGTGTTGAATGCAGTAGAACTTGTTGTGGTCAGAATTTGTTGTGGTCAGGAACATAGCAGTAGTTAAAGTGGTTTAGCCATGAGTTGCATATTGCACAAACAAAGCAGCTTTTGTGAAACACATGATTTTCCACCGCCACACGTTCAAGAATGTCTACAGGTCTGCCACATTTTTGTTGGTCACACCTGTTTGTCTGAATTACAGAGCTGTTGGTGGTACTGGCATTTTGATGGCTACCCTGCAAAAAACAAGAAGTATAAACATTATTGTTTAAATTATCATCTACCCAGTAGGAATACTAAATAAAATGCAAAAAGATGTCAAAAATTTATTGAACAAGTTCTGATTAATGTTTAAAATGAAACATTTCCTAGTAGGTCATCCTCATGGTCAAAAGTTTCTTTATGTCACGCTGGTTCAATTTTTCCTTGTCTCAGCACTATAAATGTACTCTAAGACAAAAAAAAACTTACACAACTTAAACTGGTTGAAAATCTTAAAACAAAGGAAAATATAAATCATGACTTCTGCATCCAAAAGAATAGTGCATACATAAACAACATGAAATAGTTTATTGATTGTTTTAAATCCCAAAGATGACTTAAGGCTTTCTTCCAATTAAAGTCAAGTTTTTCAGACAAGTTAATCAAGTTTGGGCAGCTGCTCACTTATCACAATGGATGATTCTATCCTAGGACTACTCACAATGACAATAAACTTGACATTCAAAATTGCAGTGAGAAGCTTAATAAATCACCAAGTATGTCCACATTAGTCAACAGAGAAGTCTGGTCCCAATTTTTGCTGGTTATCAGATCCTCCATAACTGTTATCCAACATGTCTCTTGCTTAAGCTGATTACATCTGCTAATTTACATTAAGCAGTTTAAAGAAGTGTAACCTCACTTAGAGATATCCCTTGAATGAACCACCTTTTTTGTGTATGCCCGTGCATACATGAAAAAGGGTTTCTGGTGATTACCCCTACTGGAAGTTCCATTTTAACAGTATAAATCTAAATCTTTGAATCTACTTTTTCCCTGCCTTGCAATTTCTTATGACTCCTATGCATAATTAAATTCAGCAGCTTTCTCTTTTCAGATCAAACTCATTACAATTTCTAGTGACAAATCTGAGAGCATGAATTTAGTTCAATTCATAAAGGAAAATCAAATTCCCCTCCAGCTTTTTTAAAATCATACTTACATTGACGAGCCTCTCTTTGTTCCATCTTGCTGTCTTCACATACTGTTTGCAGTGCCATCTAAGCTCTTTTACAAGTTCCCCCCTGTCATCTGCTGATTTCACTGAATTTGCAGTAAATTGAAAGATGCATGTTAAAGACCTGACAAGGTCAGGTGTTCTTTTCTTGGGCAAGTCTCTTTACTAACTTAGTGTCTCTCTCCATTTACAAGTATATACAGGCAACAGATAACTCTCAGGGAGGCCTGATAAAAGACCTGGGTAAAACTTTGATGGACTAGCATCACATTCAAGGGAAGTAACAAAACTCAAAGTCACTTCCACTATAGTCAGTTTAAAGCTTATTCTTTACACGTAGAGTAGTGTTCCTTATAATCCCAATGAAACAGAAAAAAAATAACTTCATCATTTTGCAATCATACCTGGAGTTGATGGCAAAGAATGAGCAAATGTTGTCCTCTCATCTTTGTTTCCAATCAACTGCTCCTGTTTTGGTGCTGCTAAACTTTGCTCAAGTAAAGGTTTTGGTTCCACATTTTCCTTTTCAGCTTCAGGTGGCAACTTTTTTTCAAACTCAATCATATCAAGCCCTGTCAATGAACGGGATCTTTTGTGCACATGTCTGATAAATTGCGCCTGCACTTCAGGTGGCAAATCATGAAGTTTACCACCACCTTCCAATGATCCTTCATTTCCATGCAGTGCTAATTCCTCAGGAGGGATGTTGGGTAGTTCCTTCTTGGCTCTGCGAGTTGTGGAGTCACTGACAGATGTCATGATCAAATCTCTCTTGTGATGCTTGTTCAGTTGTGGTTCAATGAGTGAAATATTTCAGAATCATACAATGCAGTGTCAGCTTTCACAAACAGAAAAAAGAACCAAAAGATTAATCACCCCACATAAAAATGGGTAATCTACATACAAAACTTTAAGAAGGACCATTTGGGGAAACTGAATTGAAAATAATTTTTCTTAATGGATACATGCACTTTTGATGAAATCCCATCTATTAACAGCTTCAATGATAAAAAAAAGCTAAAGCTGTTTGCGCAAATTACATTTTAATTCATACAAAGAAACTGGAAAAGAAATCTTAGAAACAATGATACTTATAGAAAAGATGTTTTTTCTTCTTGTCACAAGCATAGGACAAATGAAAAAATTCTAAGTTGCATGAGGAATTGAACCTAAGACTTTCGGATTCCACACACTAATGCTCTACCACTGAGCCACAGAGGCTCTATAATGAGCAAGGCCTATTAACAAAGTTCATATATGACATGCCTCCTGTATACTGTTGGGATCATCAAAGTTGCTAGTGTCATGTTTTGTATATGAAATTCATAATGTCCCTTGCTCTCCATAGAGTCCTTGTGGCTCAGTGGTACAGCATAGAAGCACTCAGAATTTTTTCTATGTCCCACACTTGCAACAAGACAAAAAAAAACATCTTTCTCCATTTCTTTACAGAGCTCAAACCTTTCCATCTTTCTTATTCTACTTACAAGAATACCTATGTTACAGACAACATATTTATTTTAAAGACTACATTGAATATTTTGTCACTTGTCCAAATTCAAACAAAGTGAAAAATGATTTTTTTAATCAATCTAAAAAAAGGCACAACAGTAGAAAGGAAATCATAAATAAAAACCCTGACCTTGATTTTTTGTCTAATCTTTGAAACCCTTGTGGAACTTCATAATATTAATGTTATCACTTGAATTCCAGATGGAAAATAGAAAATGTGAATTGATTTCATTCTATAACTTAACTTCTTGTTTTTTGTTTTGTTTTGTTTTTTTTTTTTTTGTTTTTTTTTTTATGTTTTTTTTTTATGTATAGTGACAAACAATGATGATAAATTTGATAGGAATAGAAAATAATCCTCTCTTCTTTTAGATGTTTCACTACTCCCACACCCTACCAATTTCAAGCAGCATAATTTCAGTCTCTTTTTTAGATTCCTTGAATATAAATCAATAAACAAATAAATAAAGCATAAAATTCAAATCATAATTACACATTCATATCCTATGAAAGATGTGTCTCAGAAATGTCAATTTTTCTGTATCCTTACTTTTCAATCACATCTCTTAATATAGTTACCTAAGACATCAGATCACTAGCCTTCTCCAGATTTATTCAAAATAGCTTGATGATTGCATAAAATGATAAATTTTAGGAAGACAAATTAACTCTAATAATGTGAGGGTGACTTTAACCTCTTACACCCTAACATCAGTATGCATTCACTCCACACTGTTCTTTATACATTTCCTAAGGTGCTGACAAGGAGAATTTGTTCAACAGTCAAGAGCTTCTTTAACTTCTTTTGACTTCAATACCATTGGAAAAAATCATCCCACATGGTATCTCTTGTTAGTCTCATGTCTTTTGTTTTTGAAAAGTTTTGGCATAAAAGTCACAACAATAATTCTTTAAACCAATTCTTAAAACTAAATATAAAAGTAAAACTGTGATTAATAATAAGTAGAATCAGTAGAAGATAACTTGATGTTTAATATTTGAAACAATGTAATTGCAATATCTACAGGAACTTTAAAAGGTATCTGGTAATTGATTGTTTCTTAGATTAGGATTCATAATACCTTACTGTATGGTCTACTTGTCCCAACCATTGTTTCATATTCATTTGGCAAAGATGCTTGCTTAAAGTTTGGTACACACCTACTTCAAATCCTATTGAGAACCCTGATCTATTACATTACCCTTAATCAGAATTAAGAAGGAAAACTGCCCACTGAAAATCCCAACTGTGAAGGTCACGTAAAATATAAAATGTATAACAACATATAAAGATCTTGGTAAAAAAGCCACACAACACCTTAGATTGATCCTTGAAGAAAATCATGTAATGCATGTTTTAGAAAGTATACCATTTTAAATTTAGTTATCCAAGCAAAAGCTATCATAGGCAAATTATTCCTCAAAATTTTACACTAAAATTTAATGTGGACCACTCACCATATAAGCAACCTACACGTCAAGAGTGAGATTTGTAAATGAAGGTGAATGTGACAGCTAATCAACGATTTAGCAACAAGGACGTTAGGTCACTGAGGCTCGTTGCTTTTCTAAGGAGGATAATCATGCTGTAACCCAGTAAAGTTTCCTCACAGAGCAGCAAAACCACAGTCTGAATAATATACCTAATGAAGAAATTGAAGGAAAATTACAAAACATTACATTACAGTACACTGTAATAGAATCGTTTTGAAATTTCTTTTTCCCTAGTTGATTATTGCTACACATATATTTGTCAGTTCACGTTAATGATTGACCCTTTTGAATAAATGATTGTATGAAGGTGCAATTGATTGTGCATCTCTATGCAAATTGTATTATTGTATGTCTCTAAGACGAAATTGATTATCTTACTATGCAATTGATTTTCTATTGGTGTTAATGACCAATCATTGCGCGAGATTGGAAGTATATTTGTTATGTTTGATTGTCCAAAGGTGCAATTGTTCATCCGTTGATGCTATTGAATATTGATAAATATGCAAATAGCGTTATTGAAAGTTCGTTCGCGTTAATGAAGTTCATGGAAGTGCTAATGAATGCATATTTGCCGTATAGTTTCAACTGTTGACGTAAATGAATTTATATTTTGCGTAAATGAACAGCCAAAGGTGTAATTATATAAATTCATCTAAAGGAGGACTGGACGTTTATGTGAGCTAACATGACAAATGAGCATTTTATAACTCTAGTGCCGACCGGATACACCTTTTCTACGCAGTCCTTGAATAAATGACCCATCAAACGCTGTCATCGGTAAACAACTGAGCTCACATTTTTCCTTGGAAGTTCTGTCTCTCATGGAAACCAAAATGCATTTGTTCATAGCAGGGTCAATCTGCACAAAGTAGGCCATAGATATGGGCTGTACGCGAGTGAAAAACGTTTCTTGCAAGACGTTTATAGACAGCTGTTGATACCAAGCAAGAAGGGCGCCGTAAAGGCGCCGCGAATAACCGTGATTTTTCAAACTAAGCATCGTCCAAGACTCTTCGACAGACACATTTCACAACTCCTCACTAAATAGTAGTCAGGCGCATCTGGTTTACCGCAGTGCACGATGGGATTAATACAAAACGCGCGGGAAAACGAGGGCCTTCGGTATAACAGCTGAATTGCCCTCCAGAACACCGTATTTTAAGCATAGCATGCACACCTCTAACTTATCACTTATTTCAAATAACTGTGAACTCTGTGAGTTGAAATTCCTTTGAACCATTGTACCGTCAAACCTCTCTTTTTCTTGATTGCAGTTTACCAGATGACTGACCCAGCGTTTAAAAAGGGGTGAAATACAATGAAATAACTTAGGGTGCGTTCCTTTGGGAGGATCCGGATTTGGCTTTGTGATCCAAGATCATACAGATCACGGTGCATGAAAGGAACGGAGTTTAAGGGTGCGTTCCTTTGGAAGTATGCACGTGGGTTATTGGGCTCTTCGCTTCCGATGGAATTAAAAAAAGAGGCAAGTATTAATTTACGATATGGATACTTGGGAACCCTGAATGCCTGCGATCAGTGGCCGATCGATTTAAAATTACAAAATCGATTCTATTTCGTGTTTACCGCAGAATTTGTGGAGCTATTACCAACAATCTTTCCGGTCAATATATGAAGTACTTACTTGTTTCAAATTGAGCACCGCTGGGCAAAATGATTAATTTCGGATCCTTCGCCCAAAGGAACGCGTTGGGTCAGTGATCCAATGATCCGTCCTTAGATCACGCAGATCAGTGATCCGATGAATCCTTGTCCAGAGTGGATTTGAAAGATCACTGATCTGAAAATGGATTTGCTCGAAAGGAACGCCACAGATCAGAAATCCTGATCCGGACTCTCCCAAAGGAACGCACCCTAAGCTATATGGGAATTTAAAATGCTATCTACATCCATTTAGTGACAATGAATGCATGAGTGGTCAAATTAACGATAACTATTCCGGGAATTTGATGACAGGCCACCTAGTAGGAAAGCTGCTTGGGATTTGAATGTATTTTGGTCTAAAGACAATCCTTCTAATATTGATAATTTTACTCTGAAATTGATAGTTACTCTATATCGTGACACAAATTATCAAAGGTTCTTTAAGAATACTCACGACGAGCAACCACCTAACCACGATGAACAAATCCACCTTTACAAGAGATCATAGCAGTTATTTTAAAATCGTCCTTCCAGATTCGTTCACATACAAATGTTATCAAACAGGACGGATGGTCACGTTAATTCCCTTCCAAAATTTTTTTCAGTTGTTAGCCAGTTGTCTAAATTCCCCTTCTCTCCCCCCTCCTCAGGCTTCGTGATTTGAAACGTATTCATGTATTTATGGCTAATACATGAAGCCACAGGAAAAAAAACATATAACAAATTTTCTATACTAAACCACTTTTAATTCACATTACGCTACAATGATTGGTTTGCTAAGTATAAAGTTAGTCACACATTTCTAAGTCTCCTCTGATCACTAATTTTAGTTAAAGAATTTGCTATTACTATGAATTTATGACCAATTTTGTCATCATGTATAATGAAAAATAAGTATTTCTTGTTTACAAATTTACTTTACCTATTGCACTCATCAACTTAAAATCGTCTGTACCCATGCCTCCAAAGTAGCATGTTTAGTATTTGAGTCTTATTTAGCCAAGTAACAAGTCTTTGCGCGAGACCTTATTTCAATGAAATAATCTTAAGACATTCATTCATTCATTCCTATCCTGCAAAATTGAAAACTTTCCCGTAAAGATACGTGACAAGCTAAAAATTAAATATTCCCTTCTAAGTAAAAGATTGACAAAGGAACCTGGGAACGAGTGAGTTCGATATCCAACAATACACCTGATGGTAAGGATCGCAGGCTCGCTGATCCATGCATTCCTAGTTCATGTTATTCAGTTCAGTGTTTATTACATACATCCTATGCACCTAAAGGACCTCTAACCAAATCATTTTCACAACACGAATTTTTTGCTGAGTCTACTGGTAAAAATGCTAACTTTGTTATCATTCCTTCGTTATTATTCCTTTTTGCAAAAAATATTTGAGTGTCTGTCTCAAGATATGAATTTTTTCGTCTTCATAGTCACAATTGCCGGTGTAACAATAAAATTGCTAACTTTGTTACCATTCTCATGTTATTATTCCTTTTTGCAAAACACATTTGAATGTCTATTTCAAGATATGAAGTTTCTTTCCTAAACAGTCACAAACTAAAATACGACCATCTGGTGTTGTAGCTATTGCTCTCGAATCGTTTAGCTTAATAACAGTTTTGCCACTAAAACGACCTTCCATTGTAAACTGTTGAATGCATCTATTATTTTTGTCACACACCAAAAGATTCTGATGATCGCCATATTTCTCAACACACAAACCCCATGGATTTGAAAGCTGTCCATCAGCTTTGCCTTCTTCTCCAATCTTGTACAGGAACTTCCCTGATTTGTCAAACACTTTCAAACAATGGTTTCCACTGTCAGATACAATGAACTTGTCTTTGTGATAAATGCATCCACTAGGTGCGTTTAGCTTTCCAGGGTCATCGTCTCCAAATTTGAACATGAATTTACCATCTTTGTCCAAGACCTGAATTCTGTTATTATAGTAATCCGCTACAATGACATGTCCTTCATTATTTATGGAAATTCCTTCGGGTCTTCTAAATTCACCGTCTCCATTCCCTCTCTCTCCAAAGCTCTTCACAAAGTTCCCTGTCTGTACATTGAATTGTTGAATTCGGCCATTTCTGTCATCTACCACCAGAAGCTCGTCATCATTCAGGAATGCCAATCCAGCTGGAGTAAATAGCTCCCCAGGCCCTTTTCCATGAGAACCAAATTTTCGCACAAAATTTCCATCCTTATCAAACATAAGAATGCAGTCTTTTTTATTGTCACTAAGAGCGATTGTTCCTTTGCTGTTGACAACAATCCAATTTGGACTATCAGAAATTTCTTTTTTTAGAACTAACTCGCCCACAACATCAATCCGTCGTTCCTTTACCTGGACCCTGAAAGGACTGGTAACAAGTTTGTTCCCATTTATCTTGACTGTCATGTTGTAGATGCCAGGTACTTTAGGAACAAACTTCACGTGGAAATCATCATTTCCTTTTCTAAAAATTCTTAAACTTGCTACATCCTCAGCGGGTTCTATGAGCACTTTAACGTCAAGTTCACGCTGACATTTACTTGAAAGCTCTTCTTCACTCTCCCGCCTTGGACAAATCAGAAGCTCTGCTTCCAGACCAGCTTGGAGATTTTCAGTAAGAGCTTCCATTGATGACAACCGTACATCTGTTTCATTGGTTATCACTGACCCCAGGTTTAGGTTGTCAAGTGCATTAGTCGAGAAAAACTTCACGTATGAGCTAACCAGAAGCGAAGGGACTGTGGCCCTGTCGAGATCTCCAAATCGCTGCTCTAAACTCTTCTTACTTTTCATAACATCCGAACTTGAGCTTCTCTCAACCAGGTTTTTTGCAAACTGAACTGCTTGGTCAAGCTGTTTGATGAATGACTTTACTTGCTCGTTTAGAGAGTTTATTTTCTCCATTCTAGACACGCGTGTATTCTCGAGGATTTTTGTAGCTTTCCGCTCGTGTTCACGAATCTTCGCGACCATTTCCTCGGCTGTTTGGGAAACCTCTCGTTTAGCAGCGGTGATATTTCGCTCCAGCTCTACAACAACTTGTTGAAAAGTGTTAATCGCATCGCCACAAACTTTTTTCTTTTGTTCTATCGACTCGACTGCCGCCATGATGTTTGTTTTCTCGGCATCCGCTGCTTTCTCAAGCGGATCAACATTATGATTCTTGTGATCAGTGTTTATGCAAACTTGACAAACACAAATCTGGTATTCAAGGCAAAAAAACCTGGTTACCTCTCTCTCGTGGTAAGGCTGAGGGCAAAAGGACTGACGCTTTAACAAGGCCTCGTAATCTACGGCTTGAAACTGTTTCACTGCCGTCACTTTGTGTCCTTGAAAGGCGCTCTCTCGAAACAATTCGTGTGCATTAACACAATCACGGCACAGTAATTTTTCGCAAGCGAAGCAATAGCTGATCTCGGCGCTCTTTTTCTTACAGATACCACAACTGATCTGACTTCCATCGCCACTTTGTCGTACAGCGAGAAGACTCAACAAACTGTTTTGCAGAAAACCAGTCGGCAAATTATCGAAACAATTTCCTTCTGGGATGTTCACTTGTGCCTGACAATCGGGACATCGAAATTGTCCTTGTCTTTGTGTTCTCAAAGCGTGCTCCTCTAAACATTTCAGGCAGAAGGTATGAAGACAAGCTATGGTCTTAGGCTTGGTGTAAGTATCCAGACAGATGGAGCAAGTAACATGTTTTTCGAGATTCTTCAAGAGAGACTCCATCACAAAGGCAGATTTCGATATTAGAACGAAATGAAACACACCTGTGTATTGTTTGTGATTCCGAGAAACATCAGCCAGAATAAATATGCTAGCCATTCAGGCAGATCGAACCTCGTGACCTTTTATTTTCGGAGCCGATGTCAAGTCACACAACGAGTAATGTGGTCTTTAACAATAGGCTCTTGCTTCATTCCTTTCTCAGTGTAACTGATGGCAGATCAAAAGATGTTTTTGCAGTAATTATTCCATATGTTAGATGAAAGTTAATCCTCATCAGTGATCAGGTACGTGGGCTTCACAAAAGTGTAGCGTAAGAGCTTGTAAGATTTGCCGGAAACAAAAATCACTTGATAAGGCTTACTTAATTCACTCGGTAGCAGCGTGCGTCGTTCATTCAATTTCAGATTGGAGCCCTGATGAAAAACGGATTTTATGGAAATGCATGAGTTTCATATAAAAGAACGCGAGCTGTAAAACTCTGTCTGTAAATAGAGGTATATGGTTTATTTTCACAGAGCTTGACTTACAACCCTGAGGAACTCGAACTGATTTTAAAAAGAGGGGGGGCAGGGGGAATAAAAGCTTGGTTTTACCAAAGGCTCATAAATCAATAGTGTAGCAGCCTCTTACATCTTTTTCAGCCTTCAATATTCTCGACGATCAGCCTTATAACTAATAGATAGGACCCAGCCCCAGCCTCCTCTAAACTGGCCTTGATTATTGTCATCCAGTGAAAAACTAAAAACTTTGTCTCCACTACACAACAAATAACACAGTAGTGTACACCAAATAAGTTTATTTAGGGAAGCCTGCCGAGAACCAACCCGAGGCATATATAGCCCGGGGCATGCATACATACATATATTCGCAACTGATATACCATATACAATCCTAATATACAGTCAATTCCTTACACATTAAAAAAAAAGGTATACATTACTAACATGCAAACTTCGCCATGTCTGGATCAACAGAGATGGGCAACCGCTTACAAGGACATAACTACGGTTATACAGAGGCTAGAAAAAAACCCTTAGGGGAAAAAACATGACAGGAAATCTGGGTAGGAACCATGGCCCAAACTCAGAGCAGTTGGCAGCCCATCCTACGAGGCTTCACGGCTAAAGAAAATATGTTTTCAAACTAAACTAAATTTGTCATCAGCCAGAGGTGAACGGTTGGTTCTGAGGCCTAGATGGACACCACGTGCTATACTTTCCCTTATATACCACTGCATCATTACCCATGATGCTCGGGCCTAAGGCCCAGGCCTTGTCGTATCTCGTGCCGACAAAATATTTATTTCTGCCTTATTCGCAGACTCATTCGTCAGAAATATCATTTTTCTATTCAAAGCAACGGTCACGAACCCATCACGAGATTTATCGGCATTTTTAGCCTCGGAAATTATGATGTGATGGCTTCCATGCAAAGAACATCCTTTGATGAATGAATTAGTTGTGGTTGCAACCATTTTGGGCAGAAAAAGAAAAGAAAAAAATCAGCTTTATATTCCAGGACCTTGAGCGGCCGAATGACATAGATGCTCAATGTGTTTAGGGTCTGTTCTCAATTTACCTTTCTTGGAGCATGTGCCGGTCATTTTAATTTAGATTCTTTGACTTCTCTCTCTTTTTTAAAATTCAATTTGTATATTTAATTGATTCAAATGTAATTCAATTACTAAAGGCAAAGACTGTGAACAAAATCACAAATTTATTTCTCTATCCAGTCTTTGATAAATAGATAAATCAAATGCACAGCCATGCCACTATTGCTTTTGCTACGTGAACAGTTTATTAACAATACAAACTCTCCCAAGATCTCTACTTAGTATTACATAAAAATCATAAATTTAGAGTCCATTTGTAATCACAGGTAAAGGCATGCTTGCGATGGGTCAGTGGCGGCAGCCCCCTATGATGGCGTCAGAAACCGTGAAAAGGTCTATTTCTAGTGTAGTTTAACCTCACTAAGAATTAATTATGCTTTTCAGTTCAGCCCTAAGATCCAAGTGCGGAATTTTGTAGAGCTACAAGATTCCGTGTTCATAGCAGCTCTGACGCTTGTATATCAAAAGTAAATTTTACTTCTTCACCGGCGTGTCCAAAACTAAAATAAAAGTAAAAGGAACGACGCCGCAAAAAAACTGTAGTAATCATTGATCTAAAATCTTTCAGAAAGAAAGTTTACAGCAATTCCTAATCAAATTTAACCTGAACTCCCTGTTTGGCAATTGCTTTGCTGAGGTCAACTGAAGTACACGAGAGTCTAATTTATTTCTTGTTATCCAGGCTAAATGATTCCTTTATCTAATTTTATCAAAGCGTTTCACCCTTCAGACAGCTCAAAATATACCAGTTTCTACACAGCTTAAGCCCCATAGTTTCAACATTTTAATTTTTCTCATTACAGCTTTGCCAAATGAGCCTCTTTGTGTCGTATTCGGGTATTTTTAAATGCTTAAAAGTGTTAAAGAGATTAAAACAAGCTAAGGCTCGTATGCAGAAGTGTGCTGTATTCGATTTACGTTTACATTAATTCAGCCTCGCTTCCGTTCATGATTCGATGTATGATCACTTCCGGTAATGGCGACGACACATGTTAGAAGTTATTAAAAGTTCTGTGTTGAAATCAAAGAATATATCTCCGTTTCTCGTGCCATCCGAACACCACATGGTGTCAGAAGTGAACAAGAAGATATAAACTGTGTCCAGAACGGATATTTAGCGATCAGTGATCAGGAATTACGCGGAAATATGGCTACGAATCTTCCACCACCGAAAGCTCTTTGTCTATCGGGAAATGCAAGTGAGAATTTCAAGTTGTTCAAGCAGCAGTACGAATTATATGTGAACGCCATTGGATTATCTACTGCCAGTAAGGAAAGGAGAAGTGCTATACTGCTAAATCTCGCAGGTGAGGAGGCGCTGAAAATCTACAATGGCTTCACGTGGGCTCCAGCTGTAGGTGACCCCGAAGGGGAGGAACATGTACCAGCAGAGGACAAACTGGATCCGGAATTAATTCTGGAGAAATTCCAGAGGTTCTGCACGCCGAAAACAAATGTTACTTATGAACGTTACAAGTTTCACAGGTATACGCAATCAGAAGGTGAGAGTTTCGATAATTTCTTATCACAAATTAACACTCTCGTGTCTACGTGTGCCTACGGTGAACTAAAGGACGATTTTGTCAGAGATAAGATCGTATTGGGTATAAATAGTGATAAGGTCAGAGCACGGCTGTTGAGAGATGGTGAACTGACTTTAGAAAAAAAGATAAATGAGTGTAGAGCAGAAGAATGTTCTGGAAGGTGGGCTCAGGATATAAAAGGAGAGACTTCTAAAGTGCAGGCAGTTCAACATAGGCGGAAAGGAGGCCCTCGTGACAAGGGACCACGTAGTAACGGGCAGCAAAGAAGTGCATCAAATTGCTCCCAGGCGTCGAATAGCCGGTCATGCCGGTGGTGTGGAAAGGAGGTGCACCCCAGAGAAAGATGCCCTGCAAAAGACAGTAAATGTAACAAGTGCAAACGCCCAGGACATTGGGGCAAGGTCTGCAGGAGTAGTAAAGGAAAAGGGTCTGTACAAGAGGTAGCAGAAGTGCAGTCTGACTCAGATGAGTACTACTTCTTAGGAAGCATCAGTGATGAAAGTTACTCTATTGAGAGTATCAACAACAGGAAACGTAGGAGTGCATGGTTTACGGAAGTCCAGGTGTCAGGTCAGAGCCTGAAATTTGCTGTTGATACTGGAGCAGATGTGACAGTCATTTCCAAAGCTGTGTATGATACACAGTTTTCACACTTCATTTTGCAGAAGCCTGACAGGCCTCTTAGTGGCCCAGATCAAAGCAACCTTTCAACTCTTGGATTCTTTACTGCAGAACTAAAGAAAGGTGATCAGACAATCACAGAGGATATATATGTGTTCCCCAAAGGCTCTCTATTGCTAGGTAGAGACGCTTGTGCAGATCTAGGTGTCGTTAAGTTCATTGGAAAAGTTACGTCAGATCCTATCCAGTCAGCGGAGTTCGGATCAATGTTCAAAGGCATAGGAAAGCTAGAAGGAGAATATAAGATTAAGATCGAGCAAAACGCAGAGCCATACAGTGTGATGACTCCCAGGAGGATATCTATTCCACTACTTCCTCTAGCCAAAGCTGAACTTGACAAGCTTATCGAGCTAGATGTTATAGAACAGTGCACAGAACCATCGGAATGGTGTTCTCCTATGGTCGTGGTGCCTAAAGGAAATGGCAAAGTGAGGATCTGTGTGGATCTCACGAAGCTTAACGAAGTAGTGAAGAGAGAAAGAATCATGCTCCCCACAGTGGATTATACAATTGCTCTGATGGGAGGTGCTAAGGTTTTCTCTAAACTGGATGCCAATGCGGGCTTCCACCAAATCTGCTTGGATGAAGATTCAAGGAAACTGACCACGTTCATCTCACCATTTGGTCGATTTCGATATAAGCGAATTCCCTTCGGTATCAAATCTGGCCCTGAGAAGTTTCAGAGTGAGATCTACCGAATACTAGGTGGTCAACAAGGTGTGGTATGTCTCATGGATGACATTGTCGTGTTCGGAAAGAACCAGGAGGAACATGACGAGAGACTCGTACAGACATTAACACGGCTGAAAGCAGCAGGTGTCACCTTGAATAAGGATAAGTGCCAATTCAGCAAAAGCCAGATTGACTTTCTAGGTCATCGGATCGGAGTTAATGGTGTGGAAAGCTCTCCAGAGAAGGTTGAGGCTATATTGAAAATGCGTGCTCCAGAGAATGTGAGTGAGGTAAGAGGTCTGATGGGTACAGTGAACCAGCTCATGAAGTTTGTACCCAACCTTGCTACTATGACACAACCTCTACGTGAACTCTTGAGCTCTCACAGTGCATGGTGCTGGGGTCCAGCACAGGAACAGGCTTTTAAAGAGATTAAACAATGCTTGACGAGCAGCCCAGTGTTGCAAATATATGATCCTTCACTAGAGACCAAGGTGTCAGCAGATGCGTCTTCATACGGACTTGGCGGAGTGCTTTTGCAAAAGCACGGTGACAGGTGGGCGCCAGTGGCGTATGCGTCCAAAAGCCTTCTGGATGTAGAGAAAAGGTACGCCCAGATTGAAAAGGAGGCCTTGGCTAGTACCTTCGCATGTGAACGATTCACAGATTACATTCTGGGAAAGGATATTATACTAGAGACTGATCATAAGCCTCTTGTACCACTGCTATCCGCGAAGGAGTTGGATCAGCTACCCGTACGTATTCAACGAATGAGAATGAGGCTCATGAGATACTCGTTCACACCTGTTCATGTGCCAGGAAAACTGTTGTACACTGCTGACACGCTATCCCGTTCTCCAACACCAGCCAAATCAGGTGATTCATTTCATGAGGAAGTGAACTTATATGCTCATCAAGTCATAGCTGGAATGCCTATCAGTGATAGCAAATTAGATGATATTATGATCCATCAACAGGAGGATGAAGCATGCAGGCAAATTATGAACTATGTAGCTGAAGGTTGGCCTGAAAAACATAATGTCAAGGGGTTTAGTCAGCCCTTATTTTGCTCATAGAGCAGAGCTGACAGTGGTTAAAGGGCTGTTGATGATGGGACCTCGAGTCGTTATACCATCGTCTATGAAATTGGAAGTCCTGGATAAGATCCACGACGGTCACCAAGGGATTGTCAAGTGCAAGGCATTGGCCAGAAACACAGTGTGGTGGCCAAGCATGATGAAGAATATAGAGGAGTTAATTGAAAACTGTCGCAAGTGTCAGTCTAACAGGAAAAATCCTCCAGAACCTCTAGTTCCTACCATGCTCCCACAACGACCATGGCAATACATAGCCACTGATGTCTATGAACTCAATAAAAGACTGTATTTAGTAATGATTGATTACTACTCCAGATGGATAGAGGTAGCTAGTCTGAGTTCAACCGCCTCAGCAGAGGTCATAGACAGGATGAAACGTGCATTTTCCAGATTCGGAATTCCAGATCAAGTAAAATCTGACAATGCCAGCTACTATACATCAAGGGAATTTAAGATGTTCACTTTAGATTACGGGTTTCGACATGTCACTAGCAGCCCAGGTCATGCTTCAGGCAACGGTGAAGCAGAGAGAGCAGTGCAAACAGCTAAACGTCTCCTAGCTGGCTCTCAAGATCCTTATCTTGCTTTGCTACAGTATAGAGCGACACCATTGGCTAATGGTTATTCTCCAGCTGAGCTAATGATGTCAAGGAGGCTAAAACCAAAGTGCCGGTGGCCCCGTCTCAGCTGTCCCCAAACCTTGTGCAGAATCATGCCCTACGTCAGTTTGAAGACAATCACAAAACCAAACAGAAGCTGCACTTTGACAGAAGGCATTCAGCGAGGCCTCTTGTTCCCTTAGAGAAGGGAGATGAAGTGATGGTACAAGACAGAGGACAGTCTGGAATAGTAGTGGAGAAGTGCACACCTCGTTCTTATGTGATCCATACGGACACTGGGTCATATAGAAGGAATAGAGTACAGATCAACAAGATACCACCCCACCCCCAGCTGCAGCTACATCTCCAGCCAAACCCACACCGGTGCCAGTACCTCCATCACCTAAACTTCCTTCACCCCAAACTGCTAACACTGCAGAAGGAACTGGCACATCAAAAGTGTACACCAGATCTGGCCGTCAATCTAAGCCCTCATCCAGATTGAAGGATTATGTGCCATAAGTGAAGTTATACTTTCTGGCCAGATTTTCTCTGGTTTCTCAGACAGAAAGTCATAACTATGAACGCGTATTCTAGTGTGTGTGAGACTTAGTGCAGAGACAAACGACAATAGCTACCCAGGATGTGTTTCTTAACAAAATGACGATTACTTGAGGACATTTGATTGACGTTGTTTTGATTTTGAATTTCACGCTAGATAAGAAACAAGTATGTCTAAGTAGTTTCTCTTTTATTATCTTAAAGGGGGAGATGTGCTGTATTCGATTTACGTTTACATTAATTCAGCCTCGCTTCCGTTCATGATTCGATGTATGATCACTTCCGGTAATGGCGACGACACATGTTAGAAGTTATTAAAAGTTCTGTGTTGAAATCAAAGAATATATCTCCGTTTCTCGTGCCATCCGAACACCACAAGAAGATGGACACGTGTCTCTGAAAGTGACATGTTGTGAAGCAATGTCCGCCTTGATGAATGGGGAATCTGGCTAACTCTGGGTATTAAGAGCCTGGAAAGATCACAGATGGAAGCACGTAGTACTGATTTCTCAATTTGCGTTTTTGTTTAATTTATTCCATCTCTTGCAAATACTGATTACTGCTAGTTCATTCCTTCTGAAGGTTGTCACAATGATTTAGGCCGAAATCCATGATCAATATTATATGCATCATCCTTACATTTCTCATTTCCCTCTTTTTCTCTTTTTGCACTCAGTAAATACAGGATCTAAGTAAAAACAATATATTTTTTCTGTCACTATGTGAATGATGCATATCCACACACATGATATTTCATAAAACAAATCATTCCTTATTAAGTAAATTAATCTGATCCACTCACCTTTGTAGCCTTGGATAAAACACTACCACTTTCTGATTTTGTAATTCCTTCCAAATTTGTGCAAAATCGAGACATTCTTGAGGCCACACAAGGAATATCACTCTTCAAAAGGTGTTCCAAAACATGTTGTGACTTCTGCAAAAACAAAAAAAAATTGAATTCTATAACTTTAAAAACAAAACAAAAAAATTTAAACACAATTTCACTTTGAATAGAGCCCCAAAATTCATAAATTAAACCATGCCAAATTTGAAATGGTACTTTAGTTTTGTAATCTAAATAGTATAACCTCTTCAATAAAAATAGGCATGGTAAGAGTCTTTCACTTGCTAATCATATGACAAGCAATTATGGTGTCTAAGCATTACAAAAACAAATTTATCCAAACTGGGATAAGCTTGAAAAAAAAAAAAAAAGGGTCGAAATTTTTTTTTTGAGTGCAATCCATTCAAGTCTATTATATTTTTTTTGCTTATTTGTTGGAGTACTTTAGAGTTTGGCAGTGATATCCTGATATGGATCTGCTGAAATAAGCACACAAAGACTAGTCCACAACATGACTAGTATTTGTACCTTATTCTGTGATACAGTAAGTGCATGGGTTCTTTAAGGTCTAACATGATTAATATGATTTAACTTTGGGTAACTTATATCATAAAGCTGCCACAGACCAACACATTGGCTTATAAATTAAAATTGTGGAGGTAAATTGCACTGAAATGATGGAAATCAGTAAGATCGTACCATCTTTTAATGTACTTTTAAAAACACCATAACAAAATTAGACCTGCTAGGCCCATCTTGATCACATTTTCCTTTTAAAAAAAGTTATTTTAACCCTTTAACTCCCAAGATCTGATTGTTAATTCCCTCCTCCAGCTGCTACATATTTCCTTGTAAATTGGTTATGAGCATTTGGTGTTTAATCAAAATATCTTTAACCTGATAAGTTTGAGTATTCTCATTACCTGTTTGCTGGATTATGTATGGATACTGTAGGGAGAAGTTACATGTTAATCACCTTTGGGAGTTGAAGGGTTAAAGTAACATTAAGATTTCTAATTACTGGTGGACTCTCTTTCCAAATTTTTAAACTTTTTATATAAAAGTTGTTTCAAAGAAAAACAGTTTTTATCATGAAATTACATTTATTCAGTTAATTTTAAATTCATTTTCTGTGCCAAGACTGAAAACTAGCTTGTGAGTGTTGCTCACAATAGCTAAATGTATTTACTCAATAAACCAGTATTATGCAAGGTCCTCCTCTGAGTCATACCAATGAAAATACAGGAGAAAAGTTCTTTGGTTTAGACTCCTCATCCAAGAAGATCAGAATATCCAACCACTTGTAGAGGTCATTTTAAAGAGCACACATTTAACTCAGTTATTTTAACCACCAAGTGTTTCTCTGGTCTGGGACCCAAACCTATGGCCTCCTACATGTACCCCACTTTGTCTTTTAAGTGTTTTCCTAATGTTCTTTGGTAGTTTTATACCATCATCATTAAAATAATACACTGATCTTTACAGATAATTTTACAACATGAACTGGCCAATTCTGAAATTACCTTGAATTTTGTGCCCTCCTCCCCATACTGTAAAATGATTACAGGGTTCTTCCCCTTTTTCAAAAACACATTTCAAGGACTTTTCCAGGACTCAGATAGATTTTCCTAGTACTCCAAATTTTACCTTAAACCCTTTCATTCCCAAGATTTCAAAATCAATTCTCCTTAAGGTCTACATACATTTCTTATAACGTAAATTGGGAAATATGTATTGCTTAAACCTTTCACTCCCAGAAGTGATTAACATGTAACCTCTTCCTACAATAACCATACATTATCCAGCAGACTACTAATGAGAATACTTAAAGTTAAGAGGTAGAAGTTTTTATTTTGATCGAACACCAAATTCTCACAACTGATTTACAAGAAAATGTGCCAGCTAGAGGGGAGAATTAACAATTGGATCTTGGGATCTAAAGTGTTAGATTAAGCAGATTTCCAGGTCTTTCCAGGACCTGTATTCTTTTTGTTGAGACCAAACAAACAATTTAATTAAGTTATTAGATTGACCATTAAGCATGTGGAAAGTTCATCCTTCTTTAAACTGTTTAGAACTGTTATCATTCAATTTGCTACCAATCTACCTGTGATATGGCAGATTATCTCCAACCAGATGATTGATTGTGATTGATTAGAAATGCTGGGAGGCTGGAGTCTATAATAAATTCCTTCCCAAAATATAATTACTTAATTAAAAAGGAAATATGTACTTAACACACCTGGTGTAAATTTAAATTGCCGTTGTACTCCTGGTCCTATACCCATTGCATGCCAAATATCTTCTCCTAATCCAAAACTGGCACTCTCAATATTCTGATAGTGTTGAATGCAACAAGTGTTGAATCCTGATAGTGTAAAATTAATTTTGTCGTAGACAGGAACAAATCAGTAGTTAAAGTGGTTTAGCCAAGAGTTGCATATTGCACAAACAAAGCAGCTTTTGTGAAATACATGATTTTCCACTGCCACACGTTCAAGAATGTCTACAGGTCTGCCACATTTTGTTTGGTCACACCTGTTTGTCTGAATTACAGGGCTGTTGGTGGTATTGGCATTTTGATGGCTACCCTGCAAAACAAGCAATATTATTTAATAAAACAAAAAGTATACACGTTATTGTTTGAATTGTCATCTACCAAGTAAGAATACTTACTAAAATGCAGAAAGATGTCAAAAAAGTGTATTGAACAAGTTCTGAATGTCTAAAAGTAACATTTCCTGGTAGGTCAACCTTGTGATCAAAAGTTTCTTTATGTCAAGCTGGTTCAATTTTTCTGGTCTCAACACTACAAAAACTTACACAACTTAAATTGGTTAAAAATCTTACACCAAAGGAAAATGTAAATCACAACTTATGCATCCAAAGAAATAGTCAGTATGTAAAGAACATGAAATAGTTTATTGATTGTTTTAAATCCCTTAGATGAGTAAAAGCTCTCTTCCAGTTAAAGTCAAGTTTTCAGACAAGTTGATCAGGTTTGGGCAGCTGCTCACTGAACACAATGGATGATTCTATTGAAGGACTTCTCACAATGGCAATAAACTTGACAACCAAAATTTCTGTAAAAGGCTTAGTAAATCACCAAATTTGTCCACATTAGTCACCAAAGAAATCTTGTCTCAATTTTTTGCTGGTTATCAGATCCTCCATAACTGTTATCCAACATGCCACTAGCTTAGGCTTAGGTGTTGTGTATGCAGGTGCATATATGAAAAAAGTTTTTTGGGTGATTGCCTCTACTAGAAGCTCTATTTAATCAGATGAGAATAAATCTAAATCTTTGAATCTACTTTTTCCCTGCCCTCCACTTTCTTATAAAACTTAAGCATAATTCAATTCAGCAGCTTTCTCTTTTCAGATCAAACTCCTGTTACATTTTCTAGTGACAACTCTGAGAACAACATGAATTTAGTTCAATTTCCAAAGGAAAATCTTATCTCCCTCCAGCTTTTTTGAAACCACACTTACATTGGCAAGCCTCTCTTTGTTTTGTCTTGCTGTCTTCACATACTGTTTGTAGTGCCATCTGAGTTCTTTTACAAGTTCTCCCCTGTCATCTGCTGATTTCACTGAACTTGCACTAGATTTTCAATTAAAAACTGAAAAATAAAAGTTGGAAAAGGTGAAATGCAAATGTTCATCAAAATGAAAATCAAAGTTCTCTACAAAGACAGTATTGTAGACAGACAGCTTATATTTACACCCACCAAATCAAAACCCCTTTCAAACTTTCACACAAACATGGTGTTTTCACATTACGGATGTGGACATTATTGTGAGGCACCCTGGTCACTTTTAGCAGTTTTTATCTAGCTGTTTGTAGGAGGCAGTGGCCTGACAGTTAATGTGCTGAATTCAGCATTGAAAGACACATGTTTAAGAACTGACAAGGTCAGGTGTTCCATTCTTGGGCAAGTCTCTTTACTAACTGAGTGCCTCTCTCCATCCAGGAGTATAAACAAGCCACAGATAACTGCCAGGGAGGCCTGATAAAAGACCCACATTTTTCACATTTTCCTTTTCAGCTTCAGCCTGCAACTTTTTTTCAAACTCACTCATATTTAGCCCTGTCAATGAACACAATCTTTTGTGCACATGCCTGATAAATTCTGCCTGCACTTCAGGTGGCAAATCATGAGGTTTACCACCACCTTCCAATGATCCTTCATTTCCATGCAGTGCTTATTCCTCAGGAGGGATGTTAGGTAGTTCCTTCTTGGCTCTGCGAGTTGTGGAGTCACTGGCAGATGTCATGATCAAATCTCTCTTGTGATGCTTGTTCAGTTGTGGTTCAATGAGTGAAATATTTCAGAATCATACAATGCAGTGTCAGCTTTCACAAACAGAAAAAAGAACCAAAAGATTAATCACCACACATAAAAATGGGTAATCTACATACAAAACTTTAAGAAGGACCATTTGGGGAAACTGAATTGAAAATAATTTTTCTTAATGGATACATGTACTTTTGATGAAATCCCATCTATTAACAACAGCTTCAATGATAAAAAAAAAACTAAAGCTGTTTGCACAAATTACATTTTAATTCATACAAAGGAACTGGAAAAGAAATTTTAGAAACAAGGATACTCATAGAAAAAGATGTTTTTTCTTCTTGTCACAAGCATAGGTCAAATGAAAAAATTCTAAGTTGCATGAGGAATTTAACCTAAGATTTTCGGATTCCACACACTGATGCTCTACCACTGAGCCACAGAGGCTCTATAACGAGCAAGGCCTATTACAAAGTTCATATATGACATGCCTCATGCATACTGTTGGGATCATCAAAGTTGCTAGTGTCATGTTTTGTATATGAAATTCATAATGAGCCTTGCTCTCCATAGAGTCCTTGTGGCTCAGTGGTACAGCATAGAAGCACTCAGAATTTTTTGTTTTTTTTTTATGTATAATGATAAATAATGATGATAAATTTGATAGGAATAGAAAATAATCCTCTCTTCTTTTAGATGTTTCACTACTCCCACACCCTACCAATTTCAAGCAGCATAATTTCAGTCTCTTTTTTAGATTCCTTAAATATAAATCAATAAAAAAATAAATAAAGCATAAAATTCAAATCATAATTACACATTCATATCCTATGAAAGATGTGTCTCAGAAATGTCAATTTTTCTGTATCCTTACTTTTCAATCACATCTCTTAATATAGTTACCTAAGACATCAGATCACTAGCCTTCTCCAGATTTATTCAAAATAGCTTGATGATTGCATAATATGACAAATTTTAGGAAGACAAATTAACTCAATAATGTGAGGGTGACTTTAACCTCTTACACCCTAACATCAGTATGCATACGCTTCACACTGTTCTTTATACATTTCCTAAGGTGCTGACAAGGAGAATTTGTTCAACAGTCAAGAGCTTCTTTAGCTTCTTTTGACTTCAATACCATTGGACAAAATCATCCCACATGGTATCTCTTGTTAGTCTCATGTCTTTTGTTTTTGAAAAGTTTTGGCATAAAAGGCACAACAATAATTCTTTAAACCAATACTTCAAACTAAACATAAAAGTAAAACTGTGATTAATAATAAGTAGAATCAGTAGAAGATAACTTGATGTTTAATAGGCAAAATTTCCGCACAGCCCCATACATCATTATACATCCATATATGGGGCTTTATTATTCAGTGTATCACCAGTAAGATGTACATGCATAATTAAGTATGGGGCTGTGCGGAAATTTTTCCGTTTAATATTTGGAACAATGTAATTGCAATATCTACAGGAACTTTAAAAGGTATCTGGTAATTGATTGTTTCTTAGATTGGATTCACACTACCTTACTGTATGGTCTACTTGTCCCAACCATTGTTTCATATTCATTTGGCAAAAACGCTTGCTTAAAGTTTGGTACACACCTACTTCAAATCCTATTGAGAACCCTGATCTATTACATCACCCTTAATCAGAATTAAGAAGGAAAACTGCCCACTAAGCGTCGTCCACGACACTTCGACAGACACATTTTACAACTCCTCACTATAGTAGTCAGGCGCATCTGGTTTACCGCAGTGCACGATGGGATTAATACAAAACGCGCGGGAAAACGAGGGCCTTCGGTATAACAGCTGAATTGCCCTCCAGAACACCGTATTTTAAGCACAGCATGCACACCTCTAACTTATCACTTATTTCAAATAACTGTGAACTCTGTGAGTTGAAATTCCTTTGAACCATTGTACCGTCAAACCTCTCTTTTTCTTGATTGCAGTTTACCAGATGACTGACCCAGCGTTTAAAAAGGGGTGAAATACAATGAAATAACTTAGGGTGCGTTCCTTTGGGAGGATCCGGATTTAGCTTTGGCTTTGTGATCCAAGATCATACAGATCACGGTGCATGAAAGGAACGGAGTTTTAGGGTGCGTTCCTTTGGAAGTATGCACGTGGGTTATTGGGCTCTTCGCTTCCGATGGAATTAAAAAAAGAGGCAAGTTTTAATTTACGATATGGATACTTGGGAACCCTGAATGCCTGCGATCAGTGGCCGATCGATTTAAAATTACAAAATCGATTCTATTTCGTGTTTACCGCAGAATTTGTGGAGCGATTACCAACAATCTTTCCGGTCAATATATGAAGTACTTACTTGTTTCAAATTGAGCACCGCTGGGCAAAATGATTAATTTCGAATCCTTCGCCCAAAGGAACGCGTTGGGTCCGTCCTTAGATCACGCAGATCAGTGATCCGATGAATCCTTGACCAGAGTGGATTTGATAGATCACTGATCTGAAAATGGATTTGCTCGAAAGGAATGCCACAGATCAGAAATCCTGATCCGGACTCTCTCAAAGGAACGCACCCTAAGCTATATGGGAATTTAAAAGGCTATCTACATCCATTTAGTGACAATGAATGTATGAGTGATCAAATTAACGATAACTATTCCGGGGATTTGATGACAGGCCACCTAGTAGGAAAGCTGCTTGGGGTTTGAATGTATTTTGGTCTAAAGACAATCCTTCTAATATTGATAATTTTACTCTGAAATTGATAGTTACTCTATATCGTGACACAAATTATCAAAGGTTCTTTAAGAATACTCACGACGAGCAACCACCTAACCACGATGAACAAATCCACCTTTACAAGAGATCATAGCAGTTATTTTAAAATCGTCCTTCCAGATTCGTTCACATACAAATGTTATCAAACAGGACGGATGGTCACGTTACTTCTCTTCCAAATTTTTTTTCAGTTGTTAGCCAGTTGTCTAAATTCCCCTTCTCTCCCTCCCCCTCCCTTCCTCAAGCTTCGTGATTTGAAATGTATTCATGTATTTATGGCTAATACATGAAGCCACAGGAAAAAAACATATAACAAATTTTCCATACTAAACCACTTTTAATTCACATTACGCTACAATGATTGGTTTGCTAAGTATAAAGTTGGTCACACATTTCTAAGTCTCCTCTGATCACTAATTTTAGTTGAAGAATTTTCTATTACTATGAATTTATGACCAATTTTGTCATCATGTATAATGAAAAATAAGTATTTCTTGTTTACAAATTTACTTTACCTATTGCACTCATCAACTTAAAATCGCCTATACCCATGCTTCTAAAGTAGCATGTTTAGTATTTGAGTCTTATTTAGCCGAGTAACACGTCTTCGCGCGAGACCTTCTTATTTCAATGAAATAATCTTAAGACATTCATTCATTCCTATCCTGCAAAATTGAAAACTTTCACGTAAAGATACGTGACAAGCTAAAAGTTGAATATTCCCTTCTAAGTAAAAGATTGACAAAGGAACCTGGGAACGAGTGAGTTCGATATCCAACAATACACCTGGTGGTAAGGATCGCAGGCTCGCTGATCCATGCATTCCTAGTTCATGTTATTCAGTTCAGTGTTTATTACATACATCCTATGCACCTAAAGGACCTCTAACCAAATCATTTTCACAACACGAATTTTTTGCTGAGTCTACTGGTAAAAATGCTAACTTTGTTATCATTCATTTTGCAAAAAATATTTGAGTGTCTGTCTCAAGATATGAATTTTTTCGTCTTCATAGTCACAATTGCCGGTGTAACAATAAAATTGCTAACTTTGTTACCATTCTCATGTTATTATTCCTTTTTGCAAAACACATTTGAATGTCTATTTCAAGATATGAATTTTCTTGTCTTCACAGTCACAAATTAAAATACGACCATCTGGTGTTGTAGCTATTGCTTTCGGATCTTTTAGCTCAATAACAGTTTTGCCACTAAAACGACCTTCCATTGTAAACTGTTGAATGCGTCCATTATTTTTGTCACACACCAAAAGATTCTGATGATCGCCATATTTCTCAACACACAAACCCCATGGATTTGAAAACTGTCCATCAGCTTTGCCTTTTTCTCCAATCTTGTACAGGAACTTCCCTGATTTGTCAAACACTTTCAAACAATGGTTTCCACTGTCAGATACAATGAACTTGTCTTTGTGATAGATGCATCCACTAGGTTTCTTTAGCTTTTCAGGGTCGTTGTCTCCAAATTTGGACATGAATTTACCATCTTTGTCCAATACCTGGATTCTGTTGTTAAAGTAATCCGCTACAATGACATGACCTTCATTATTTATGGAAATTCCATCGGGTCCTCTAAATTCACCGTCTCCATTCCCTCTCTCTCCAAAGCTCTTCACAAAGTTCCCTGTCTGTACATTGAATTGTTGAATTCGGCAATTATTGTCATCTACCACCAGAAGCTTTTCATCATTCAGGAATGTCACTCCAGCTGGATCATTCAGCTCCCCAGGCCCTTTTCCATAAGAGCCAAATTTTCGCACAAAATTTCCATCCTTATCAAACATAAGAATGCAGTCTTTTTCACCGTCACTAAGAGCGATTGTTCCTTTGCTGTTGACAGCAATCCAATTTGGACTATAACAAGTTTCTTTTTTTAGAACTAACTCGCCCACAACATCAATCCGTCGTTCCTTTACCTGGACCCTGAAAGGACTGGTAACAAGTTTGTTCCCATTTATCTTGACTGTCATGTTGTAGATGCCAGGTACTTTAGGAACAAACTTCACGTGGAAATCATCATTTTCTTTTCTAAAAATTCTTAAACTTGCTACATTCTCAGCGGGTTCTATGAGCACTTTAACGTCAAGTTCACGCTGACATTTACTTGAAAGCTCTTCTTCACTCTCCCGCCTTGGACAAATCAGAAGCTCTGCTTCCAGACCAGCTTGGAGATTTTTACTAAGAGCTTCCATTGATGATAACCGTACATCTGTTTCATTGGTTATCACTGACCCCAGGTTTAGGTTGTCAAGTGTATTAGTCGAGAAAAACTTCACGAATGAGCTAACCGGAAGCGAAGGGACTGTGGCCTTGTCGAGATCTCCAAATCGCTGCTCTAAACTCTTCTTACTTTTCATAACATCCGAACTTGAGCTTCTCTCAACCAGGTTTTTTGCAAACTGAACTGCTTGGTCAAGCTGTTTGATGAATGACTTTACTTGCTCGTTTAGAGAGTTTATTTTCTCCATTCTAGACACGCGTGTATTCTCGAGGATTTTTGTGGCTTTCCGCTCGTGTTCTCGAATCTTCGCGACCATTTCCTCGGCTGTTTGGGAAACCTCTCGTTTAGCAGCGGTGATATTTCGCTCCAGCTCTACAACAACTTGTTGAAAAGTGTTAATCGTATCGCCACAAACTTTCTTCTTTTGTTCTATCGACTCGACTGCCGCCATGATGTTTGTTTTCTCGGCATCCGCTGCTTTCTCAAGCGGATCAACATTATGATTCTTGTGATCAGTGTTTATGCAAACTTGACAAACACAAATCTGGCATTCAAGGCAAAAAAACCTGCTTACCTCCCTCTCGTGGTAAGGCTGAGGGCAAAAGGACTGACGCTTTAACAAGGCCTCGTAATCTACGGCTTGAAACTGTTTCACTGCCGTCACTTTGTGTCCTTGAAAGGCGCTCTCTCGAAACAATTCGTGTGCATTAACACAATCACGGCACAGTAATTTTTCGCAACCGAAGCAATAGCTGATCTCGGCGCTCTTTTTCTTACAGATACCACAACTGATCTGACTTCCATCGCCACTTTGTCGTACAGCGAGAAGACTCAACAAACTGTTTTGCAGAAAACCAGTCGGCAAATTATCGAAACAATTTCCTTCTGGGATATTCACTTCCGCCTGACAATCGGGACATCGAAATTGTCCTTGTCTTTGGGTTCTCAAAGCGTGCTCCTCTAAACATATTAAGCAGAAGGTATGAAGACAAGCTATGGTCTTAGGCTTGGTGTAAGTATCAAGACAAATGGAGCAAGTAACATGTTTTTCGAGGTTCTTCAAGAGAGACTCCATCGCGAAGGCAGATTGCGAAATTAGAGCGAAAGGAAACACATCCTTGTATTGTTTGTGATTCCGAGAAACATCAGCCAGAATAAATATGCTAGCCAATCAGGCAGATCGAACCTCGTGACCTTTTATTTTCGGAGCCGATGTCAAGTCACACAACGAGTAATGTGGTCTATAACAATAGGCTCTTGCTCCATTCCTTTCTCAGTGTAACTGATGGCAGATGAAAAGATATTTTTGCAGTAATAATTCCATATGTTAGATGAAGGTTAATCCTCATCAGTGATCAGGTATGTGGGCTTCACAAAAGTGTAGCGTAAGAGTTTGTACGACTTGCCGGAAACAAAAATCACTTGATGAGGTTTAATTAATTCACTTGGTAGGAGCGTGCGTCGCTCATTCAATTTCAGATTAGAGCCCCGATGAAAAACGGATTTTATGGAAATGCATGAGTTTCATATAAAAGAACGCGAGCTGTAATTATAAAACTCTGTCTGTAAATAAAGGTATGTGGTTTATTTTCACAGAGCTTGACTTACAACCCTGAAAGAACTTGAAATGATTTTAAAAAGGGGGGGGGGGCAGGGGGAATAAAACGTTGGTTTTACCAAAGGCTCATAAATCAATAGTGTAGCAGCCTTTTACATATTTTTCAGCCTTCAATATTCTCGACGGTCATCCTTATCACTAATAGATAGGACCCAGCCCCAGCCTCCTCCCAACTGACCTTGATTATTGTCATCCAATGAAAAACTACAAATTTTGTCTCCACTACACAACAAATAACACAGTAGTGTACACCAAATAAGTTTATTTAGGGAAGCCTGCCGAGAACCAACCCGAGGCATATATAGCCCGGAGAATGTATAAATACATATATTCGCAACTGATATACCATATAGAATCCTGATATACAGTCAATTCCTTACACATTAAAAAAAAAAAAGGTATACATTACTAACATGCAAACTTCACCAAGTCTGGATTAACAGAGATGGGCAACCGCTTACAAGGACATAACTACGTTTATACAGAGGCCAGAAAAAACCTGCCAGAAAAAACACCTTAGGGGAAAAAACATGACAGGAAATCTGGGTAGGAACCATGGCCCAAACTCAGAGCAGTTGACAGCCCATCCTACGAGGCTTCACAGCTAAAGAAAATATGTTTTCAAACTAAAATAAATTTGTCATCAGCCAGAGGTGAACGGTTGTTTCTGAGGCCTAGATGGACACCACGTGCTATACTTTCCCTTATATACCAATTATTGTAAATACAAAGCCACGTGAAAAGGGCTAGCGGGAAAGGCTTTCCCGTTTAACTTATCGTTTGCAAACTGATTCCATCCGCTGAAAGCTCGGTTGTATACCATAACAGTCCCATTTGCTTTGGAAGAGAGTACAGTCGTCTTCAGTCGATCTTTCAGTCCCTCAAGCAAGTTGTCAAGCGGTCTGTCCCGGAATGCCTTAAATCCCGAATGAAAAATATCTAAAAGAGAGATAAAATAAGGCAAAGAGAGGAGTACAATCCAACAAGAAATAACTAAAGAAATAGATAAATAAAAATAGAATAACCGGGAATAATCAAACTCCAACAGAGAATACATAGACAACTGGAATCTGCAAAGTGGACCACAAATGGGTCCCTTTAATTTCAAACAATGCTGAATAAATTCTTGACACATACTCGTGTCATAACGCAATACGCAATATTGACGAGCAATTCTATGATTTAAGTCACTTCAAGCCTGAGTAAGTGCCAAACAACCCATAAGCTAAGTACAAAGAACTTAGAGCAATTACGCTGGGATTGACTGAAACAAAATCACGTTTGCATCCAGAAGAGAAAACTTCCGCGGTGAATACAAAATCCCGCCGGGCTAATTACAATGATCACAGTCTTTACTGAACTTCGTACAGAAGCCTACGTAAGCACAGGGAGATCTGGGGCGGCGAAATCAATTCGAAGGGCTATAGCATCAAAGTCCAAGGGTCTGGAACCGAAAAGCGAGTTTCGGGCTTTCCCTCTGATAAAGAGACCTGGGAACTTGGGTAAAAACACCCAGTCAATTACGAAACTGTTCCATTGCACACCTTCTCTACAAAATAAAGTCCATAAGCAAGAGGACTTCCACAAGGGGAGGATAACCGCTCCTCTCGCCTTACACAATTCCATGTGCTTTACCACTCTAATTAATAGGCACGATGGAGGACAAATCCAATCGTTATCGTGCCCCCAAACTGGGGAGAAGGCATCTACTACTACACAGCCAGTCTGAAAAAATCTCAGTGTTAAATCTTGGTACCTTAGCATTATAGGAACAAGCAAATCTGTCAACGGTGTGGGACCCCCAAAATAGGTTAATTCTTTGAAAGATAGCTTCGTTAATGGTATAGTCATCATAATCGGTTTTTGAAGAATAGATTCGACGTTCTGGTTTTCGGAATACCAAATAACCTTAACACCAGAAAAATGACTCGCGAAAGCTTCCAAGGGGAGGCAAACAGCTTTGAGTTCTCTCCATGTAGAACTTTAGGCACGCACTACAGGAGACCAGTTCTGATAAAATACTAAATTTGAGTCTTTTACGAAAGCACCACAAGCCGAATTGGGGGCATCTGAAAAGGTGACCCTGACCGGAAGGGACAGGACCGACCAACAAACCTTGCTATTGAAGAATACCAAGTTGTTCTTCCAGAAACTGATTTCTGAAAGAGAGTCGTCTGAGAGAAAAACTTCGCTTTCCCAAGAGCGCGCCGAATTCACGACCAAGAAAAGAAATCTAGTCATAATACGGACGACGGAACCCACACAGGGAAAGACGGAAATTATTTGACCCGTTACAATGGCGACTCCCTTCACGTGCACTTTCCGGGGAGGTTGACAAGACAGCAGCTCAACAAGGCCAGCGTTTAACTTTTCAATACGTTCGTCGGTTGCTTGTATAGTCCGATCAATAGTGTCGAGAATCACACCCAACCAGGTGATAACTTGGAGAGGCTCCCAAAGGGCCTTTCCCTCATTAGGAACAAATCCAGACTTGAGCAAATCTGAATGGACGACTAAACTGTTAACTTTAGCGGAAACAAAATCTGTTCCCCCTCCTAAACCGTCGTCGAGGAAAATAGCTATAGGGATGCCCTGGCTCCTCCACGATTTCTTTAATGGCTTAAAAATCGATGTGAAAACATACGGAGCTGAAGAAAACCCGAAAGGAAGCACAGAGGCTCTATGAGCTCTGAAAATTTTCAGAACTGAAAATATCTTGAAACCCCGTTCCCAAAATCCCAAGCAAAAGCGAGAAGTTTTCTGTGGTCTGGGAAAATTTCAATGAGGTGATAACCAGACTGAAGGTCAAATTTAAACAAGTAATAATTACGATCAAAACAACTGCGTAACGACACCCAGATCTTCACATTTGAACTTCTGCTCGTATATTAACTGGTTGACATGTCGAAGATTCAAAACGAGCCTTTGCTTTCCCGAACTACGGGTAGAAACTGAAAGTGGGTTAATGATATCGGGCTTACAAGCAAGTTATGCAATTAGGTCCAAACGAAGTAAATCGTTCGACCGTTTGATCCGTTTTCAGTCCTATCCTGCAAAATTGAAAACTGTCACCTAAAGGTACATGACAAGCTAAAACTACGATATTCTCTCCGGAGTAAAATATTGACAAAGGAACCTGGGACCGAGGGAGATCAATATCCACCAATGAGAGTTTCAATACACACGATGGAGAGGATCGCAGTCTCAACTGATACATGCACTCCTAGAAATTAAGCTACGGAAGGAGGTGGAAGTTCGCGTTAGTCCGCTTTTTACTATATACATCCCAAGCACCCTCAAAGATCTCTTAGCAAATCATATTCAAGGAAAAAGAAACAAATATAAATTATTTGATTGCCGGTGTAACGATAAACGTGCTAACTTTGTTACCATTCCCACAACATTATTCCTATTTGCAAAACACATTTGAATGTCTATTTCAAGATATGAATTTTTTTGCATTTCCCTATAAATATAAATATATATATATATATATATATATATCTATATCTATATCTATACATAGCTATATATACAAATTATATAAATCACACCGACTTCATGATCAAAAGCTGGTTCAATTTTTCCTTGTCTCAATACTATAAATGTTCTTTAAAACAAACAAAAAAACACTTCTTAAACTGGTTAAAAAATCTTTAACCAATGGAAAATGTAAAAACAACTTATGCATCCAAAAATTTGTAATTAGAATACTTAAAGAACAAGAAATAGTTCATTGATTTTTTTAAATCCCTAAGATGAGTACAGGTTTTCTCCAATTAAAGTCAAGTTTTTCAGACAGTTGATCAGGTTTAGGCATCTGCTCACCAAACACAATGGATGATTCTACTGAAGTACTTCTCACAATGGTAATAAACTTGACATTCAAAATTGCAGCAAGAAGCTTAATAAATCTCCAAGTATGTCCACATTAGTCACCAAAGAAATCTGGTCTCAATTATTGCTGGTTACCAGATCCTGTATAACTGTTATCCAACATATCACTAGCTTGGGCTGATTACATCTGCAAATTAAATTAGGCAGTTTAAATAAGTACTACCTCACTTAGAGATATCCCTTCTAAACTCAGGATACTGCTGTTATCATCCCTAATGTTGGTTACTTTAGTGTAATATAAAAACAAACAGTAATTGTATTCATGATCTCATGAATAAAATTTCAAATATTAAGTAAGACTTTTATGACAGATTCCACTACAAGCAGAATCCACAATGGTTGCAGCATTATACATAAAAAAAATGTTATTTTTTGTTTCCTAATACCAGTTAGAGCTTTTCAGATTGGTTTGCAAATTACCAAAGCTCCAGGAAACATCCACAACCAGTGGCATAGGGAATGACCCAACAAACTTTGTTATGTGCTTGGGTGCATACAAGAAAAAGTTTTTTTGGTGATTACCTCTACTAGAAGTTCTATTTAAACAGAAGAGAATATATCTAAATCTTTGAATCTACTTTTTCCCTGTCCTGCAATTTCTTATGAAACTTAAGCATAATTCAATTCAGCAGCTTTCTCTTTTCAGATCAAACTCCTGTTACATTTTCTAGTGACAAATCAGAGAACAACATAAATTTAGTTAATTTCCAAAGGAAAATCTTATTCCTCTCCAGCTTTTTCAAAACCAAACTTACATTGGCAAGCCTCTCTTTGTTCCGTTTTGCTGTCTTCACATACTGTTTGTAGTACCATCTAAGCTCTTTTACAAGTTCCCCCCTGTGATCTGCTGATTTCACTGAACTTGCACTAGATTTTCAATTAAAAACTGAAAAATAAAAGATGGAAAAGATGAAATGCAAATTTTCATCAAAATGAAAATGAAAGCTCTCTAAAAAGACAGTTTTGTCAACAGACAGCTTGTATTTACACCCGCTGAATCAAAATTGCTTTCAAACTTTCACACAAACATGGTATTTTCACATTATGGATGTGGACATTCTTGTGAGGTGCCCTGGTCACTTTTAGCAGTTTCTATTTAGCTGTTTGTAGGAGGCAGTGGCCTAACAGTTAATGTGATAAATTCAGCATTCAGAAAGACACATGTTTAAGAACTGACAAGGTCAGGTTTTCTATTCTTGGGCAAGTCTCTTTACTAACTTAGTGCCTCTCTCCATTTAGGAGTATACACAGGCAACAGATAACTCTCAGGGAGGCCTGATAAAAGACCTTGGTAAACCTTTGATGGACTAGCATCACATCCAATGGGAAAAACAAAACTCAAAATCACTTCCATATTAGTCAGTTCAAAGCTCATTCTTTACACATAAAGTAGCATTCCTTATAATCCCAATGAAACAGAAAAAAAATAAATAATAACCTCATCATTTTGCAATCATACCTGGAGTTGATGGCAAAGAATGTGCAAATGTTGTCCTCTCATCTTTGTTTCCAATCAACTGCTCCTGTTTTTGTGCTGCTAAACTTTGCTCAAGTAAAGGTTTTGGTTCCACATTTCCTTTTCAGCTTCAGCTTGCACCTTTTTTTCAAACTCAATTTTGTCCAGCCCTGTCAATGAATGCCACCTTTTATGCACATGCCTGATAAATTGTGCCTGCACTTCAGGTGGCAAATCATAAGGTTTACCACCACCTTCCAATGATCCTCCATTTCCATGCAGTGCTAATTCCTAAGGAGGGATGTTAGGTAGTTTCTTCTTGGATCTGTGAGTTGTGGAGTCACTGACAGATGTCATGATCAAATCTCTCTTGTGATGCTTATTCAGTTGTGGTTCAAAGAGTGAAATATCCAGAATCCTATAATGCAGTGTCAGCTTCAACAAACAGTAAAAATAACAACCAAAAGATAAATCACCCCACATAACAATGGGTAATCTACAGACAAAACTTTAAGACGGACTAAGGAAACTGAACTGAAAATAGTTTTTCTGGACACAAGCTTTTTTGATGAAATCCCATCTATTAACAACAGTTTCAATGATAAAAAAAGTAAAGCTGTTTGTGCAAATTACATTTGAATTCATACAAAGAAACTGGTAAATAAATTTTAGAAACAAGGATACTTATAGAAAAAGATGTTTTTTATTCTTGTCACAAGCATAGGACA